AAAAGTTCAATAATACTATTTCAGAATTATTTTTAAGAGGAAAAAAACTAGCAAATTATTAGTTTTTATTAGTTTTGTACAGATGACTTTAACTTTAAGTTTAAATTAAAAAACAATAATAACAATTCTGTACAAGAATAACATGCAGTAAAAAATGCAATAAAAAACAATAATAACAATTCTATACAAGAATAACTTTAGCGTAATCTTACATGTAAATTTTCCTGCGGCTGGATATTGTCATCCAAAATACAGGCCTCGCCTAGTTTGGTAGACAGCATTTAGTACCGTCAGTGTCATAGATTTTGTACTATTGTGATATTGTACCTCAACAATGAGTGTAATTTTAAATGCAATAAAGATTATTATTATTATTATGCATGCACATGTTATGATATACTATTTAATAAATAAAAAGTAGAACTTATGTTATGTAAAGATACTAAGTAGGCTAACTACAATTAATTTGAACTATCAAGTGATTCTTTATTTTAAGATTTTATTTTTTATTTTAATGTTGTTACATTTTAATGATTACTGATGTAAAAATTAATCGTTTTTTTACAAGTCGTAGATTAGCGAGGGACTTGTAACTAGAGATCGTCTTCGTTATTATTAAATAATTATTTATTAATTCGTGTTTTTCGTTTTCATTTTATGCTTTTCGTATAAATAAAAGGAACTGAGTAATTTTTTTTTAAATATTATTTGATATATTAATTAAAGTTTATAATTTTAAACTAAAACATCTAAGTGTATACAGTAAATAAAATAAATCGTATCTTTTAGAACGAAGTTCCTTATCGCTCGTTACACGCTCTGAGCGGGAGCGAGCCCGAAAAATGTGTAACAAGACTTTTTTTCCGATATTTTTTATTATAGTTACAGCCATATAGTAATACATCGCCGCACACAGTTATTAACATAATTATCCCAGATCATTCAGCATTTAATTTATCATTATTAATTTTATACGTAATAAATATATTTTATCATTAATTTTTTAATGTAACTCTATTAACTTGATATTTTATTATATAACTTATAATGACTGTATAGAAAACGTCTACAAAAAAGTAACTTCGTTCCGACCGGGGGTCCATAGACCCCTCACGCTGTTATTATTTCAAAATATTTTATAATTACAAACTTATAAATTTTGCGACTTTAGTCCTAATTAACTCGTATATCTTTTTACAATGAAAATATTGTTGTAAACAGTTTTTTTATAAATTGCCCTTACATCAAGAATATAGATTGCTTCGTTTTACACGTATAAATTCTAGTGCATTATTAATGACAATGTCCAAAAAAGTAAAAAAATAAAAATAAACGTTTGTGGTATGTATGACATTTGTGGCGGACACTGCGGCGTCCTACGTCTCGCGACTGCGTAAAATGAGTATTCCCTTCAACTGATAACAACTTTTTATAATGAACGGTACCTAGTTCTTGCACCCGAGTAATACAAGTGTAACCAATTCAAAATTAAAGCACCAGTTTCCATCCCCGGTTTCATTTCATAGCCACAATAGCCACTAAGAAATTTAGCTTAATCTGAAAAATACACTCGCAACCCTTATCCTTGTTTGTATTCTTAGTTAACTTTGTGATAAAAATAAATAAATGAAATTTATTTGCAGAATCAGAATCATCAAGAGACATCTTATTGTCCTTGGATTCTCAAATAGTTTGTTACTAAAGCTAACACGTAACTAGTTTATGACTATTGTAAAACGTGCAAGAGTGAATAGAAAAAAAAGGTAAAATCAAAATTTTGTTAATTCTTTCGCAAACGGCCTAACCTAGGTGTGAGACCTGTTTTCAGGTATGCAACATGTATGTGGAACATAATTCGTAAAAAAATTAAACTAAATTTATAGCCACAAACAATTTTAAAACGATTAACGATGTTTTGACGATCGTAAATTCATTTGTAGTCTGCATCGATTATTTTCATTATGGCTTTGTAGACACCCCAACCCTAAACGTCAACTGTCAAAATGCACATTTTAAATTATTTCTACTGTACGCATTTTTTTTATTTTATAAACTAATATTCTTTCCAGGTGTGTCGAACTATGTCTAAAAATCTCAAAGAATTGTTCACCAAGTTAAGCGATGTAGAGACTCTACTTGACCAAATGCTTAATGATAAAAAATATATTCAGGTGCAGTTGCTTCATCAATACAATGATATTAAAGATGCCACACAGGTTGTTATAAATCATATCGCAAATTTGGAAGAAATTACTGTTACCGAGGTACACGAAAGGTTACAATTAAAGGATTGAAATAAAATAATCAAGCTTAGTAATGGAACGTTTTATTTGAAGACAAATACAACTCTTTACAATCTAAATTTTATCCAATTTTTTTGTGTCCACTAATTTAGGTAATGAACAATTTTAATTTTTTTACATTGCAGGTTTATGTATGTAGGTTCTTAAGTTATAAGTGTTTTCAAAAAGCCACAGTTCCACATTTGCTACTTCAATTACGAAAAACGTATGTTTTACATGAAAAGTGTTCTAATATTTTTTGATTATATGTTGATAACCATGACCGTTGTCAGCAAACAAATTTATGAAATGTAGATAGTAAAGTTATCATATTGCTGAGAACATTCTAAAACTATAGTGAATAATGGATTTAAAAGACAAAAAATAAAATCTACTTCCTCATTTGAATCATATCTAGTTTTTAAAGTAGTTATGTGTTAAATGTATAGCATGAATGGAGAATAATATAGGTTTCGTATTATTGAATATGAACGCTTTTATAAACATTCTCAAGAATACCTTTCAGTAATGAAATGGAACATTATTATCTGAAAATATCTCCCATATTTTAAGATTATTACCTTTTACATGCTTTTACCATTGTTATACATAATTCTTAAACAAATCAAAATACATTGAAGTTAAAATTCTAACGCTAACATGGTGTCTATTTAATAAGCAAGCAATAATTATATAAATGTTTAATGTATAATATAGTGTATATCGCACTCGGCGACAGCTAGCGAATACTTTGCAATGTGTGCGCACACAAGGAGTGCGACGCTCATGCTGTGAGGCGGTGACGACGTGGTCACCGTCCTTGCCACTCGCGGTGGCGACGTTACGAAGTCAGAGGCATTACTTTGTTTTGCATTTAGTCCCTTGGAACAGCATTGTGGCTGCTGTTTATGTGCACTGCACTCAAGTTCTGATCATATTTTGATTGTTTCTAATCAATCAACTATATGTTATTGTAGCAACACATTTAGTATGTTCTGGCCAGGGTTTTAAAGCGTTCAAAATTGTAAAGTCTTCATTTAGTTCCATTCCTCGATTGGCTGAACTGTGCAATTACTCAATGGAATGTAACTTAATGTAACCAATTGCAACAGTTTTACCACCACTCGAGTTAATTAGTAAGACTGTCCTTATACTCTTGTATCTCATTCCAGCTAAATTTAAGTATAACAATATAACAAATTTACAAAAATACATATAAATTGAAGAACATTCGCAGTATTGACGATTCCAAAAATGCATATAAATATATCACTAATAACAAATCTACGATTTCCTATCGAAATAATACCCTATATTATATGAAAAGATCATAATGCGAATGTTCATTCAGTTTCAATAAACGTTTATCGTTAGACTTAAATCTATGAGTTTCAGACTCGTTTCAGGCAGTCCCACAGATTTTAAAGCACCAAGAATCACTCAATAAATGCAATTTTTTAGAGCAACATTATCATTCCATTTGCTAGTTTCGTTTCTTGATGGAACATATTAAGGATATTATACATATGCATCACAAACCGTAGTATCACGGTAATGTTGAACCTTAGACCTTATCAGGCCACGACGATACAAAGACTCGCCATGTTTTATTTTAATATATAACATTAACATACACATCAACAACACCAAAACAATAACTCAAGAAATCCCAAAAACAAGTCTGAAAACATATTGGTTTAGTCTATGTAATCAAAAGAATTAAATTCTTTTTTCTGTACTTACAGATGATTACTCAATCATTAATGCACCAATTTTATTCATGATATTTAACTTGGTCTCTTGTCAAAAGGATTTCATAGACTAAACCATCTTAAAAGTAAAAAATAATGATTTGGTAAATTGTAAATATACTATGTGTAAATAAATAACATTGACTCAGCCATATGCTTAGTTAAAAATAAAACATTACATACTAAGTCATCTCACTTTTCAATAAAACATGACTTAACAATCAACAGGTCAATTTAGTAATATATAATTAGGTATATTTTAAATATCACTTGTCATATAATGGGTGCTCCTTGGGTACTTATTATTCAAGAGGTACAAAATGTAACTCAAATAAATATACCTATTTTCCTTAGGTCATATTATTTCTCTAGAAAATAGATGTTGTTGTTGAGGTCTTATTAATTAATATACCACATAAAATTACCAGAGGCATCGTTTTCGTCTTAGTAGGGTTTATTGAGTCTGCCTCAATACTTGTCTTTATTAATATTATTAATTGAACACAATGTGTCAATTAAAATAATACAAAATCAGTCTCACAATAGGGAAGTCTTTTAGATCTTCAGGCACGTATACTTTATAACAGTTGGATACTCACCATCCAAGCTATAACAAAATCTCTAAAACAGATTTGGTTAATATTCCATCAAAGGATTTATTATGCGACCTCACAAATACGTGCTAAAGCAATCATGTTCCAATGTAATTTCCCAACAAGATAATAAGGTTCTTAACACCAATGTTTTGATTGTTTATTTATGGTCTTTATAGTGCGGTATTTAAATCCGCAAATTATAAAAGTTATTTGCCATATGTAATAACATTAGCAAGCTTTCCTCAAAATTTAATAAAATATTATTCAACTACTAAAAACACAAGCCACAAAGGAACTAAACTATTTTGATGTTAAATCAAGTACTAAAAAAAAGAAAACAATAATATGAAGTTACCTTAGATAGGAAAACTTTAGTTTGAAACTGGTGCATCCCCTTGACCAATGTGTTCCTTTTCAGAATTGTGGCATTGCTCCGCCACCTAAAATATACCATTGCATTAATGGAAAGAGTCTAGCTAAGAAATAAAAGTCTAAATAGATGGAAAGCTGAATGGTAAAATCCGTGGTTGAAATATCATTACTGTGTGGTTTTGTTTTAATTTACTCAGAGATCACCTTATTTTTATCAAGTGGGCCGTTCGTCTCCAACGTTTGAGCGATCTCGGACTTCTGATTGTAATTCTTCTTCTTTCCTTTGCCTATATTCTTCTTGGCATTTTTTGCAGTCTTTACTTTCTGCGGCTGGGCACCTGTCGAACATATATTTCTCGTATTTAACGTGTTTAATTAATAATGCTACACTAATTATTTTCGTACAGGCTAAACACATTATGCATCTATTTATGTATGTGTATTTGCTTAGGTACGTATTAAATGTATTTTACTAGTTTATATCCGGGTCTTTCCACGAAAACTAAGTGCGACATTCGGCACCATCCTAAGGTAAGCCGGTAGAAAATGACTAATGCGTTAAGTGCGCCATTTTACATTTATTTGCATATAAACACAACAACAACACAAACCATCGGCGTCGGTGTCGAGAGCGGAATTATCCTCGTGCGGGCTGCCCTCTTCTATTTGGCTGCCCATCTCATCGGACCTCACCGTTTTCCTGGGAATAGTTAAATAACCTTTTCGTATCGATAGTTTATGAACTCCCACCTGCACTACATTTACGAACGTATCGAGCACTAGAAGCGGTAGATAGTGGAAACAGATTTCCAGGCACGAAATACGACGTCACAAGACACGGCATCTTACCCGTTAACTGTGAGAGTGGCCGGTTTGGCGGGCTCGTCCTGATCGCGACGGGAACGACGCGTGCTGCGCGCTGCAGGACCGGCGGCGGCGGCCGTGCCGCGCCCGCGCCCTCGACCGCGACCTCCGCGGGTACCGCGCCATCCGCGCCCTCCGTACGCGTTGCGCGGCGGAGGAGTGTAGCCCACGTAACTCACCTGCACAACCACGCGTTGCTTGCTTATACTTACGGGAAATATGGAACAAACGGTGCCATAGGAAATTGTAATTCAATGTGATATCCAGTATTTTTGTTAAACGACAAGCAAGTTATTTCTACGCCTAATAAAAAGAGCTTTGTACGAGAGAGAGCTTTGTAAGAAGGTCTTTTTTAGGGTTCCGTGTTCCGTACCGGCAAAGGGTCGCGTTTTACCCTTACCAGCACGGAAACGGTAAAACCCTAAGACCCTATTACACTAAGACTCAGATGTCCATCCGTCTGTCTGTCTGTTTGTCCGTCTGTCACCAGGCTGTATCTCATAAACCGTGATAGTAGACGGTTGAAATTTTCACAGATGATGAATTTCTGTTGCCGCTATAACAACAAATACTAAAAACAGAACCACGCCACTGGGGTGTCGTTTACAATGTTTTTTTTTAAATAAACTTAATTAAGCGGCGGTAGCCTAGTGGTTAAGGCATTGGACTTGCGATCAACAGGTCGTGGGTTCGAATCCTAACCAGTACACTACCGACGTAACCCCACTCCTAACACAAACAATTTAGCTTAGCGGAATACTAGTAGACCTTAAAAATAATTTTGATCAATGTTACATTTATGAAGTGTTTAGTGAAAATAAAATAAAAACAGTCATTGTTATTATGAAGAGGCCGACACCAAAATTGTGTAACACATTGGTCAGTTTAATACTAACTATTGAGTGCAGATAAATTGTACAGATTCTGATATACCAGTAATAATGTTAGCAAAATTTTAGTATTAAAAAGATCAAATTCAAATAATAATTAGACTAAGCACATCACATCAACAGCCTATACTAGTCCACTGCTGGACATAGGCCTCTCCTTAGAAAGGAGGTTTAGAAAGGAGACTAAGCACAGGTAAAAAAAAATACTTAAACATAAATGAAGTGTAAGCTTGGAGATTAATTATCTTGTTCCCTTGCCATAGGCCATATTTTTACAGGGAGTTATTACAATCCTGCTTTCTTTCGTAAAGGAAAAAAGAGACCTTTCAGTATTTTAAAGATAAATAAAATTACCAAAAGGCTTTTATTTCAACTCCTACAAAGTGAACATACAGCATTAAGAACATAGAATGAGGTAGTTAATGAGGTGAACTATTGAAGAGTATGTATGCAGTGTACTCAATAAAAACAAAAAATGATATCAACAAAGGATGGTATGAATTATTTGAAAAAACGGTATAAATCAAAAAGTAAATGAAGAAATTTAAAAAAAACAGCCAAGGTAAGATATGATCCATCCAGTTTGGGACCAACAAAACAAGATATATTTCATCTGCAATGTATGGCACAAATAGAAAAACGAAAATGACAGTTTCTTGTCGGATTAGTGATACATACTTGTTTTCTTATAGGACATTGCTTAATTTGGATAGAGAACACACTAACGTTCTATGTAATATTTTTGTCCTACAGTTAGTAATAAGAAAAAATGGTCTTGTGGTATTAACAATTTCGGAGCGTAAGACCGGGATAAAGTACCACGCAATTTGTAGGACAATGTAGCTGTTAAATTACATAAATAAAAAAAAATAGCTAATTGGTAATCATTTTTCATGACTATTTCGTTATCGATACATATTGGAAGGAGTGGACTCTTCGACCCAACCATACATTTTGTGGACAAATATTTTTTCAATAATGTTAATAATTTTCTTAAGATTTAATAAAAAACCTAGTTAGTATTCAATTTTTGAGAACATCGTCGTCGTCGTCGCGACGACATATTTTATCCCTGCTACCTCTGTTAGCTACGGCCATCGAGAATTTTTGTAAGAGAAATGGTGGGCGTCTTATTAAAATGAAGTCTTATGAAAAATTGACGCTGGATCCTGGGCTATAAACCCGCCTCTTGAATCACTCTTTCTATTGGTGAAATCAGCATTCAACAACAACAAAAAAGAGACTTTATACTATGTAAAGGTTAGTTTTAGTTTGAACACTGTACAAACTTCTATTTGATGCTCTAAGTGAAAAGGTATTTTACACCTTTGGCATGTAGTCCTAGTTTTTCTGTCCTTCGACTTTAGATTGCATTCACTAGTCCATTAAATAAACACAAAATTTTGTATATTTTTTGGACGAATTTTCTTAAACGCCCTACACAGCGATCGGTACTGGTGATTACACGGCGCGGCTATCAGCAGTAACACCAAATTAAAATACTCCGACGCGCTAATTTGTGGGTAATAAACTAAATGAGGTATTTAGAAAACAAATGTGTCTGGGGTGCCCCCATATTGGGTTCTAAGGTTAATTTCGTCGCCCGATTGATTCATTTTTTTTTGTTTACAAAACAAAGTCTAAGATATACATTTATATCATAACGGTTACAGGATAGAAGATAGAATTAGTTCAGGAGTCTAATGATATCAAATTAGTGTGTGTTAAATCAATAAAAATATTTTATGAATGGCCAGTAAATTATTTATGTGCAGCTAACTATTGATAGATTTCTTTGACGAGCGAACAGTTAAACAACTAGGCAGCAGTGATTATGTAGATAATTACACCCAAACAGAAAAAAATGATGATCATGTATTTCTTTGTCCTTCCTATGAATGAATGTGGGAATGAACCCACCGGGAGGCCAAAGCTCCTCACGACGTACCTGCGGGTACCTGGCGGTGCGCGCCGGGTAGCTGCCGCCGCCCCATTGGCCCACGACGACGCCGGCGATCTCGAGGCGCGCGCCGCGCCCGCGCCCGCGGCCCCACGCGCCCAGCGCGCCGCCCACCACGCCCGCCACCAGCGGCAGAGGCGGCATCGCAAATTCCACCTCCAACCCCTCCAGGATCGCTTTGCGCATACGTTCTACCTGCATTCGCATAATAATAAATCTCTACATCTGTTTATTTTTGGATAAGTCAGAAAGTATAATAGAACTCTAACTACGATCGAAACGAAAGGTAAAGGTTTAAATTTAGTTTTTAACAAAAACATTTAAACAACCCTGTTTTTCTCAATTAGTTTTTCATAGTTACGGAGTTATGTGAGACATAACTCCGTAACTATGAAAAACTAATAAAACTAACTTAAAAAAAACTAGTCAGGCACTCCAAAATATATATATATATATATATATATTTATATAAATAACACTATTGTTAGTCTTCGATAAGTGACTATGTGCGAACGTTACGATGAGTTAAAGCGACTTCTGCGAATTTAACATGGTATAAAGTATTATTTTGTAGTTTTATAGAAGTGGGATTCTTTCTTTAAATCTTGTACCCTTACTCCTAGTCGATTAATAGCCCATGTCAGTAAGTAACCGAAGAAATAAGCGCCTGAACATTTCAGATAATAAGCATGACGTACCTTAACGACGGTGTCGAGATGATTATCGCAAAGTTGAGCTAAGTGTTTGCAATGATTGGCACGATGGAGATTACGTTGCAAAAGCTTGCCGTCGAAGTAGAGCCAGGGGGCGGCTACGAGCCACGGTACTGGAGCGCCACAAGCGTCGTTAGCTAGCAGCGCTGCTTCTGCGCCAGCCATAACCAGAGCCCCCAGTTGTACACCGCGAGAATTAATGCCGTTTACCTACCATATAAAAGAAATAGTTCATATATGTAGTAAATGTTCGACAAAGTTTTGTTTTAAGTTAAAATATTCGTACTGACATTGTTTACACTTACGGTCATCTCTTGCAAATGCAAAGCATTCATAAGATCGTTTGAGAAAGCTGTCGCCAAAAATGCATCCAGCTCTTGTCTCCTTAAAATCTGAATTTGAGAAGTCATAATAAACCTGCAACATATCAAAAAATGTTTCTTAAACAACTAAGTAGACAAAATACATTGATATCATTATTAATAGTAACAATAAGTCCATCTAATCTCTAATCTAAGAGGTACCTTTTGACAGTTCTGACAGTTAGAAGAATAGGGAGGTCAAAGAAATCGTCTACTACAATATCCAATTCTTTAGAGAATTCGATATAACTTCTTTGTATTTACAAATTGATTACAGTTGTACAGATTTATGTATCTTACTACAAAAGCCCGTATATTATTATATCTCAGGTTTTAAATTTTTCTTACCTCAATACGGTCGCTAATATGAGTAGATGTTGGGGCACATATGACGTATTTAACATCAATGGAGTATCGGATCGCATGCACGAGAGGAAGGCCCTCATACGTCGGCATTTATCATCTTGTGCGGTTCTGTAAAAATTATGAAAACATGGTAACTTGAGTTCATGATCGTCAAAATCTTAGAAAGAATATTATTAGAAATAAACATAGGGTAGTGTGAAACAATTGGCAGACATGACATAAAAATACAAACTATATTATGTAATTAAAAACAGTCAAATCAGACTTCTCGGTTATAATAATTAGGTCAGTTTGAGTTACAAGTATAAAGTATACCTTCTTAAGCCATAAAAGCAATAAATATATCTTTACATAGTATAAAATAAATCTTTTAAACTATTCGAGAATTTAAGAGATTTGTCATAAAAATATGTTTATGTGCGCTTACATTGGAAAAGCTGGCTAATCCTCAAGAGATAGACAAAGATAATGTACTACGGAATTGTATATCTTAAAAAGATGTCCTAACGATAACCCACAGTAGTATAGTACGCGCCTTATAACTCTGCGTCAACGAAGTTCTCGCGAGAATCGCAGCAAAATGATATTAATTACTGCGAATCGGAAAGAGATGGACGATCATAAATTTTTCATACCATACAGTAAAATTGCACTAAGTAGGCATATTTTAAATTAAAATAATGAAACATTATGAATTTTTTAATAGGTAAAATAGCATTTGGAAACTTGTAAAATCTTAAATCCTCAATAACTCGAAACTTAATTTATGATATGTTTCGATACTGTTTTTCACCGTTTTCCCTTTCGATATACTTTCAATTTTCCTATCTTTAAATCTTGATGGTGCTCGTTTGGCAGCACTATAATAATAATAATAATATATCTTACACACGCTATGCTTTTAATTCTACTATTACTTGAGGGGTATCAAATAGGATGGAATATAGGAGGCAAAATCTTAATCTCATATAGATCATAGAGCATGATGTTGACAGTCAATGCTATGCATATTATATAATAAATTTATTTGAATTTTTTTAAAATAATTTTGGAATGTTGTTTAAAATACCTATTACATATGAGCTCACCCGAACCAAAGCCTTTGCACCGTTGGTACAGGCCAGTCAAGTACAATTCCAGGCACAATTTCAGGACTCTTGCCAGGATTCACACGTGAATAGATCCATTCTGATATTTGCACAGTACATGGGCGATCAACACCTGATGATGAGCTAGTAGATCCTTCTTCTGAAAATAATACATAATTTATATCTAAATAGATGAGCTTTTAAATTTGTTTAAAAAACCTGATGTAATAATAATAACATTAGAAGATTTATTTTAGTAAAATAATGAAGTGTTTCAGTTCTAAATTATCTATTACCTTTAGCTTTTTGTGCCATAAAACGGTGATGATGCATATTATACAGAATAGCATAAACATTTTGTCGAATGGGCCTGAAGAAGTGATGTATAGAGGGTATTTCACGGTGGTTGTCATCCTCCATAAGCACAGGCAAGGTGACTTGACGATGTGTTAAGATCGAGAGCATATGCGGGTGCATGAGCCCGCGCGCATGACGCTCGGCGCATGTACGCAACACCTCAGCCGGGGCGGGGGAGCAGTTATCTTCATACTGAAAATGCTTTACAGTCTGGCGACCCTGTAAATACACAATAAACATCGTAATGATAAGAAGTAGTACCTAGGAGTAAATTTAAGGTCAATTTTAGCTTTCTTCGATCATAAACGGTAACAGACTACTAAATATCAGTACAGGATTGAGCTGAAACCAAATTATGGTACTTCTAACTCAAAACAAAGAAACTTAAAAGACTAAATAGCAAAACCAAAAGACATTATTTTGAGCACCCTCCCAAATATAAATATAAAGATTACATCAAGTGCAGTCAGCCCAACCTCACGACTAGTGGTTGTTTGCTTTTCGATTTTATCGCCTGGAGTTGTAGATTGCTGCTTTGCTGGACCCGCTTCTCCGGATTCCACTGACATCGCTGCCATTCCGTGAAGAATATCGAAGCTTCTTTCTTCCATACTTAAATCGGCACTCATGGACGCATTCGCTGTAGCCAATTTGTAATCTTCCAAGCCTTTTAGCTGCAATTTATTGAGCAGTTTTTGTTCTTAAGTGCTTAGTGTAAAATAATGTATATATATGTATAAAACAGTATTTAAATAAAATTAAAGAAAACGAAAGGAAAATAAACAAAACGATCAAAATTGATTAGGATCACCTGCACTTAGACAATGTTTATAAAAATTTAGACAAGTTATCAAGCAACATGTTTTTTAAATTTAACAAATGATGCCAATGGAATTGATGTCAATGTAAAAGGCGTGGATGACTGTAGCTATTTTGTTCCTTTAAATAAATAAAAACCTCATGTTCAGTTGATTCAGTAGCCAGCTTGGATGTGTCTAGATCTGTTGAAGTTGACTGTGGGCTTATGTCTGGTTTTTGGCCTTTTTTGCTAGGCTTGGGACGTCGACCTGAAAAAAAATCATATAAATGTCTGTATAGAAGCCTAAAATATATTTGGGACATTGTCTAGTAAAAATAAAAATAAAATCTTACCAGATGCAGTTCTATATTTTAAGAATCCATCCTTAGTCCCATTTAAATAGTATTGCACAGCTTGTTTGAGTTTGGCAGCGCGGAGGTCATTCAGATCACCAAATACATCGATACATGCAGCATCAACATCAGAAGATGACAATTCTTTTACAAACTGACATACAGCCTTTACTAGAGTTTCTGGTGGAACCTGTTGCTACAATTATTATATTGTTTATTAATCATTTTACATGTGCTTGAAAAATCTCATACATTTTAGTTAATAATCTAAAATAACAATATGGCACATGAATAAATCTAAATCATACCTTTTTTTGAGTGATTCCTAAACGTTTATAAAAGTCAGTGAGGCTCTGCTCTGAGAGGATTGTCCCTCCAAGTAAAGCTGCCATAAGACATAGTCGGTCCTGTGGTACATCTAGAACTTGAGGTAGCTCATGTACCATATATTCTTTAGTCTCCAATGACGACTGCAATGGTAATAAAAAAAAATATTAGAAAAATAAGGAACTTACATGACAGGTTATTGTAAACAGGGTAGTTTAGTAAGAACATGGTATATATAGCATTTAGAATAACTTATTAAGTGAACATCACCATGGTAGTTTGGATGAATAGTTATTAGTTAGCAGAAAAGTTCTAAAATTAATAACTTATAGTATGGCTAAAATTTTTATTTCTTATTGAAGACGCTGGTCTCTTAAAGTATCAGTTAGATTAACGACACTCTTTTTGAATTCGATAATTCAATTCTCAAAGAAGATTATAGACTTTTTTGTTATCAAACTTCGTTACAGAGAAAAGGAACAGGGCAATAAAAGTTGCTGAAACTGCAAGAATGGCAATTAATTAATGTCATTTATTGCAATACCGATAAATGTAACTACTTCTTTGCAAAAAGGTATGTTAACATCTTTCATCATCCCTTTGCTTTGGATAAAAACTTAATGTACATAATGTGATGTATAAATGATTTTAACTACAGCCAATCTGGACAACTTTGGTGAGTGGTGGATATAATTGTATATCTGCAAAGTGTGGTGGTGGTGGTGTGGTGACTTTTAGACGCTATAAATATAAATAGATTCAGATATATACAAAAATACATAATCCGCTAATCTTCTAATATAAAATATACATAGAAACACATTACTTTTTCAAGCATACAACCGATAGATGGAAAATAAACCGCTTGTGCGTTACAAAAATAATGTAACTTTAAACTTTATAGTTTTTGTTTACTGCTTTATAAAACGAATACTAAATAAAAAGAAGGAAAGTGTTGGTCGAGTTGTGGTCCAATGTTACGATGCTAGTCAAGGTCACACAGAATGATTGTTTCGTGTAGCAATTTAAAGTTTCTTTTATAAGTTATTTTAAACCAAACGTGAAATTTGTGTTTGTACAGATCTTTTTATCTAACGTTTAAAGCACTTTATTTTACTACTACCTAGCCTACTTTGGACTGTGATTCACATTTAATATAAATAAATAAATTGAATACATCCAAGTTATTAAGTTTTGCCCCAACGAACAGCATTCCAGTTTTTATTTAAGTAGGAAGATAATATACTGAAGTCACACGCACATTGGATACCCGCAAAAGTTGGCAGAATATAATAAAATTGAGTGTTAAAAAATATATATTTTAAACTTCCGAGTAGCCTCTTTTTAAAGCTATAGCACTAGGTTTCCGGAAACATGTTTTGAAGTACAATAGTGCACAGAACATATACACTGTGGTTGTCTTACCTTCTTTTTGCACAAGTTTATACACTCTTAGCATATAATTATAAGGGCAAGCACAATTAAAATTTGGTTTGTAGCTTTTACAAACAACCAAATCAAAATGCTTTACTTACCCTGTATGTCAGTTTCAGTTGGGACGAGCTGAAGTACCTTGGTGGTTGAAATACTAAATATTCCCCAGAGCAACCGATGAGACCAGCATATGTTTTTTCCCGACAAAGTCCAACCACTTCTTGGCAATGATCATCAGAAGATACCATCTGAAACAAGGACAGTGACTTCAATTACATGCTGTATTTTCTTGTTCATTTCAAGCTAGAAGAGTTTAATGTGTTAAACATTTACATAAGTTCATATTAATAAACAACAATCAAAATAATGACGTGCTTCGACTTGGTCTAGTGGTTAGAAACCCTGGCTGCTTAGCCAGAGGCTCGATGCCACACAGGACAAATAATCTTGTGATGAACACGATAATTATGTGTCGGGTGATATATTTATCTATAATATGTATTTAGAAATATGTAAGTATGTTTAACAGTGGTCTGGTTACCATAGCACAGGCTCTGCCTATTTTGGGGTCGTGTGTGAGTTGTTTGAGGTAATTATAATTATTATTAAATAAAGTAATCTATTTTTTTACGGTATTCTTAAATTACTTACTTACTTTATTTTGTGTTAATGCATACTTATTTCACGTAATGAGATAGTATAGATAAATGATTAGCTCGTTTTACAAATGAAAACCTGCCCTTGCATTCTTGCGATTACAACTTGCTCTACTACGTCTTGCGACTTGTTAGGTTTGTCATTTATGTGTCTGTTTCTTTAAATTATTAAAACCCTGCATTTGTTGTTTAAATATCGCAATATGAGGTGTGATACAGTCTGTCTAGCCCTTTTAAAAATGTTGCAAAATTTTCCATCTTTCTACAAGGCAAGACGTCAAGTCTGGTCATTAGGAAATGCATTATTTTATAGAAAGTACGAATTCCAACAAAATCATTTCCTTATTGCGTAAAGCACCTTATGAATTTATATTCGGTTTGGAGTAATAATGCTGCATAAAAAAATTATAACAGAATAATTTTAAAATAAAAATCATTTTGAAAATTACCTTGAAAACTTACTCGACATTGAATAGCTGATTGCAAGAATAAATGAAAACATAAATATCTGTTTCTTCTAAAATACGTTCTCTATCGCAAGGCACTTTAGTCGAAACAGAGAAAGTCAGGTCGACCCCGATGGTTAACTGGTGGATGTAAGTGTTGGTAAAAAAAACTATACTCTATACTAATACTCTAAAGCTGAAGAGTTTGTTTGATTGAATTATTAATTAATTATAATTATTTATTTTAATAGAGCTGCTATTATGATTTGATATGTAAGTATAGTAAATATCTATTACTACTAATCTATAATTTTTTTACACATGATGACAAAATGATCTCAACCTGAGAACTGGTAAACTTTACTGATAAAAACGCACTGCTGCTATGAGACTGCGAGGTTTCGAAGTGAACGAAAATATCATCGATGTACATTTTTGTATTGTTGATTACTCTTAAGACGCTAGACCGATTTCGTTAAATTTTATTGGGACCACTTGGGAAGTATACCCTTTAAAACAAAAATAGAATTTTCCGAATCGGTTCTGTCGTCTTCGAGTAACAACTTCGAGTAACCGTGAACATCCATAAAAAAGTCCTCCTTTTTTGAAGTCGATTAAAAAACTATAAGACATTAAATTTTCATTCCCAACAAACTACTCGTATTTGTAAAAATTAAGCTTTTACATTTCTGAAAGAGATTGACTTAGGAAATGCTTGATATTATTAAAAAAATAACATATTGATCCTTTGACCCCACTAGACCATATTTAGACTTGAAGTGGAATTAAAATACTATGCTTAAATTGAAAATTCACTAACACAATAAATAATGTGTTGGCAAAGTGAAAATATTTAATGTCACGACTGTAAATAAATGAGTTTTCTTCAGAAAGACATCTTCTTAGGTCAAAAATCATGCTTTTTTAAAAAAGCAATATACGAGGGCGGGTCAATAAGTCCGTGACTTTTTGAATTTCTGACCTCTTTACTGAAAAAGCAACACTACTCCTGTCAACAGGCATCTGTCAGTTGACTCCTGTCCAAATTTGAACTTGCTGCGTCAGTTAGTTTGTGTTTGACAGCTATCTTTATCAGACTACCCAGTAATTTGAGGAAAAAATGAAAAAAAGTGAATTTCGTGTGCTTATTAAGCATTATTTTTTGCGAAAAAAAACCATTACCGAGACCAAGGCTAAGCTTGATAAATACTATGGGGACTCTGCACCATCGATTTCAATGGTAAAAAAGTGGTTTACTGAATTTCGTTGTGGCCGTACAAGCACTGAAGATGCCGAACGTCCTGGACGCCCAGTTGAGGTCTCTTCACCCGAAACAATCGAAAAAATTCACGATATGGTGTTGGCCGACCGAAGATTGAGAGTGCAAGAGATTGTGGAAGCCGTAGGGATCTCGCATGGCTCAGTGGTTTGAATTTTGAATGATCACTTGGGCATGAGAAAGCTTTCCGCAAGATGGGTGCCGCGATTGCTCACAGTCGACCACAAACGCAATCGTGTAACAACTTCACAGGAAGGTTTGGCGTTGTTTAATCGCAATATGGAGGAGTTTTTGGGCCGTTTTGTAACCGTGGACGAAACATGAATCCATCACAACACACTAGAGACCAAACAACAGTCAAAACAGTGGGTTTCTAAGGGTGAATCGGCGCCAAAGAAAGCCAAGGTGGGTTTGTCAGCCAATAAAGTTATGGCGACTGTCTTTTGGGACGCACGAGGGATAATCCACATTGACTACCTTCAAAGGGGAAGAACAATCAATGGGGAATATTATGCCAACTTATTGAACCGATTCAATGACGATTTGAAAAAAAGCCGACCTCATTTGGCCAAGAAAAAAGTTCTTTTCCACCAAGACAATGCAAGGGTGCACACATGTGCAGTTGCCATGGCAAAAATCCATGAATTGGACTATGAATTGCTCCCTCATCCGCCCTATTCTCCAGATTTGGCTCCGAGTGACTACTTCTTGTTCCCAAACTTGAAGAAATGGCTTTGTGGAAAAAGATTTGACTCCAATGATGAAGTCATCTCGCAAACAAAGGCCTATTTTGAGGACCTCGACAAATCATATTTTTTGGAAGGGATAAAAAAATTGGAGAAGCGTTGGACAAAGTGTATAGAGCTCAAGGGAGACTACGTTGAAAAATAAAAAGATTTATTTATCAAAAAATCTGTGTTTTATTCCAAAAGTCACGGACTTATTGACCCGCCCTCGTATTGTTTGGTGGTAAATGATAGCAGAATTTCATAAATCTATTCTTATATATATAAAATCAACTCCTATTACACTATGCCCATGAGCACTGTTGCACTAAGTACATTTATATTTTATATTATACATAGGTCACTACTTAAGTTTTGAGATGCTCAAAATTTGAAAATGGAACTCATCTGTGTCATTATTATTAAAATATTATATTAATAAGCATATATTAATTAAAATTTTGACTGCATAGATGGCGTAGTGGTTTAAGTGGTCGCCACGCCGCTTACTGCAACGCTGAGTGTTTTGGGTCCGATCCCCACATGGGACGACACTTTGTACCTATATAGTATTTCTTAATAAAAGTTTAATTATTATTTTTTAAATAACGTTATGTCGAATTGACAAAGGCTAGCCATGTCGCGAACAAACTCTGTATTGCATTATTTCTGTAATTATGTTGGAGAAAATAAAATAATAGACAATTTTCGATCACGATAATCGAGGTGAGTTAATTATAATAGAAAATAAGTTAGGTATTTATGTAAAATTAGTAGTAAGTGATATACCTACGTACAATTTACGATCGTTTTTAAATTGGCTCACCTCGGATGTAATTGCAATATTAGCATTAGCAATTAACTTGCTAAGACTTAAGAATTCGCAATTAATTAAATAAATATAATTAGCATTATTTAATTAGATCAAGTTAGATTTATTTAATGTTGCCTATATTATTTACACGTAATTAAATTTTGTATGCCCCAAACATTCAGACTCCATGCAAAATTCAGCGTAAAATATAACAGTGATTTCAGAAAAAAATGTCCCTTACTGGGTTTTGTGCTGGGGCAGCCAAGCAGCAGTGCTCCCCCCACTACTGTCTACCGGAGCGCTAATTTGACATTTTCAGTATTTCTAATTAACTGAATAAACCGGTATTTCACCACGTTGTAGAGGAAGTCTCGACGAACAAAAGCGTTTTTGAAAATTTATTTCAATTTGTCCCAATTTTTTTTTAGAGCCATTCTCCCGAAGGCCTTTATTTCAGTTGTTTTAAAGTTTCTCAAAAAGTTCTTCAAACATTGTTATGTTTAAAAAACTTGTCTATACTTAATTCATGAAATAAAGTATTATATTGTCACCATTTGCCGCTTTTTCGTTTGCTACAATGCAGCTTAAACGTGAACATTTGCGTGCTGTGATATATTACGATTTTAAATGTGGTTTATCTAAAGGTTTAAGCTTTAATTTTTTTAAATCATATTAAGGTGTCTCTGCTCCTTCTCGGGCTTCCATATTTAGAAGGTTTAACGAATTTAAAAGGCGGGAAAACTAGCCTTGAAGATGATGACAAAAGTGGACGCCCGCCAACAGCAGTCACTGCTGAAAATGTGTGAAGTGATTGTGCGAGATGAACCACGAATTATATACCATATTACAACATCTTAGAATGGGGAAGCTTTTTTTGTCGTTGGATCCTCGTTTGCTCTCCGAAACGGAAAAAGTAGCCAAGCCAGTTGCCAAAAATGGTGGCCAGTTTTTTCATGGTGTGGACATCTTGCAACATGAATGTTAGAAAATTGTAAGTCAGTTTACTCAGAACGGTGCGTACCGTTCTGAGTAAACTGACTTACAATTTTCTACAGTAGCATTGCCAAAAAATTTCAAAGCTGTGCAGGAGACGATCAAAGACCGGGCTCCGAAGAATGATGCTGGACCACAACAATGCGTCTTCACACTCCCTCAGAATTTTTTCAAGAATCGTGAATTATAATTTTTATTTATTTATATATTTTACCACATTCACACACCGCCATCTAGTCCCAAACTAAGCAGAGCTTGTACTATGGGTACTAGACAACTCATATAAATACATATATACTTTTTTTTTTGTAAATACATATATATTATACATAGAAACACCCAGACCAAATCAAACATTAAATGTTCATGCACACAAATGTTTGACTTGAGTGGGAATCGAACCCGCGACCTTTGGAATAGCAGTCTCTTACACAAACCACTTTGCCATCCGGTCGTCATGCATTTGAAACCCAACCCAATTGAAACCTGACTTAGCTCCTTGTGGCTTCTTTTTATTCCCCACCATAAAGGATAAGATAAAGGTTGTAGGTGGCTGCCTACAAATCAGATATTTTTGACCTGTCGAAGGAAGACTCCGATAAATGTTTCCAAGACTGGTTTAGGCAGATGGAAACTTGTATAGAGTGATGGAGAGTATTTTGAATAAAATAAAAAATTATAAATTGTAAATATATATTGTTTACTTTTTGCGTGCCTCAAAATTTATATAGTGACCTACTTATTTATTTATTTAACATTTAATGCACATGTTGTACAAGGGCGGACTTAATGCCATGAGGCTTTCTCTCCCACTCAACCTTCAGGTGATGTAGAAATATGATGCGGTAGGTGCAAAATAAAATATTAAATTTAACATAATTGAAGTCCAGAGACAGACACAATATATAAACACACATACATAAGGAAACATACATACATAAAACTACAATTCACTCCAAAGAAGATTGCGCACTTTTCTATTGAATGCAAGGCGGTTTGTGGATATCCTAAATTTAGGGAGGGAGGGCATTTCAGAGAAGATCTGACTGGACGTTGGAGGAATTGATGAAGTTGCAGGTGAGGTGGGCATACAATATGCTTATATTGTTTGTGGATCGAAGATTTCGGTCGTGATTGGTATTCAGGTAACGATGGAGAGTTGAGGAAAGAAAAGAGAGAAGTCAGTGCTCGCAAACTGCGGCGCTGACGAATTGGGAACGTAAAGCAGACACGTGGTCATACTTGCGAAGATTGAAAACGGATCGAATGCAGTTATGGAGAAGGCGATCTAGTTTATTCAGAAGGTTTGCATTCTGGTCAAAATAACACACATCACCATAGTCGTTCAAGGGAATGATTAAGGACTTCATAAGCATAGCCTTAGTTTTAGCGGGAGATGTCATGTGGTTACTTTCTGGCTGAGTTGTATAACTTGTGCCCACTTGTGCCAGTCAACTGTCAAATCGATATATAACCCCTTCTTTACCGCACTAAAAGGTATAGTCACATTGTTGTAGACAACTGGTGGGTTGACTGCGATATTCAACCTACTTGACATTTGGTTGGATTTCTGACAAACCAAACCTCGTTGACCAGCTCAAATCCAAATTTGTTGACTTTGTCGATGGCATATGTTATGTCCTCAACCCTTGACATATTGACATGTAGCTGTGTATATTTTATTTCAGTGAAGTTTTCACAACTTCCAGAGATCTTGATTTCAGTAACTGTGATTTACTCAAAAATTTGGGTGGAGATATATTAATATAAATGGAATAATAATAATAATAATAATTTCACACATCTCACACACGGCCGTCTGATCCCAAACTAGGCAGAGCCTGTACTATGGTCATCAGACTGCTGATAAACATACTTATATATTTCTAAATACATACATAATATAGATAAATTACACCCAGACACAGAACAAATGATCGTGGAATGAGTGGATTGTACTTACAATTGGGATGTTAAGATATCTAAGTGCTGTCCGAAGACATGAATGCAGTCCCATGGGTGGTACCCACCAGACCTTAGGAGGTGGGGTACCTTTGGTTGCAATGTGGCGGAGAACCTGCAAAAAGAGATAGTTTCATTTTTTGCTGCTCAGATTTAATTAGTTATCCTTTAAATAAGTATTAATTAAAAGTGTCATTAAATTTAAAAAATAAACTTATATAAATAATCATATTTCAATAAAAGTAAACCTTTTAAATACTAACAGAATTAACCCTCTGTCGGTATGTAGCCTGAGTTTGAATCCAATGGTGAGGCAAAGCAGGTGGAGTAGGGTGTGCACCATTAAAACATACACATAAAGCAACTTGATGTTCAGCCAATGCCTGTGCAAGAGTGGTCAAAAACTGGACACATCGTGCCCATTGACCACCACAAGCCCAATCTGCAACAAGTTTTATGTTAAGTTTGTAAATATGAAAATTTGTAACTTTTTTACAGAACTCTAACAACTTATGCTAAGGACTTCCATCCTTAGTGCAGACACAAACATAATTTAAATCATTTAAAAAGATTTTTATGAAGATATAGATAGATTATATAGATAGATAGGATTTCATTAGCATAAGAAATATATGTTTGTAAACAATTCAGGAGATAGAAAGAGTAAAACATAATTATTACCTGCCCAACTTATTGTATTACTACTATTAAGAAGTGATATAAACTAATAAATAATATGATCGTGTAACAATAAAACAGAATAGATATCTGAAACTTCATACCGTACCTGAAAAATATCCTCCATAAAGTCGATCTAAACATCCTTCAGCGTCAAGCACCAAGCGGAACCCTCCGGCGTGGTTTCTAGCGATTCGAAATAAATCTACACCAACACCTTCGTTCTCTAAAAACGTTTGAAGGTCTTGTATCCCCATTGTTTGAAAACTTAATTATAATTATTCGATCGTCACGATGAATTCGTCTGGGAAGGGAAAATATTTTTATGATGAAGGTAAGCATGAACTTAATTGATGATTGGCAAATTTTTACTCTCATGATAAAACAAAATTGACCGTAAAAAGATACACAATTTAATCATAAAGACGATTGTCGATTTTCTAGTAAGCTAATATGAGTAGGGTACGAAAGTTACCGGCACACAAGATAGCGAAGGTGGAATTCGTTGCGACCAATAATAATTCTATGCGGCAATCATTATAAACGAATTAAAACTTCCGAAACAACGAAAATAAGAAAATACTGCCCAACCTAGTTAAAAAACCATACCAACAGAGAATTAAGATAGGCGTAAGTTGAAAACGGAAGCCATTTGTAATTTTTTTTAATCAACAGCCGTGTGTCCAAAAGAGCCAGCATATCCAATAGTCGATTATATACGTATTGGATAAATTTAATGTGTTTGAAAATGTATCTATTAATAACCAACTAATATATTACAAAAAAAATCCACATATGTTGTGCACAAAAATAGCTTCTACAACTATTTTACTAAATAATACTATGTTCTTTATTTTTATTGTTTAGTGTTGATAACAATGTCATCGATTTTATGAGTGACATGAAAATTAACTGAATACATTTAATAATGTAAACCATCGAATCGGCATATTTTTAGAAGTTTAATTAGGAATAAATAGTAGCATTCTCTTTCTGTTAACAAATTTTGTGACCATTGCAAATACTATTTTACTGTTTTAGCCATGGAAATGTAATCAGGACTTCGCAATAATCTGATATCATCATCTAAGAAATTTCAGCCCATACCGACAAGAGATGATTATTTTTTAATTATTCAACTATTACGTATTTTGAAAGATGGAAAAAAAAATTTAGATGAAAATGATACTGTAAACAATAGTTATTTTACAACAATAGTCAAACTAACTCAGGTTTTAACCTGTTTATTCGCCACTCTTGTCGTACTCATGGGTATAACAATAACATGTCGGACATCGATATGTTTCATTTGTGTGTATGTGAATTTAGTAATGTATTTGTAAAATCTTTAAGTCCAACCTAGAGTTTGTTCATTTCCTGTATTTTCATATTTCAATTTTTTAACTGTATCTTCTTTTATTTAACTTTGCTTTTGTAAAAGGTTTAATTCTGTTATTTTGTGTTCCCTTGGTTTTTTATTATGTTTTACCTCATAGTGGAAAGTTTACTAGCTTGTGTAAAAATTACGTTTTGTATAAAAAAAATAGGATTACTTCAAATGATTAATATAGAAGACAATTAGATGTTGTATCCTCCAAATTTATCACAATTGTACATCTTCAAGAAGCTGGATTGTTTGCGAAAGGGGGGCCAGTAATGGCAGAGTCGCTAGAACAACTGGACGGGTTGTTGCGCAGCCTAATTAGATCAATGCGAAGCGTCGCTTTTGTTACGAGCTTAAGCTATATTCAATTTATTTCGCCAAAATTATATTCAATAAATATCTCGCACCCACCAAAATCGACGTTCCGAGCATCGAATTGAAAATGAAAAAAAGGAAAAATTAAGGGCATCTTTTTTGTCATTTGTAAGACTTTATTTAGATTGCCTACAATGATCACACACACGGTTAGGAAGTTAACTTTAAAATTAGTATTTTAATTTTCTCCTGTCTTTAATTTAAAATTAAAAGTTCATGACAAACCATAATTACTTCAGACCAAATTACCAGAAAGGGTTCATACCTAGAATCTCTGGATGTCTGGAACATTACTGATTACTTGTGGAATGTCTCAAGGATGGTAGGATAAATGAAAGGCAAATAACAGTCTCTTGGATAGATTTATAAAACGCCTTTGGCTCAGTACGACCCGAGCTCATGTTATATATTTGCCTGGATATAGTATAACATTTGCCAATTAAAATTTGTAATCACAGGAAAAGAGGGACAAAAACCCCTTGAATATATTTTTTTAGGTTTATAGGGTTACATATATACAGTCCAATACAGTCCAATTTCAACAATATCGTAAACCATGCGTATTGAATTCCTTGGAAGAAAGAGAACAAAGTTCGTACCCCATCTATGAACGCAATAGTCGATTAGTTCGTAAAGGCCATGAACAAGGTAGGCGAATAGCCAATAAGTAACGTAAAAAAGCTTCGATTTACGGCAACTACATAACATAGTGTCTCAACTGGCCACTTTTGGTATGCGAAATAAAGTAAAACGACTTAACAACACTGGACACGAAAGTCACTCAGACATTGACGTTGTGAAATTAAAAAAGCCTTCGGAACTCTACAAACACCTGAGAGTTACCAAAATACAAGTCTTGTCAAAATCACAAGACGATGTCGTCTAAATACGGTCTAAATGGAAACAACATAAAAATGGTTATTTCGTGGCGTTGTATAGCGTGGAAGTGGGTGCGAGGTCTATACCTGGTCAATCTCTCTATCACATGCTTAAAGGCCTTGGATTACCTAGAGCTTCTTTAAGCTCTTTTCTTGAACGAATATCCAAAGTGGCATTGCTAGGCTCGTATCAAATATGGTTAAGCAGAAGGGGTAACATAGCAGATAGTGGAGGTAAGCGTTGACGCGTCGCAAGGAGTACTCCCTAAACCTATTCCATTTTTTTTTTTAGTGCGGAAATCCCCTCGGAAACCACCTACCGGTGGCTATGTCAGACCAACTAAGCTAAGTCGAACCAACTAAAAAACAGCAAGCCGTCTCAGGTACCAGCAGCCGGGGAACCAGGCACAATAGGCACAATAGGCACCTGGGCCGGCTGCAGTACTTAGCCCGTGCCTGGGCCTGTCAGGCCGGGAGAGTTTTAAACCTCTCCCGGTCCCTCTCCGCCACCTCCTTCGCAAGCATAACTTGCTCACAGAAGGAGACTGCGGAGTTCCATGCACTCTCGCTTGCACCATAGCCGCAATCATGTTACCGAGAGAGAGAAATCCCACTCTGACGGCCGCCACGAGGTCACGCCTCTGCTCCACTCACGCCGGGCATTCTGCCATCGTGTGGAGCGCCGTTTCCACGGTCCAGCCATCACTCAGGCGTTGGCTCCTTGCGGATCAGACACAAGTGATCCCCGGAGCATCCTTTCCCAGTGATCACCTTGCGTCAGCCGGTATGAGAGGGCCCCGTGATGCCTCTCGAGCCAATCCTCCATAACGGGTCTTACCGCCGCGATAAAGGCGTGCCCGGCGCTCGGTTGCCCAAGTCGTTCCTTCCACCCTAAACCTATTCCTAGATCACAATTCTCAGGCACTGTCGAAGTCACATATGTTGCCCCTATCTATTATGTGAAGGACCAGGCACCCGCTCTGTGAAACCATTTAGCGCTAAGAAATAGGTCTCTTTTCAACTACCGAGCATGACGTAAAAAAGTGCCTTTACGTATTTATAAAACACAATAATGTAGCCTATATAAAAACGTTCATTTCGTACTAGTGTTTCGGTTTTGCACGAACCGAACGTTTTTGTATTTCTTGAAAACCTGTTTAAATGTACCTAGTTTAATCGCTACCTATATAGTAAGAAAAATGGATGGATATTCGACTAAAAATCTTGTTTGTGGGTTGTTTTTGTCTGTCAAGTCAATGTAACGATTTGTATAAGGTGTTATCTGTGATCCAAAAAATTGTATTTGGTTTGTACAAGTAGGGCGTTGTAAATGAAAATCACGGAAAAAATACATTGATTGGAAAGGAAATGACGGGCAATTAGCTTAGGCTGCACTTCTCAATGTGAAAATGACAAATATTAATCTTTCGATGTGTTCTTGTTAAAAAAAATGTTATAAATTTATTATTTTGATACTTAGCAAATGACATTTTGAATTAATTCTGAAAGATTTATACACCCTAAAACAAGTAATGCCGGAGCAAAGTAACGATTATCGTGTGGTAGTTTTTGGTGCGGGAGGTGTTGGCAAAAGCTCCCTTGTTCTACGATTCGTTAAAGGCACATTCAGAGAATCGTATATACCTACTATTGAAGACACCTACAGACAGGTAATCTTAATAACCATATAAAATAAACAAAACAAACTAACTATTCCAACGTTGGCAAGCATATCATAAATAAGATTTATTTATGTATAGGTACACAAAATTATACAATTTAACACTAGTTTTGGGTGAATTACGTATAATTAAGTATATAACTTATAGTAGTGGCAAGATTACTAGTAGAGGATACAAAAAAAATATTGTGACTATTTTAATAGTCAGGTCAAGTTAGTCTGAAAAACGGGTACCCTTGCATAAATTCCCAAGCTGAATTTTTGCATGAACCTTACTGATACCATTATAAGTCTGAAAAGTCCCCATCGATCCCGTGTGTGTAATTTTTTTTATGCGATGTCTAAGTTCGCTGACAAATAATTAATAACATATTTATTACATAATACACAAACATATTTATTACATAATAAATAATTAAGATTTTTGAATTTCCTTTTACACAATAAAGTTTAATTAATTAGTAAAACTTATTACTTCTGACTGCACAGATTTTTTTTTACTGTTTACAATTTTTTACAAACAGAAAAATATTTTTTACATAATTAGGATAATTTACCTGTAGCATAATATTGCACCTACATGTACACATTCAGATCTTACGATTTTAAAATTATAGTTGATTCTTGGGTTGTGTACTACTCATTTTGTAAATTTTAAAAATATTTACTTCAACTATTTAATACACATATGCTATGGTTATCTATTATGTTAAGTTTCATTAAGTACTAGCTGCATCCAATATGCCTTTCAATTTCATGTAAAGGAATAAAGAATGAAAAAAGTATTATACGATAGAGATTTCCTAGGCCTGGAGACACACAGGTATCTCTAGCACACCCTACTAATGTTTCATCACAATCTGATCATTGGTTTTGTAATGCAGAGAGGACAAACATAAAGCATTGGTTTTTATAAATAGATAGTTTAATTATTTTTTAAATAATAGTATAGTATCATTAATAGTTAAAATGATCTTGTGTTTCATAAAGTATAGTGTAATATAAGCTATATTACTGAGGTGGACAAAACATTCAAAGACTATTACTAGAATGTAAATTTAAACAGTACAAATAATTAAAGCTGTATGTACTTTAACAGAAAAAAAATTGAAACTGAAAATTATGCATTTTAATAATTATAATAATAATATTCTACCACATACACACAACGCCATCTAGTCCCAAACTAAGCAGAGCTTAATAATAAAACAACATGCTCTTCATTTTTATTTCGTTATTTTTAAGGTATCTTGATAGTTGTTGTGTGTAGTATAGAGAAACAGGTCTATAAAACAATTCATGAAATATTGTTTAAAAGAAACAAAGGTTCAATTTCTTCTCCCTTGGCTGAACAATTTGGAAATAGTTACCTACATATTTTATGTCATCCACTTTTTAAAGTAATTTTACATTTAACAAAGAAACCTATTAAAACCTTATCTATTGTTTGTAAATAAAAAAAAATTGGGGATCTCTAATAATTGTAATAAATAAATTTGAATTTAGTAATACTTTGATTTCTATATCAATTATTTCAGGTGATAAGCAGCAACAAGACAATATGTACACTACAGATAACTGACACAACAGGCTCACATCAATTTCCTGCTATGCAAAGGTTGTCAATAAGTAAGGTAAGCATGTTATGTGAAATCAAACATATGGTATTTACTACATTGTGAACCATATTAACAATGAACCTAAACTGGGTTCTTTGTGGCTACAAAGACATTCATGTTTGTTGAACCTTGTGTTCAGGAAGAAGGGAGTATTGGTATCTGTTTTGTGAAAGTAAATATAATAAGTACACATATTCCCCAAGCTACCATCATATAAGCAGATAAATGTATCTTTCCTAGAAAATATTTTAATTTGTTTAGATATCCATCCACATTGAGGTAAAGACTCTTAGATTTGATGATATTATTACAGGGACATGCTTTCATATTGGTCTATTCAGTAAGCAGTCGCCAATCCCTAGAAGAATTGAAGCCAATATGGCAAACAATAAAGGAAATAAAGGGCACAGAACTGCCAAACATTCCAGTGATGCTAGCAGGTAACAAATGTGATGAGAGTCCAGAAATTAGAGAAGTCTCAGCATCTGAAGGACAAGCACAGGCCTCAGCATGGGGCATTTCATTTATGGAGACATCTGCAAAAACAAATCATAATGTCACACAACTTTTCCAGGTCAGTATTTATTGATACTTTAAAGTGTATGTAAGTATATATAATGTGTTGTGAATGGTAATTTTATAGTTGTATTATATTTAACTATAAAAATGATTTTAGGAATTGTTAAATATGGAAAAAAACAGAAACGTATCACTACAAGTAGATGGCAAAGGAAAGAAAAAAAAAGACAAAGCAACAAAAGATGGTGGGGAAGCATCTGTTAGTGGAAGAGAGAAATGTCTTGTTATGTAAATATACCAAAAGTTCCAAGATCATGTAAACCCACCATTTCATTAATTTGTAGCAATTTTGATCCTAGTCATTAAATCCATGTCCTGGTCGAATAGAGCACGAATTTAGAGTATAAGAATTATTCGTATTGCATTTTAAAGCCAGAAGTAGTATAGTAATTACAATGCCTTTTAATATTATTAGTTTCGATTGTGATGGAGCTTAGAATCATTAAATATCTGCATATTTTGCTAAAGTAAGTTACTGATAATTTAAAGATGACTGACAGTCAGAGCTGAGAAATATTGCATATATTGTTAGAATGAAAATACAACGAAATCGAGTCTTTAGGACTTACTGTTAATCAAGTAATACAAGCTGAGTTGATATCCGTACTGAAAAATACATGATGTATTTATACTTATAGACTTAGTGGTGTGTTCTTTTGTTTATGAAGAATAATAGTAGTATGATATACAGAAAGTAAAGTAGTAGACTCAAAATAAAATTATTTACAAAAGTTAGTATTAAAATACAATTTTCACAAAAATAGTTGCAAAACTTGAAATAAACCAAAACTTCGTTCATAATGAAGTTAATACAACATAATTTTAAGTCTACAACAAAGCCTAAAGCTTTAAGTCTACAAAAAAATGTGGACTATGGTTCAAGCTACTTTTGAAATTTATTTTTTGCCCCCAAAACAATGATATAGACCCACACATGAAGTGGAGTGCTGGGTGTAATGAAATGAAGTTTTGAACAGCCATTACTGCTTTTATTCTATTTAAAACGAAATTACAAAAAAAGCTAATTTAAAACCCTTATTTAAACTTTACACCCACAAACAGTCCTAAAATGAAGTGTGGCATTGTATATCAAGACTAAGATGCATCCGAAACTATGGAAATTTGAACCACTTATATCTTTATGATTATAATACAATTGTGATAAACAAAACTCAAACTTAAACTTTATTTCACAAAAAAAAAAAAAAGAAATTTCCTGTTCATGTAAGGAGGGTCTGGAGGAGAAGGAAGATTATTTAATATAACCCATGTTATTCATTGCTCTTGAGTGTATTAGGATCTCAGTATTTGTATAATATTTTGTTCTTAACATCATAATCAGTTTTCTAATTAAGAAGATTTTGGATCAAAGAACCCAATGGACTGGAAATACCAAATCAGAATGTTGCCTGATATCTAAATGGACTATTGCAGGATAACGAATAAGGGCATTATTTCTTAGAATAGAATTAAATGGAAACCTACATTTACCTTTAAGACATGGCCACGTTACATACAGCATATTTAGTTATGACTATAATGAAAGAGCAGTCACTATTAAGTCGATTACTAGACAAATGACATCGTCTATTTAAATTTATTTAATTTTTAATATTTAATTTACTCAAATTTTATTAGTTGTTAAATAATGATTATAAATATGATTGAATCTTTATCTAGTCATTATACCTAAAAGTAGCTCTCGCTAGTTATATAATGCACTTTATTTAATATCATTCACTTACATATCCAATTATTAGATTGGTTCATATTATAAAAGTACTTAGTCGATTACCACATACAAATAATTTTTATTATACTTTGCCTATTGTACCTATTATAAACAAATAAGATTTTATAATTAATGTTATAAAAACATGTTTCATATTTTTTATTTTATTATAATTTTGGTGTTCATGATGGCCTTGCTCAATGATAACTGTTTATTTAATGAACCTTAGAGTAGGAAAGAATAGAGTGATATTTTAGACACTGAATTTTTCAGCGAGCCGTCTGAAGTACCTTATTCAGACGGCGTACTTCAACCAGGCCCAGCCATCCGGCTTTTCATTGCGAGATACCTGCTCGATAAGCGAATGCGTTTTAAAAAATTTCAACTGAAGGCCCTGCGCTCTAATACTTTGTTACTCTAAGGCATTTTTCATATTGTTTTTATTTGAAAGAATTCGAAATCCGTTCAAATTAAACGTTGATTAATTAGGAAGAAATCTTAACAATTCATTTTTTAATAATATTCATTATATTATTGAACAAAAATCACCAACTATTCATTATGTTCAATTAAAGAAGATGTTCGTATTTAAATTAGGTATATTATACATAATATGAAAAGCTCCAGGGCACAATAGATAAACACTAAATGGCTGCCTAATTTTATCTTGTGTGAATTGAGAGACTCCTATAAAGGAGAGAACGCCATGTGTTAGGGAGAGCATTCATTTACGTGTAATATATCTACATGTTTACGACAGATCCCTTTGTTATACTAATCCTATTTCATGTTAATGTTACATATACATAATATGTATCGGTTTGAATGTATTTTAAAGACATTTTAATATGCACATAAGTTGATAAATTATATTTGCACATTTTAATTATGAATTTGCTTATTGGCAATCTAAAATGAACTGTATTTATAGAGATAAAAATTGTTAATACTGAATTGTTATAGCTGGACCAAAGTTGTTCGATGTTGATTGACGTAAGTTTACGGTATAGATACTATCTTTCAAGTCTTATATTTGTCTTTTGTATCTCCTAATGACCTGTCTTAAAAAACCGTGCCATATACGTGAAACGTCAAAGTTCTGTAATATATAGTATTTACAGGTGAGCTGGACGAACCCAAAATCCATGTAGGCGTCACTTCGACCCCTTGCTTTAATATTACTAAATTACTTTAAAATTCAGCTAAAATTTTATGATTGCACGATATGGTAGTGATTGATAACAGAGAACACAATGCCCGTCTGAATGTCCTGTAAATATCTGTTTGCGACCTATTTATTATGGTGTCATATAGTTGCTGCAATATTAACTTTTAATGCTATTTTAATAAATTATAGTGTGTAATAAACACACTGGTTTCCGACATGGTTTTAGTGAGTTTTGAATTGATATGAATGATATAATACCTGGCTATTCTACTCTTAAAACTTTAATAGAATCACTTCTCAAGAAATCCGGAGCTTGTCTTCAATATTTGTAATAACTTGAGACATTTTAGATGTATCTATATTGGCTACCGAATAGATAGGAAGAAAATAATAATTTACATGTTTCTGTCCTTTTACATTCCCTGTATTAGGCGTATGTATATTATTTTAAGCATTATTTGTAACAATATGCATGTAGAAGTTGTAGAGCTCGTAGCTAGATTTAGTGAATACTGTAATCAACGAAGAATCAACATAATATAATCAAAACTTTCATATTATATTTAAAATCGAATTTAAAGATCCATACAATTTCATTAGGACCTACTTTTTGTTTTCATGACATGTGTACACCTAATAACACACCTAGTTGTTTAAGATACTACTACTTCACGCCTACTAACTACTCTTTGATCTAAAACAATTTTTTACTCTTTTTTCTATATCTTCGAAAATGGTGCCCAATGTATGACACGGCAATAATATAGTAAGTAGTTAATAGGATAATTATCAGCATAACTTTTCATATGCAAATCTAACCGATTATATTTAGGAAGCATAGACAATCCAAAGTAATACTAGAATATTAACGTAGTTTTCAAACTATTAATACATGGCTCATGTTAAGATGATAGGAAATTCTTTAGTTTAAAATTTCTACATCAATATTTTAGTACAAAATGGTAGCTGCTTATTATTCCAAATTTGTTATACTATTTTGTATTCGTCCGTGTTAATCTGTTTTAGTTACCTACATTTAGAAATAGGGTAGATAAATAGAAACGGCTCGTTCGATTCAGGATTAAAGTTTCGCTCGGGGTAGGTCGGTGTGGTCGCCCTGGTGAGAGTTGATGTTCTAATTGTATTGTACATAACTATCTTTCGTGAAATGTTATTTATATTGAGTTTACGAATGTTTGTTGACCAAATACAGTATAGATTGTAAGCAACTACTTAAATTCAAGAATATTTGCTTATTATCTTTTTAATATATAATGTCTATATTTTATTTATGCTTAGTTGAATGAACTGAATGTTTCCAATTACTTAAGTAGGTATTAAAATATTTTTAATTGTTCTTGTGACACTTCTCACTAAGGCATCACGAAAATAAAGATGTAAAAGTATAAATTGTTTTATTATAACTTTTAACTACATAATAATAAAATGCCTTGCGAGAATGTTATACCGGCTGATATTTTTGTATATTATTCGAATTTAGATTTAAATGGGTACGGTTGATTTTACTATTCACCCTTTGCATACCTGGCTTCAGATTCATTTTAACACCCTATCTTTTCTTTTAAACCTTTTTTTATACATAAATTAAGCTCGCCAGCTTTAAATATCAGTAGAATTAACTACAATGCCATTCTTAAGAACACACGTACCTATTTAATTTCCGTTTTTTAAAACTAGATCTAAGTGTGCGCCGTGTGCGTTACCCCAGCAAAATAATGTCAAAAATGGTCATTTAAACGTTATAGAAAATTAGTTGCCCCCCTTCTGTAATTGTTAGGCACATTTTTGAATTTGTTTCACTTAATTTTTTTAGTTATTTCAAAAAAACATTTCCTGCTGGGGTAACGTTTGAAACGTTACCGCAGCCAGACATTTTCTTTTTTAATTGGAATATTGAAATAAATATTAGCTAAATATTTAGTTATCTGGACGAGGTAAATGTAACAACTTATTTGGTGGTTGTATTTTCTTCGGCTGCGAAGGTATTCGAGATCCTGCTGGCGTAACATTTGTGGGTTTGCTGGATCTCTGAAACGGGTAAGCGGATTGTAACCATCTTTTGTACATAACTTCTTAAGGATTAATTTTAATTTGTTTAACAAAAAAAATAATGGACCGTTTAAAAATTATTTAGGTAAGTATAAAAACACTTCAATACGTCCTAACACTTTGAATAAGACCAAGACTTACTTTAAACGTTATTCTATTGCTTGTAACTGCCTTCAAATGTATACGAATTTTCGTAAGAATACTGTAAGTGACTACAAAGTTATGATGAAATGTAGCTCTCCACGTTCACGATCACAATGTGTGCGGCCTTTTTTGGTCACCGATAAACCTGTGTGTGGATATATAATCTGAATGTCATGCCAATGATTAGTTGTTTAGTTCAGTTGTCTACCTGTAAATTACCACGTTCTTGCACCTTCTAATGACTTTTAGTTAATTATCTCATAAATTATTATATGTACGACGCTGAAATTTTCGTATACATTTGAAGGTAGTTACAAGCAATAGAATAACGTTTGAAGTAAGTCTTTAGAGGTCTTATTCAAAGTGTTAGGACGTATTGAAGTGTTTTCATACTTACCTAAATAATTTTTAAACGGTCCATTACTTTTGTTATTTTATTGTCGAACAAATTAACACTAATCCTTAAGAAGTTATGTACAAAAGATGGTTACAATCCGCTTACCCGTTTCAGAGATCCAGCAAACCCACAAACGTTACTCCAGCAGGATCTCGAATAACTTCGCAGCCGAAGAAAATACAAATACCAAATAAGTTGTAACATTTACCTAGTCCAGATAACTAATTATTTAGCTAACATTTATTTCAATATTCCAATTAAAAAAGAAAATGTCTGGCTGGGGTAACGTTTGAAACGTTACCGCAGCCAGACATTTTCTCGGGAAACAGCAGGAAATGTATTTTTGAAATAACTAAAAAAGTTTAAGTGAAACAAATTTAAAAATGTGCCTAACAATTACAGAAGGGGAGCAACTAATTGTCTATAACGTTTAAATGACCATTTTCGACATTATTTTGCTGGGGTAACGCACACATCACAGACAGCTTCTTCATCTCAACGCAGTGTGTTTTATCCGACACATTACACCTGTTTTGTTTTAGTGCAAAACAGTTCTAATTAATCTTAAAAACTTGCAATATACTGAAGTTATAATACATGAAAATAAATTCAATTTTTACTACATCGTGTATAGATTAAATCTCAAACAAATAAATCCGAAGATATTGAGTTAGTACATGTTATCGTGTATAGCCGTGGCATCACCCGCCCCGCGCCCCGCAAAACAACGGGAGGGCCAAGCTTACGGCAGTTTGACTATAGCATGTTCACAGGTTCATTCATCTAAAGAACCATATTGCGCGTATTAGCTATACGCATTATTTATACATTGCGCTTTCAAGATTTTTTTCACTTGCCTCACTGCCAATAACGGCACGAATTATCGCCCGAGGTACTTCCGGACCGATATGATCTCTCCAAACCTGCAATAAAAGAGCATACGCCGCCTAAAAGGCCCGAAATTCAATTGTTACTTCTGATGTGTAGGTGTCTATCGATGGCGGTAGTCATTTTCATCGGATGATCCGCTTGCCAGTTGGCTGACCCCGATAAAAAAAAAGTCGAGTGAACCCTTACAAATACACCTAGAATTGGCCCTTTGGCACCCTTCTGTTAGAAATAATATATATATTTCTGTATTTAATATTTTATTTCATTATATGAAGCATTATTTACATTTCGATAAAACATGAGGAATACCAATCTTACACTATTTTTACATGATTATGTACATGATTTATCACAGTTGTTATTCATTTATAACTAAAACCACAAAATATATCATGTAATTTTAAAGTTATTTGTACATAAAGGCTCATTATAAGTCCCAAAGGTGGGTAAAATAAACGAATCCACAAAAAAAGGGTTTCTGAAGAGTGGTAAAGTCTTTGCTCTCTATGAAAGAGTGGAGACAAACAATTTGTGCATCAAGTAGTTATTGTCTATTGTCTTAAAAGTACAGTCCTTATCTTCACTGCTTTTGTATAATATTCAGTTCCATTAGTGTATGCTTTGTCAATATAATCCATACTTATGTATATAAGTATGGACTATATTTACATATATTTATCTATATGTAGGCTTACTTGCAACAAGTTAAAATTTATAGCATGAACTTAAGAACTTCAAAATCATAATAGGACAGGATTGCAGATATAGTTATTCTTCAACTTCTTAATTTGAATACAATAGTTTTTAATACTTTCTTAGTATTTATTAGTGGTCTCCTTCTCCACGTCCTTGTGTATACCTTTTTCTTAGATGACTATTTATATCTAATTTATTATCAAGGTCAATTTCTGACGAAAGAAGCATTGGAAGTCGTCCTGTACTAGAAGATCTCGGTAATTTTGGAAGTCTTACATTCTGTACTACCTTTTTAGTACTATTTTTGTTCTGTTGATTATTTAAAGCTAATGAAAAAGCATTTAAAAGCTTATCCAGTCTGTCACCACTTATCCTATCACTGTCTGCTGCTGCTGCATGGTGTTCATCAGGACTAGTTGAAAATAATGACCTCTTATTTTGAGTAACTCCAACCCTGACAATACCCAGAAAATTTAAATTGAATGGAATGTTGAATATAAAATTGAAAACAATCATAACTAAGAGGTATATTAATGAAATATTTATCACAACTATTAAAAGTCCATACACAATCTTATCAAAAGGAAACCACAATCCATCTGAAAAAGAAAGTAAAAAATTAATGGCAATAATAATTCCAAATGATAATTAATGACTTAAATTATTTGGTATTGCAAGCAATGAAAGAGATTATACGTTTTTAGCAGTAAGAATATGAAAATGTTACATTCAGTTAAACACAAAAAAGACTATAAAGCTGGATATTTCAATCCATTTGCCCCAGTTGCAATGGGAGGTTAATACTTCAGTACATATAGGCTAGCTCAAGCAGAGTAATACTACAGCGTCATAAACACCGGTGTTAAACAATTCTCCTGTTGCTTTTCACTGAGTGACTGAGGTTATCGGAGTTCACTATCCACTAGTTGAGGGGGGCAACGCACTTGTGTCTCTTGCATTGTTTGTGTCCATGGGCCACAATAGTCACTATCAGCCCTGCCACAGCATCGAACTTCAAACTAAGTTCTTTGAAATTTGATACTACAGTGCCGTCATATTATTGATTTTTAAACTAAGTTAGTTTGAAGTTCGACACTGTGGCAGTGCTATACACAAGGCTGTTTCCTTAGAAAATAGCACTGCTGGTGACCCTCCTGCTTGTATGCCTCCTATGTCATGAAAAAATAATAAGATTACACAAAAATTTTGTTACCAGTGATATCATGTAAGGTAATTTTGATGGTAGTGTTGATAACTACTATTGGTTCACAAACTAAAGATGTAAACATTCTTATAGCAATTTTCAATGGGTTCATATGTTTCATAAATGATAATGGATCAGGTGATGGAAAAGCGCACTCAGATCCATCAATCCATTTCCAAATGTTCCATTTACATGTATTCAAAGCAGACAAAAACTTCTCATATTCTTGTTGCTCTGCTTCCTGAAATTTGAAAAGTTAATTGTTTTATTCTAAAATACATTTTTTTATATAATTTGTTTGTCAATCCATCATGAAGATGACTAAAATTTAGATAATAATGTGTTTATTTCATTTAGATAGTATTTGTTTTTTTTTAATAATATGTAGGGATGACATTATTAAAACAATTTAAAAGGGTCCCTGTAGAAAAACATATTTTATGACACTGTATAAACAATGAACGCTAGCACTCCCTAGCAGTCTGGCCAATTTGCTGTTTTCATCTACATATATATTCCAAACCCCATTTATTTATGGATTTAGGATTTTTAAGACTGTCTGAACATAGTGAATTATGACATTTTATTCAACACATAACACGCCATAACACGCCTATGTCCAGCAGTAGACTAGTAAAGCCTGTTGATGATTCAACATATTCATACTACTTAGTTTTTAAAATTAGACTGATGAAAAGTAAATCTCATCAAAGTGTCGAAATAACTTTTGAATGGCATTTTAATAAAATTCAATAAGGACTGCAAATAGCATGTCCAAAAAACAGTTTAATAAATAACTCATACTTTCCTTACCTTGTAAGATATAATTACTTCATAAATATATGACACAGCTAGTATTAACATCACCGCATGTTTGTGAGAAACATGTTGCCAAAGCCATACAAAAATTCCAAGACCTCCAAGTATGCCAAAAAACCAAGAAATAGTTGTCTGAAAATAAAATTATAAATAACTGTAAAGAACTGAAAAAAATAATTAAAATAGTCTGGTTTAGCAAAATGACAATACCAAAAAAAAAAACATAGTCCATAATCTAAAGCACTGTTTTTATCAAGAATATTTGAATAATAAAATACAGAAAAAAGTTTACCTTGTATTCAGTAAGATATACTTGGATGTAATCACTCCATGCCATTACAATTTTATTAGTGATGGTTGGCTTATAGATTCCTTCCTCAACATAGCCTACAGCTCTTCTGAACATAACATCAGAGAGTGTAGACTCCGATATTAAGCACTCATGTAATTCTTTCCATTTGTTTTCCTCAAACCTCATTTGAAGTGATACATCAACACTGCCATCTTCATCACTTTTCTAAAAGCAAAACTAATACAAATATCTAAATAAATAAATGATATGTTAATACTGTTATTACAACACTTCATAAATTAATAAAATACCAAACAAACCTTACAAATTTTATGTGAGTTTATTTAGTATTTAGTGGAAAATTTATCTGTCTAGATCAAATGAAATACGAAGTTAACCTCAGTGCATGCAGGTTTTGAGTGTTTACTATAAATACCAGTTTAATACAAATCCAATACACCACAAAGTTAACCAACATATTGGTTTTAAAAAACAATGGATTAATAAAATCTAACTAACCTTTACTTGGCCACTTTTTAAGACTATAGTTAGTAATCTTTTAAACCACCATCCAAATTTTGTATCTGTCGATTTTTCTTTCTGCAAAGGAGCTCGTAAATCAGGTGGTAAACGAATTTCATCTGTAAGATCCGGACCTTTTAAGTCTTCGTGGTGCCAAGGATCTGGTCCACCTTTTGCGTCATTGCTATTACATGTGTATATACAATAGCTTAATAATATAAGTAAAATAGTCCGGCGGGTCATTTTAGCTCCGCTGTTCTGATCGTAACACGATCGTAATTTCACAAGGTCACAGTGTGACCGTTATAAAATATTACTAATCTACTAAATTCGGCAACTTTACTATTAAACTCTACTGAAGTAAAAAAACTATCGAAATTCTACCAACCTACGTTTTGATGCATTTCAATAATGTCGTTGAAATAAAACACGATTTATTATTTTATTAGATTGAGAACTTTTATTATAATTACAATTTTGGCCTTATCTAATCATATTAAATCAGGTACAAAGTTTGTACAATTTTCTCCACTATTAATTATCCCTTGTTTTGTGTGCAAAAGCGATGATTTGTGTATTTAAAAATTGATTACGATATTTAGTTTTAATTAAATTAACTTGTGAAAATTTACGCTCACAAGAACCTTGTGATACGAGCAACAAAATCATTTTGCGAATTTACAAATATTATGATATTTCAATTTATTACTAATATCTGTTAATATATGAACGCTCGCCGAAAACTTATCAGTATCCAGTGACACTGTAGTCACTGGTCGATGCCAGTAAGTTTTGTACGTTATTGTCATATTTTAACTGACGATTATTGACGATGACGATTATTACTGTTTATATCTTGACAGAGCCGCGAAGAAAATAATGGGTTTTGTTCCCATTCAGTGCGATAGTTTTGTTCAAATTTACGTTTCATTGTAAAGATCTCGTGGCAATCCGATGCAACACGTACTTACGTGTTGCATCGGATTGCCACGAGATCTAAACGAATTATGTAAGAGAATGATATATGGACATAAGGCAATACAATGGGAAATTACCCTTTAAAATAGTTTAAACGATGCTCTGAATCGTAATTAAAATAATTATTTAAATATACTCCATTCTCTAAACTTTAGAGTGGAAAATTCTGTGTCAGTCGGTCTTAAAAGTATAGAGTCGGGGGAAGTCCCTGCTACAAACAATACTAATATAAGCGTCGCCATTTTTTTTAAACAACTGCCGCACCATGAATAAATCCTGTGTCTCGGAGGACTTTACAAACATACATGAAACGGACACAAAGAACACCCAGACTCTGCGCTGCCATTGCTGCCAACATAATTTATAGACGTTGGAAACTACTGCATATCTACTGCGTGGTTAAATTTTCACTGGAAATCTACTGCTGCAGTAGAAAATCTACCGTAAACGGTCACACTGGTCGTAAATCTCTAATAATATTACTAGAATTACTATAATATTACTGGACTCTGTGGTCAGTCAACTGAAATGAAATTATTTAAATGTAACAGCGATGACATGCAAAACAGTGATGACTAATGACAACAATGAAATAAGATCAACACACAACTGTGTCAACTTATGTTTATTGTTTTTCATATTAAAAGTTTCCTTTTAATACTCGTATTTTTTCACTTTTGAATAGCATATTATTAAATATAATTTAGTGTGGTTAAGTATGGTTATAAAGAAAAATGGCTCGAAGCCATGCCGAGCGAAATAAACTCACTGAAAGACAGTAAAACCGTGACTATGTGTAATTACCTAAAGGGCGAAAAGTACTATCCGGAAATCCGGATGGCGCCAGCGATAAATTTAAAGCCGGGGTTGTCGTTAGAGGGTACTCACAAAAACAAGGCGTCGATTACGATGAAAGTTTAGTCCTCCTGTGGCTCGACTCAGCACTATTCGAGCAATTATTGCAATCAGTGCTAAAGAAAATTTAAACCTACGCCAATTCGATGTCGCATCAGCCTTCCTAAATAGTTCAGTTGAAGAAGAAATTTTCGTTAAAAAGCCCGAGGGCTTCTAAGACGGAACTAACCGGGTATGCAAACTAACTCGCAATCTCTACGGACTCGAGCAAGCGCCGCGATGCTGGTATTCATGCATTTCCGAATTTCTAATAAAAACTGGCTTTAAACAAAGTGAAGCAGACCCTTGCTGATATGCCAGACTCAGAGGTCAATCCAGAGTCTTAATCGGACTCTATGTTGATGATGGACTGGCGTGGCGTCTAACACAAATGTTGCAGGAGATGAGTTTATTAATGAAAAAACTCGTTTCAAGATCACAACCAGACCCATTAACTACTTTCTGGGTATGAAAATAAAAGCAGAATAACTCTATGCCAACAAGCCTATATAAAAAAGGTACTTGAGAAGTTTGGTATGATGAATAGTAAGTCCACACCAACTCCAATAAGTAAAGAATGTGTCAACGATACAGAACCTAATATTAAAAACAGGCTAGATTTTCCATACTCGTACAGACAGGCCGTTGGAGCCCTTACCTACTTAGCAGTAGGAACAAGCCTATGTTGTAAGCAAAGCATCCAGAAACCTAGAGACACCCACTACAATTGATTTCATGCTAGTGAAACGGGTCTTACGCTACCTCAAGGGGACTATAGACAAAGCTCTAGTATACAGGCATACAATGGAGTCACCAAACAATTTGGCATGTTACTCTGACTCCGACCTCGCAGGAGGTCAAACAACAGTAGATCGATATCTGGGATGATCTGCCTACTCTCAGGAGGAGAGCTATTAGCTGTCAGAGTCAGCGACAATATATTGTATTATTGTCGTCAACTGAAGCGGAGATAATCGCTGCCAGTGAAACTACACAATAAAGTTTGTGGCTGAACAGCTTATTGAAAGACTTGGCCAACTTACAAAAACGTGTACTCTTTCTAGATAATTAATCAGCTACAAAGCTTTCACAAAATCCTAATAATGAGTACCATAGGCGGACCAAGCACATTATTTTGAAGAACTTGTTTGTGCGTGAATGTGTAAACAACGGTATACTTGAAGTAAAACAAGTACCATCCGTCAGACAACTGGCGGACATGTTTACCAAACCGCTCTTTAGCCAGAGATTGGAAGAATTAAGTGAAAAAATTGGTCTAAAAAGAATTAAAAAAATCTACTCGTAAAAAGTTCTGAGGGTGTGAAGAGACTACATATCTTCCTACAAGTTATTTATGGCTGTCTTTACTATAGTTACGTTTGACTATTTAGAAGTTACTCAACTGTTTTTCCTTGCATACATTACGTATTCATTAAATCTTACATTATTGTATTTGTAACTACTCGGGTGGTTTGAAAAGTTTCCGACCTCAACACGAAAATGGCAGCACTCGTGAATAAAAGCTAGCGAATTTCGTTGTTCATCTGTTGACAGTTACTCGCTAAAGTTTCAGCCAATTTAGACGCGCAGTTGTTATGTTACATTCATTTGAGTAAGTTGATGTGAGAGTTTTTATAAAAATGGTCAAAATCGAGTAACGAGCTGTCATTAAATATTTCTTTTTTTGAAAGGCAATAATACACCTACGTAAATCAAAGATGAGTTAGATTCTGTGTATGGAGACTCTGCACCATCATTTACCCCAGTGAAATGTTGGGCAGCTGAATTTAAACGTGGCCGTAGGAGCTTGGGAGACGATGAACGTTCGGGACGTCAAAAAATTGCAACTACTGACAAAAACATCGCCAAAGTTCACCAAATGGTGCTAGACGACCACCGAATTAAAGTGAGAGAGATAGCAGAGGTTATGAACATGTCAAAAGAACGTGTTTGTCACATATTAAATCAACATTTAGACATGAAAGAGCTGTCCGCGCGTTGGGTGCCGCGTTTTCTCACGTTAGACCAAAAAGGTGTTCGAATGAACATTTCCAACGCTCTGTTTAGGTGCAATAAATCCGAGTTTTGGCGCCGATTAACTACTGTAGATGAAACTTGGATACACAATTACACGCCCGAAACAAAAATACAGTCCAAACAGCGGGGTGCAAAGGGGGAACCGGCTCCAAAAATGGCAAAAACTGTTCTTTTCGGCTGGGACAGTGATGGCGACTGTTTTTTGGGATAGTCATTTAGTTATTTTAATCGATTATCTCCAAAAAGAAAAAAAACATTACAGGAGCATACTACGCATCATTACTTGCCAAGCTGAAGGCAGAACTTGCGGAATCGGCCACATTTGCAGAAAAAGAAGATCCTGTTTCACCAAAAAATCCACGAATTACGGTTTAACTGACCACTGCTTGACCATCTGATCAGATCTAGCCCCAAGCGACTTCTTCTTGCTCCCTCATCTAAAAATTGCGCTCGGAGGACAGAGATTTCGTTTCATCAAATGAAGAGGCAATCACCTTCGTGAACAATTATTTTGCAGAGAGAAAAACGCCGAGTACTATTTGGACGGGTTACAGAGATGGGAGCATCGCTGGGAGAAGTGTTACAAACAGGCTACGTCGAAAAAAAAAACTGAAAAAGTCTATAGTAAAAGTATCTTTGTTAGGTCGGAAACTGATCACCCTCGTACAATAAAACCCTTTCTAACTGCTTAAACCAAGTTCTTATATTATTGCCTTGTCTCTATAAAAGTGGTTCCACATTATAAAAGTTATCAAAATCAAATATGAGTCACTGTAATGTATACTGTAAGGATTGGGTAAAAATACGTTAAGTAGTATAATAATATGTATAAAGAGAGAAATAAACTGAATTAATGGTCACAAAAAGAAAAAAATAGACATGTTTACACGTTACTACTGTCTGCATAATATACTACCCAAAACAATAAGGGTCACCTGTGTTTTTTTAAACTAGGTATTTTCAGTAGATGTGGTTTAAATGTTTTAAAATGGGTTATTTTAAGTTAAATTAATTAAAAATAATGTTTAATTGGCAATCTTGACGATAAGGAGGACGTGATCTCCTGGAATCCTCTGCCAATACGTTTTCAAATTATTAGTGAGACCATGCTGCGAGTTTATGGGGATGTCGCTTTCTCTGACACTTCTGTTCCATTTCTGGTCTGGGCTCCTGCATGGCCACTGTAAACCTTAGATTTCAGCTTCAGTTAATGTGGACATTTGAAATTAAATGAAATATTTATTGGCATAAAAATGTACATTATTTCTATAGGATCAAAGTTTTACTTACCTAATTATTATTTGAGAATTAAGCCTGCCAAGTATAAGGAAAATCAATTTATTATGTATTATTTATAATGTACAACCTAATAAAAATACAAAAAGTAATAATATCCATATTTCTTATTGTTTTATAAAAGGCTGTTAAAAATTATGTACCTAATCTTATCAAAATAAATAAGATTTGTATTTTAAAAAAAATAGGTTAAAAATGAAGTTCCAAGAACTGAATTTAGGTTAAAATGAGAATAAAGAAAGGAAGCGAGAGAGGCTTGAAGTCAGTGATATTTACTGAGCTAAACGATCTAGATAAAGATATGAATAAATCGAGAGACAATTCAATTGAATTGGATCACTGAGCTAGTGAGCTAAATGAGTTAGTGAGCTAGATAAGTGATATATATCTTTAGAGCGAAATGATATGTATCCATATTTTCAGCTCAGTGATACATTTTGCGCATTACTAAGCTAGAGAGTTACAACTGAGTTACTGATACATTCGGCACTAGTGTGAGTGAGTGAAACATCATATCGGCGTGAATGATGTATATCTTTTAGATCACTCACTCAGGAGCTAAAACCAAATAATATTTAACATAGCATCACAGAACCTAACCATAGTTCTGTCAAACTTCTAAACAAATATATTCTGATTGACATTGACAGAATCTCTGCGTTGACTCTACTATAAGTATACACTCGAGATTGAGGGCATAAACACCTAATTAGATTTGTAAATATTTAGAATTGTATTTATTTTCTCCTTAAAAAGCAGTAGTATCTATTATAAATCTAGCAATGTCTTCCATCGATTTTGACCCTGCGATTAAGCTATGCTTGAAATATTTACACTCAAGTGCTATAGATTCAACTGAACAACTTCGTTTAACTCTGGATGAACATATCCGTCAGACATATGGAAACGCTAAAACTCTTGGTAATGTGTTGCCGAAGAAGTATTTGAATGAAGAAAAACTAGAATCTCCAAGGTCTAAACACAAGGGTGAAAAGTCTGTGAAAACCGTACCTTTGGCGCAACAGAGTCCTCAGCAAATACAAATTCCAGAACGAGAAAATGACGATGGATCCGTTATGGATGGAGAATTATCACTAGATTTGTTAGAGGAGGATTTAACGTGTACCGTTTGCAGACAAATTTCGGTGCAAGCTGGCAATCGTTTGGTAGAATGTGATGTTTGTTGTGCTTTGTATCATCAGGTAAATAAAATGCACTTCTTTAGATCTACATTTACATATCATGAATAATATTTCAATTTAATACCCAGCCCTCTGTAAAAATAATATTATTCAAATATATTTTTTACCGAGGGCCAGGGTTTACTGAATATTATTTTCCTATGATCGTCGTACATTAAGTGATAACTCCATTAATGCTATGATAGAACTAGTTTAAACACATGTATAAATGTTGTATCAAGATGTATATTATGATAACTGAATTTATGTTCTTTAAAGCATGAGAGAGAGACAATTCTCATTCTCCAATCGTCAAAGACCAGCTTGTTGAAACTTGTACTTGAGGATCCCAGTACAGTTGCCAATCTCATGAATATTTAACAAATTCAACTAACATGTACTCTCTCATATATATATATATATGACACAGTGTGCCTCTGAAACGGCCCGATCAATTTTAATGATTATTTTGTATATTTGGTAGTTATGAGAATAGGTTGTAAATAATTTTTTACCCTCCCTTTTTAACCCCTCATTTTTTGTAAAAAATTATATTTCAGAACTAGGTTTGTCAGGTCAGCTAGGAATTCTATATAATTTATGTCAACTTTTTTACAGGATTGCCACAAACCTGTGATCAGTGACAGTGATGTAACAACTGGTTGGCAGTGTGCTACATGCACCTCATCTAAAATTGCTGCTGGCTACACTAAGACAACTATAGTTAAGTCACCGTCACACGTATCGGGGTCCACAACACCAGTCAAGATTTCTTCCAGTAGCTCTTCTTCCTCATCACCTTCAAAGGTTGTTACTCCAAATATTAATATCATCTCAGCTGACAAGAGGCTGCAAATAATGAAAAAGAAAGCAGCTAAACAGCATGAAAAGAAGAAAAGCTCAAAGTGAATTTCGGTGAATTTTGGAGTGACTATCTATTATGAATGTGTATAAATATCAACATGCTGAAAGACAAATATTACACATACTAAATTGTTATAATATTATTGTGTAATGCTTTCAACAAATCTAAGTTTATACTTAAAGATAATTTTAAATAAAAACATGATATTTTACAACTGTCTACTAATTCTTTTTTCCTAAAAACTAGAAATATAAATAAATTATACACTTCAAAGTCAAGGAAGTTAGAAATATACATTTCTAAAACTGTGTGGTGATAGATTAAGAATACAAAATGTCACCACCCCTATTCGTACTAAGGGAGTAAACTACGCACGACAACACCACTGCAAAGAGTAGGAAAACTTGAAACAACAACAACAAACTTGGTATAGGGTAACATCTCGTCTGGCCAGCGTGGTATAGTAGGCCAAAACCTCCTTTCTAAAGGCAGTTGATAATGATGATGATGATTTCTAAAACTGAACAAAGATATCAGAACCAGTGTGATTCTGATAATTAAATCATAACAAAAACATTTTCATGTAAAATGTTGCCAACACAAGACCATATGGCTTTTAACTCTACTGGGTGAGTCAGTGACGAAATCGAGGCTTTTTAGATATCAATAAAATCTAAAGTAGGTATATGAGCTATGCAATTGAAACTTTGTGTTTAATAAGTCGCCTATTGATATCATATGCCGAGAATTGTGTTTATTTGGTATAATCCAGACCCAAAATTATGGTGGTTCAAAAAAACGACGAAGTGCTTAGAGAAAAGGTAGGTATGTAGTGCCTTTGCGCTTCGCTTGGCTCTTCTTGGCCGGGGCTTTGCCGGGCCCCCAGATAATAGAAATTATATTACCTATGTACTATCTAATCTCAGGTGAGATTATTCAGGACACAGTATATACCTACTCGTAGTTTGTAGTATTAAAACAAAAGTATGTCGGAAAACTGACTGCTGACTGTTAATCTGAATGCACAATGAATTGCTTTAAAACATGCTTAAAATCCAACGTTCATTTCCTTAAAAAGCTCTAGGAATAATTACTAATAAAGTTAGATAAGAAGTTGCATCCAGCTAACCGGAGGTATTAGCAGCATGTTTTCTTGTTTTTTAACTCTTCTAGGTAATTACAGCTGCAATATTTTAAGGTTATCAAATGAGAAATTATCTTAGTTCCTCTACGGGAAAAAAACGGCTATCCGCTTTGTCCGCTTTGTCACTATTGTTTACAGAGGCAGAAAGTCTCGAAAGAGTGATGGAGGATTTAATAGATAAGATTACTGAAAAAAGTGAGACAATTATGTTTTGAGTTGAAATAGGAAGGAATAGGAATTTTATTATAAATTTCAATGCACATTGAGTAACTGTTTTTTCTAAATTTTGTAGTTGTGGGTATTATATCAAGTACCAGCCAGTTCGGATTGCTCATGTCCTCCCTGCCTCTAACATCCTTTGCCTGTTTGAATAAGTATGGGTGCTGTTTAACAAATTTACCTACTTCAGTAATATATAAACAAGGCAGTGAGAGTATTTTTAATAATTTAAAATAAGGACGGCAGGACACGTGGGGTGCAATGTCACATATATGGACCTTATACAGCGTTTCTAAGCAATAAAAACCTTGTCTATATCTGTGGCGTGACCCCTAGATTAGAAGTCCGTATCTAAGTACCGATTCGACATAAGCAAAGTATGCTGTACAAGTTGTTTTTCAGCTTGAAACCTAGTCCAGTCTATATAATGCGAATGCAAACCCCTTAACATTATTGCTCCTTTCCAAACTTACTATTTATACCTAACTAGCTGACCCTGACGTTGTTTTGCTATTTACTTTATTTAAAATTATTTTTTTTAATTTCTTAAAATCCGTTCTTAGCTGACCTCTACTCGGTGAAAAGAACCAAATTTCAAGTCTTTAGCTCTAATGGTTCCAGAGATATCGTGATGAGTGACTATATACGTGGAAATCTCTTATATATATATATATCTATATATATATAAGAGATTTCCACGTATATAGTCACTCATCCTATCCTATCCTAGCAGTGTTACATTTCTTGGTCTAATCTTAGACCAAGAAATGTAACACTGCTAGGATTTTATAACGGCTGCCCCTCGTAATTTACATTTAATTGATTAGTTTTAAAATTATTAAAATTAATATAAATTGATTTTGATACATTAATAGGTAAATTATTATTATTTAACTATTCTGTTTTAATGTCCTCCACTCGTGATGGTCGTTACGACGCCATGCCGGGCATTCTAGCAGGGTGTGGGGAGCCGTGTCCACGCTCTGGCTACCGCGATTGTGGCACGAAGCATTAAAGCCGTTATGAGAGGATCCCGGGTTTCCTCTCTACCCGATTCTCCATTACGAGTTATACCGCCGCTAAAATGGCGTGCCCAGCGCCAGCACCCTCTAAGCGCGCCTTTCTGGCACCGTATAGCCACTATACGGTGCAACGGTATGGGCGGAAACCGTTGACTGGACAACCCAGGACCTCAATTCTGCTATTTACGCCAAGCCACTGTCATATCACTGACACGCTATTGAGATGCCATCGAGTGGCCATTGGCATCGGTATAAATACGGTAGTTGAAAATATATTACGTTTTTTGAGTAAATTATTTATTTATTTTTATTATAGTAAATTATTAAAAGAAATAAATTAATTAAATTATTAAAAAAATAAAATTATAAAAAAAAGAAATAAAAAAAATTATGAAATAAAAAAATAAATAAAAAATAAATTTAAATAAACAAATCATTGCCTTATAATTTGAAAATATATTTATTTTGATATTACTTTTATTTTTTTGTTAATAATTTATTTATTTCTTTTAATAATTTATTATAATAAAAATAAATATCATTTCCTCAAAAAAAGTAATATACTTTCAAATTATAAAGAAATTATTTATTAATTTTAATATTTTTTTTATGTTTTATTTTTTTATTTTAATAATTTATTTATTACTTTTTTAAATTTTATTTTTTAAATAATTTATTTTTATTTATTTATTTCTTTTAATAATTTATTAAAATAAAAAAAAATATTTCATTTACTCAAAAAACGTAATATATTTTTAACTACTGATATTTATATCGATGCCAATGGCCACTCGATGGCATCTCAATAGCGTGTCAGTGGTATGACACTGGCTTGCCGTGAACATAAAATAGCAGAATTGAGGCCCTGGTCTATTACCACAACTTATAGAGCAATCTACACTACAGGTGCAGTTGTAGCAACTGCATTTTTATGTACACGCACTATACTCAATTTTCGTAGGTATCAAAAAATGAAACCAAAGAACTAGTATCAATTACGTAATATAAATCCTAGATGTCAACCTCAAGCATCTCTTTAGAATTAAGGAATTTTCCACATTGTGTAAGTATATGCATAGATACAGACAGTTCTTTTTATGTTAGGCATTTATTTTTCTTTGTAAAAAAATTACGTGCCTACTTTGCTTTAGGGTTAACCCGCCACTGATTGCTATAGTATTATTAATTTCTATTTCATGTTCTGATTACTTCCGATAATGTTACGTTACCTTTATTAGATGTGACTATGATAATAGATATCTCATCAGCATATAATGTAGTTCTATGTTTAGTGACTTCAGGCAAGTCATTGATGTACAAAAGGAATAATAATGGACCCAATATACTCCCTACTCCCCAACCCCAATTTCTTTTTAAATCGGATCTATACACTTGAATTGAGCTGTTTATACCTATTTGCGTGACATCTACACGTTGAAGCCTATTTTTCTTTATTTTATTTCGTGCACTTATAACCTTATAACCAACATTATCGAGAGCTGCTGTTCTTTTGTGAAAAAGGTATTGTTTTTGTTGTGTTTTTAATTGTTTGATTATAGTTACATAAGGAGAAGGCCTCTTGGCCGCAGTCTAAAAAAATTGATGAAAGGCCGTCTAGGGCAAGTTAAACCACTGGTTATCAATGTCCCCATCATGTAACCCGAACTTATAGACCAAGGCCAAACCGTTTTAAATATGGTAATAGACGATAAGTTCTTAGCAGTAGGCCTGCACTTAATCTTTGTTTATTACACACAATACGATAGTTGCATAATGACCACATATTGGTTTTCTGGATTCCCTTTAACCGCTAGTCTTTTCGATAAAAAAGACATTTCATCATTCAAATATTAGAAAAATTATAATAGACCAGGACTCATCATCAACATCATCAATCATGTTTAAAGCAATAAAAATCCTTAGCAGTGCCTATACGAATAGCCGGCAAATGTGTGACTATTCTACGGAAAATGGACTTTTACTCAGTCGGGTCAATTTTTCCTTTATTACTAACACCATATACTACATTTGCCGACTATTCGTATATTAAAAAAATCCACAATCGAAGTTCGGTAGAGAAATTGTTGTCGTACTTTTTAGTATTTATGGTTTTTTCTGGTATGGTTGAGATCAGAGATTCCCAGACTATTTTGGGGAAGAGACCCCTTTTCTAAAATAAACTGATATCGCAGACTCCCATAGCCAAATTACTTTAAAAACTATTATCTAGTTTTTTCCTATTAGTACAAAAAATTACCAATTTAATAACTTTGCGATTGGTTAAGCGAGTCTTGAACTTATAAATATCAAGTGTAATTAATATTTTTATACAAATTACGTTAAAATACTTAACTGGGTAATAATTTTTTGAAAAAAAGCATTAATACACATAACTTATACAGTATCTTAAAAATTTCAAAGACGAACTTGTGTTTTAATAGGAGTCGATTTTAAGACCTCGTCGACCCCCAAAATAAGTTTTCGTTTATGTCGACCAAGGGAAATTTTGGGAATCCCTGATTTAGATGAAAAAGTGAACTACCTAGCTAATTATCTTTATCTAACTGTTTGCAACTTTTATACATTTTAGATGTGTAGCTCTGGATTTGATCGTGATGGTTACATAGATCGTTGTCATGATAGGTGCAATTACGAGTAGATCGAAATGTCGGGGAACCAAAAAAAGTATTATAGGTACTTTATAAATATTGTCGTGATTAAGTCCCGAGTAGTTAAGAGTTATCGTTTAGATACGAAAATGGACATAAGAAATCATATTGTTTATTAACGGACTCCAAACATTCAGATAGGTACTCAATTCGGTTTTACTTGGAGATACCTATTTTATTCGTTACTTTCGGATAATTTAATTTACCCAGGCCTGCCGCCAGCTGTTTGAGTGCCCGTATGCAATGACGATTAAGCGATATTTTAACTAACCGGTTCCCATGACTTCGTTCGCGTGGAATTTGAAAACCGCTGCGTTAGTGGGTTCCATTCCCGGACAATGGAAATTTTATAGGGTTTTTCTGAGAGAAAAAATAGCCTAAGTTACTCTTTATAAAAACCGCTACCTGGTAGTAAAATATTATCAATATCGGTCCAGCCGTTTTGAAGATTCGGGTAATCTTCAAACCGGCTGACAATGACCTTCAAAACAAACAGACAGACATATAGTCAGACAGACAAAAAATATTGAAACTCGTTTTTAGACAAAGGTATCGTGCAAATATGTGTGTGAGCATGAAAAAAACCTATTATTTTGACATTACACAAAGACACTTCAATTTTATTTATTTGTATAGAGTATAAATAGAATTATACCATGATATGTCGTTTCATGCGGTTTCACTTTACGGATTGCTGTGGCGTGCCACCGCGTTCTGCGAGCCACATACCCACCTACCTAGGTCACAGGATTATGACCCCCCGGAATCCGGCACTCCCCGGGAGGGTTTGCGCTGCCGCGGTATCATTCCGGTCGAGCCAGTTATTTGTGATGAACCATGGCTCTCACACAGAAGAATTTTTTTTTCTTTAACGTATCAGTTCGTATTTGTCTCTCTTCATCTTCAGCAAGAATTGCTATTAACACTCAGATCAGATCCCGGTCAATCATAACGACACAACGAACTTTGAATCCGAGCCTACTGTTATTGATACTACTTAGATTTTGGAATACCAACTAATAGTGAATGGAAATTATATTCACACATAATTGAGTTTAAAAATTAACATCGCGTTTTCATTTTAAAACTCGACACAACTATTTCCCTAATCCAAAGAATGTCTTCATTCTTAACAAACTTATCGAGATATATTTGTTTATAAATACACCTACGAGTACAACGGTAAGTTTGTCACGAGACGGTTAACAGTTAGTTAATAGTGTCAAATACTATAAAAAATTTAAATACTATAAATTATTTTGAGGATTTTTTTTAATTTTGCCGATAACTTTGCACATTTCAATGTTTATACATTTTAATAAAACAACTTTATATAGAATCACCAATACATTTACTGTTGCTTGTTTAAATGAAACACTAACTGATCAGCTTCCAATGTTTTCCAAACCTTGTAACCAATCCAGATAAAAGTGCTCTCCTATTGGTGGATCTCTAAGGAAGGGCGGATCGGGATAATCGAGATGTTGCGGCGTCATTTTCCAAGGAAACACAAAGTGACGTTTGTTTCTTAGATGATGAAGTTTATGTTCGCGTGGTACTCCTCTGGCTCTTGTACTTATACCACCTCCTCTTTTCATATTGATCTATCATCTTAACATTCAGTTTTCATGCAGCTTTTAGTTCAGGGCGGAGTGTAATGTGGGCGGGTGAGTTTCTCAGCAGATCTTTTTCAGTTGATTCTGTGAATCAGTGTTAAATGTGTCATTGTTTGTGATATAAAAAAAAAGAATACATTTGATCGGTCTAAATATTTTAATATCCACTACTTTGTTCTTTAAATAAATTTCTCTACGTAGTGTTTATTGTATTGCAAGTAGACAGCACTAAACGACTCATAAACTAAATTTTATGAATAAGAATTTCGAATCATTGTTAGTTTCATTCAGTAATAAACAATAAAGTAATCGTTTGAAATGAACGCTGGACGAGCAAGAGTGCCAAAGTGCGCCCGTTGTCGAAACCATGGTTTGATCTCTAGTCTTAGAGGTCATAAGAAAGCCTGTGCTTATCGACTGTGTCAGTGCCCCAAATGTGGCCTGATCAAGGAGAGACAGCGTATTATGGCTGCTCAGGTAAGTCTTTACCTTTATCTATTCATATTTTATATTTATACTTAGATTTGTTTGTATCGTTACAAATTTTAACTTCAACTTGTTAAAAGTTTTCTAGGATTAATAACTTTATATAAATATTAACGTTTAAGTATTATCCTATCTGTGCCTGAGCACAAGCAGCTGTAAAGACTCTAAAATGTATCTGTCTTCTACATTGAAGTAGTTATTTTATTAATAGAACTAATTGCTCCTATTTGGTAATAGGACATACAGAAAATAAAATTTTGGTCAACAATAAAATAATTCAAACTTCTTTGACGTGATAAGGTAACTCAAAGGTGTTTTTATAAACATAGTGTTCGCTTTATAACGATACTGAAGGTACTTAACGATGTACTTAATGACAAAAGTCTTAAGTAAAGTAACAGGCTATCAAAACTTAGGTAGATACCTAAATAATCATACCAATTTTTTAACATTCCGTAAAGCTTTCTTATAAAAAGTAAGGTTTTTAACCCCGGCGGAAAACGAGGGGTGTTATAAGTTTAACCTAGGTATCTGTGTATGTCTCTGTCTGTCTGTAGCATTATAGCTCCCGAACGATTGACCAATTTCAGTGTGGATTTTTTGATCGAAAGTCCATGTGATCGAGATGGTTCTTAATTATAAATTTTGAAGATCAGCAGCTCACTTCCTAGGTAATAAAAGGATCTTACTAAAATCCACAGGTCCGAATGGTCTGAAATCTGTTGTACTGTTACTTGATGGTATTTCCACGACCTGATAACCTGGAACTTGCTGCTGCTTCAAGTAGTCTGCGGGATAGCCAACTAATCAGAAAATTACAGCATACATACCTACCATGTTTGGGTTTTATACTGTTTTTTTGGTGTTGGGGTTATTTTTAAAATTGTGTTATGCAACTGATTATACTATTAATGTTATATTTACTTAGACCATTTAATGTCCCTCTAGTTATTTCATACGTTTTTAGTTCAAAACTTAATTCGGCAAGTCACGTCTGAGAAAGCATTCCTTTGTACAAACGCCCGTACTTACAATAGAGAGCGTAAACCTGGCTATTGTGTTATTTTCTAATACCAGACCTTTAAATCAACCTAATATCAGTAACATTTTCAATATTTTTGAAGAGAAGTTGTATGTTCTACTTAGTTTTCTTAGTTCTACTTAGTAGTTTTAGTTGAGGCAAAGTTTAGATATCAAATAATCTCATTCGTGCATCTACCTATTCTTTCCAATACTTATTCTAAAAAGTGCCATTGGTGTTTTGCATTCCAAATGTACCTAACCACTTTTCAAAACGAATACTTCACAAAACTACTCACAAATAATTCGTGTTTTGGTATTAGTGTCAAAAAACCTCCTTTATTATTTAAAAAAAGTACTTGTCGGGGCGTATCGTTTGTAGAAGTTACTAGTTTGAAACAGGTAAAAATAAATTACACACATTTTGTACATAATTTGGTAAAGCTAACTTATGTGACTGATGTTACTAACACTAGGCCAAGAACGTTGTTACTAACAAATTGTATGGACTAAGTCTGAAAATAAATTTTTATTTTTATTATAAAATGTACTTAACTTCGTATAAGTTATCTGGGTATATATTGAGTTAAATGAAGAACTTAACTATGAGTAAGTGGCGGCAGAATGCAATTGCGATTCTCGCTGCCCCGGCCATTGGCAAGGAGAGGAGCACCGAGGTGGTTTTAAGTCGGTAAGAGTCTGACAGACCCCTTCTCCATCCCCCACAGGGCGAAGGACATCCATTAGGATCTTCCACCCCGTTAACAGAAAAAAATAACTTAACTAAAGATTTTATCTTTATTTTATTAGATACCTACATTGACATTCTGACGGACGGACAACAGACATACTTACATACGGACGTGGCGAAATTATAAGGGTTCCTTGTAGGTGGTAACCGTTTGAAAAACAAATAAATATGATAACAAAAACATAACAATGGTACTTAACAGAATATGATATTCAAATGGCATAATAATATCTCAAATAAATATTGTATGGTAGAAGTGCTTACTGAGATACTCAGTGAGAGTTCAAGTAACTTTTCTTAGGTATCTTTGACTGTTTACGCTAGTCTCGTTCCAATTTAATATTAATATATTGATAATAAATATATCGTATATAATCCTATCATAAAAGTTTAAAACCGTAGATTTTTTGAATGTTTCGAGACATTTGCACTGGTCGATTAAATTACGTGATCGCATGAATTCTTGTTAACGTTTAGTCAAACATCCATGCATCGTTATTATCTAATCACAGTAAGTACTCGTAGTAAGTTTTTTCATATTTCTTTTTTATTTATTTATACTTTATGCACAAATGTGACACAGGCGGACTTAATGCCGTAGGCATTTTCTACCAGTCGACCTTAGGGCGATGCAGAGTTAAAAAAAATGGTAGATGCACAGACATTAGAAATGTGATTTAAAAGAAAAAAAAATTGTATAAATAGAATATCATATGCACAGGGTACTTAAATAAATTGCATTAGAATATATTTTAATAATAGAGATACATACATATATAATAGGTAATAATGATACTAATACACACAATACATAAGTATTTATGTTTACATAATAATATACATTTATACATACATATAATTATACATATTATACATATGAATAGGGGTGGTGACACTCTGTATTCTTAATCCGTCACCACACGGAAAGATGTATATATATATATATATATATATATATATATATATATATATATAATATGTATAATTATATGGTATTTAAGGTATTTAAAAGTTTGCCGAGTTTTTGCCATCCTGATCTCGCGTGGCAGCGCGTTCCATAACAGGACGGATTGTACCAGAAAGGTAGAATGTACGAAGTCAGAGCGGTGAGTGGGACAGTGAAGAAGTAGGTTGCTTGAAGATTTAAGGTTTTTATCATGGTTTGCCCCTAAATATTGAAGTTGAGTAATTAAGTAGGAAGGAGAACTAGGAGAAAAAAGTAAAGAATATAGGGTAGTTAATGCGCGTGTCTCTCTGCGTTGGCGAATTGGAAGCCACCCCAAATGGGAGCGATGGTGAGACACGTGATCATATTTGCGTAAATTGAAAACGAATCGAATGCAATTGTTGAGAAGACGGTCAAGCTTATTGAGCAGGTCAAAGAAGCACACATCACCATAGTCGATTATAGGGATTATAAGGGTCTGGGCAAGCATTACTTTAGTTTTTATTGGCAGAAAGTTCTTAAGCCTATAGAGGGCCCGCAACGAGCCTGTGACTTTCTGGCACACAGATGCAACTTGTTTTCGCCAGCTAAGAGTCGTGTCAATATACAATCCGAGGTCCTTCACACTTTCACAGAATGGAATAACCATGCCATCGTAGATAAGTGGCGGTAGTGAAGCAAGGTCGAGCTGACTCATACGACGGTTACTTCCGATGATAATACCTTGGCATTTATTCGGGTTCACCGATACGCCAAACATATCTAACCAGTGTTTAATGGCCGCCAGGTCACTATTTAGGATCGAGACCGCAGACGATACATCGCACATGTATCGTCCGCGGATATTCATGTTTCAGACAATTAATTATATTATTTATTCGCCACAAAGTACTTATCCACTTCCATACAATTTTAAAATATGTACGTAGGTACATAGATAGAACTTTTGTTTTAATGACTCTTTAAATTCATCTTTAGGGACGAAGATCATAAATATGAATAATGAAACTCAATGCTTATAGCTGTATACCATATTTAGTACAGAAATAACAAGCAATTTAGAGGCGTTAATGTGTTTTAATGTAGTGAAATCGAGAGCAGCTAATGCAGTGTCTCGGTTTATTTGAACAAGTGGCACGTGTTTACTGTAGACGCCGGATGGACCATCGATCGGTTTACACAGTAATGCATCGCTGTCGATGTCCCACCACTTGCTGCACCAAATCTGGGATAACGCCAGATTATTTTCATTTGATTTGTTGGATTGATTTTGCACTTTTACTTTTGTGTCGAGAACAGTTTACTTTATTTATTTATTAGTTTATTAGTGTGAGGAACCTAAACATTTGGTAGTACGATTATTAAGAATGGATTAAAAATTATATAGAACACTCGATATTTGAATGAGATTGTTACTGTCCTAGCTCATAATTATTAAAGAGGCATATAACTTCGTCAGAAGCAATGACATTTGAACTTTTCTGTTTATTTTGCCACTCTTTGTCAAACTAAACACAAACTTGTCAAAAATCCCAAAATATCTCATGCATTGAGAATTGGTACTGACACCTACCTATCTAGTAATACCTACCTACTGATTTTATATGTACAAGAATTTAAAGATTATATTTCCTAAACCGTAATCATGAAGCACTAGTATATTATTATACACTGTTTACAAATAAGTGAAATACAAGATCTTGAATACGTATTCCAGACATGTTTTTATTTGATTTGGACAGAGACTGAGTTTTGTTTGCGTTTCGAATATGGCAAGATCTGCCCCTAGCTACCGGCTAGTCCGTCGATCCCTAGGGTCGCTTACAACAAACACAAACATCAAGTGTTTGTCATTGATTTTCCGCTAAATTAATTTGACAGTATTACATTTCCTGACCAGAATGTAACTTGATAATAAAATCAATGTTAGATTTTATATTATTGTGTTCGGCTAACGCCCGGGATCATGGCTTTGTTATTTTAAAACTGATGCAGTGCATAAAATGTGTTTCTTAATTTTCGAATAGTTACTTGGACACATAGATACGACATCCGTATTTACTGTACTTGTAATCAGCTGCAATTAATTAATACACTCTTTTTAAAAATAGAGTTATTTTGATCCCCAGTTATCTCTATCGTCTATCTATAGAGATTAGTACGTATTAATAATGTGTAGGAATCATTAGTGCCTTGTAAATCGTACACTAAAATGATTTAGTACCTACATGCCTTATATTTGTGTAACTTTTGCTTAAAACTTTGAACAAATAATCGTCTAATGTTTCCACATAAAAGAGAGCCGTAAGTCATGCCTAACATTTAATTAAGTGTAAGTATTCTTTTAACAGGTAGCTTTAAAAAGACAACAAGCAGCAGAAGATAAGATAGCATTACATTTAGCTTCTGTTGAAAGTGGGACTGCTCTAGAATCGTTGCCCCCAGGCCGCATTTATGGCATGAGGGTCACTAGGCCGTGTCCTAGCCCAGGGCCAGAACCAGATTCTGCTGCTGATGATCACACTGTAAGTTCAACTTTGTTTAAGTCAATGTGACAAGACGTAGGTAATCAAACCCGTGTCACTATAGCTTTGTAATCGATTATGATGTATCAAATCTAGTTGTAATTTTAGTTACTTTGGTCTTCATCCTAGTTTGAGTCACGTAACGTAATTAAGTATGCTTGCATATGCCTGAGTGTATTGAAATGATGAAGTCGATTCGTATGACTCCAGACGATATGTAAAATTCAGAAGCTACACTCACTCGACCGGCACTAGACTGAAGCAATACAATAATAGTGTTTATAAAGACGGGCAGACGGGTCACCTGATGGAAAGTGACCATTGCCGCCGATGAACGTCTGCAACTCAGGAGTCACAAACGATAAATAAATTAAACATAAATTAGTTATTTAGTTTTCTTTGAATACTAAGGACATAAAGTATGAATATTCATTACTAAAAAAAATTAACAGCCCATCCACATCGACAGCGAAACCAGTGATTCTATGCCGGATAGTTGCAATATTTCACCCGATTCCGCTGGACAGTCATCCACAACACCTTTGCGGTAAGACTTAAAACATTTACTGTATTAGGTACACTATTATGTCAACTAAATGTAAAATTTAACATATTTAGAGAGATAAGTATACCAAATATTCTTTTGTAAAGTCTTTAAAAACTTGTAAAAGTGAGAATTTTCATGTTACTAGTACTCAATGTTAGTGACGGTTTTATGGCTGGTGGTTAAGAATACGTATTAACAACAGAGAACAGATCTGCTCTTTTTACGTTCGTTTTTGATAAGGTTTGGTAACATTGTTGAACGGTGTCAATAAAACCAGTCTTTCCTCTGACTGCCATGGTTTTAACCATAATTCTGATACGAGTATTGCTTGTGTCCATACAATTAAAGCTGTTCAAGCATAATATAGAAGCATAAATTGTTTTTATAAGCAACTTGTTAAAGTACGTACGTAGATTTTAATACGTAAAGAAAATACAAGAGTGAACGTGAATTTTAATTACCTGATGATTGACCTCTATAGCATTGTTGCATTAAATATAAATGTAAGTCTGACCTTTACCCATCATGACCCATGAATTTTAGATTTCGTCACCTGTATATACACATAAGTGTATCTACATTAAAATAGAAGTTTCGATTGATCTATTCTTTAAAACCCGGCGTGCTCAAGTCCTATACCTAATGACTATGACAAACTTTAATGTAGTTCCATTTTGCTATTTATGTTTATTTTTGTATTACTTAGGCTACAAGTTATTAGACTTACTTATGGCTTATCACCAGCGCAAGGCACCACGGATACATACCAGTATTAATCTTTTTTTTTTTCTTTCTTTTACACCTAATGAGCATTTACAATTATATACAAAATCTCTGCGCATTGGTTGACATAGCCGATTGACGTTATGACCACAGAGCAATTAGGTGGTCACTGTCCAGTGTTTTCGTCAAATTACGCTTGTAAAATTTGAAAATATAAAATTTAAATGCATTTTATGTCACTTATCGACTGAATAATAATTTTCTCGTTTTTTCCTAGTGTTACAGTTTTTAAAAATGGGTATCCCTATTCTTGTGCAAAGTGTAGTACAAGAATTGGTAAAAAAATGGTCTTGTGTGCAGGGTGAGTGAAGAAGGGTCCGAAGGGGACAGCGTCAGCACAGCTGGGCTAGAGATGCTGCGCAAGTTGTTTCCTGGCAAGAAACGCTCGGTCCTCGAGCTGGTGCTCCGACGGTGCAACCATGATCTTCTACGCGCTGTTGAACATTTTAATGCTACACACGTGAGTCTGGCAACTAAATGATTAACTGAATTGAACAGTAGCTTTTGTTAGTAATTTGATTCGAACCAATAGACCAACCAACAAAAGACATGATTGTTGTAAAGACATATTTATTTCAATAAGTTAATTGATCTTGTATGAATAAGTTGAAATATTTTACTGATTTGCCTATAAATAAAAACAATATCACCTATTTAAATCTATACTCTATCTTTGCAAAAAAAAAAATCGTATGGTAAGTAGAAAGATAATACGAGTTTACTGAGTAGGTCGTATTTTTACAGGGTCTACCAGATAAAATGCCTGGGATCAGTTCGAGTCGCAACGGGTTAGAAGGTTTAGTGTCGAGTTCTGAAGAAATTGAATCACGGTGGTCTGCATTTAGGCCTGTTGGCCCTCGAGCGCCTATACTACCCGCATTAGTAATGGGCAGAGTTTGCGGGTCTGAATGGCTCGTACCGCTACCAGCTTTACCTGCGCTTTCGGCTCCATTACTTCTACCCTTACAGCATCCACATGCTCCCCAAGTTCCTTGCAATCCTTGCTCCCCTGATTGTAGGCAATGTAATCGTCATTAAACGAGAAGTTACATTTACTTCAACTCTATTCTATTTTATTTGTTACTATTCTGCTAAATCTTGTGCTTACTACATATTTTACCGCCAAAGAATTTTGTACTTTAGCTTTTATTTTGTTCAATTCAATATTGTTGTTATTATTATTACATTGTATGTTTCAAAGATTCTCGAGCGTTTTTATTTTCCCCAATGAGTTAATTTATTGAGAGAAAGAGACTAATGCAATGATTTAAACAAATAACAAAGAGACGACCCTCTGTGCCAGCGGATATTATGGTTATCAATTAGGAAAGCAGCAATGACAGTGAGCTTTATTCCTCTTGAGATTTCCCGAGCCATGAATACCTACGGGCAAGTTGGAGGCAGACAGTTATATAATAGGTATGAAGGATTTTATATTCTTATAAAACTATTGAACTATATAGAGTATAACGTGATAATTGTATACCTATTCATATCTCAAATACAAAGTAATAAAATTTTATAGTTTCATTAGGTAATTTTAAAACAAATTGTTACAAATTATTTGTTGTATTGTGTTATTTTAATCACTTATTTATCTCATTACATTTTTAACTTTCCTACAAGACTGGGAGCCTTATGTCTTTGGTTCTTTGGGCCAATATCTTGACATAATAATGAATTTGTACTAATTATTTACATAATCTTTGATGTAATTTACATGTAAGTCCTTTCATTTTATTTTATTGAAGCAATTCTATATGAGATCTATTTATTGATTTAAAACAGTACAAGCTTACAGCCCACCAAATCGCTTATATACTTACTATGCTAACAATCTTCCTATCTTTGTAACGATGTGCTTAGAAGCTGTCTAAAAGTATATCGACATCATTTTTGTGTAGACCATTAATGAGTTCCACTGCCAAAGTGGGGCTAGTAGCTGCCTGTGGCGAGCGCCATTATGGTGGAGTTACAAGGAGTCGAAGCATCGACTGGACGGTTATCCGTCAGGCACAAAGAAATAAATGAACTTATTGACTGACGGGTTATATCCATTTTAGTAAATCTATTTTGGTTCGGTTGTTAAGTGTGGGTTTGAAATGACATTTTCTAAGGTAGACCGTGTGTTGATTTGAACCCTATAAGTAAAAGACCGTTCCCTTGATGATGACCGAGCTAGCCGTAGGGTGTTAGTCAATTATAAACTCTTGTTCCTAAATAAAGAAAAGTATTGGCCCGTTTTTTATGTATAACTTTTACCAAACCTCATACGTGACGCAAAGTAAAGAACTAAGACTGAGTTTGTCGACTAAAAAAATTGGAATTTCTTAATTAACACATAATAGCTAGCCTGAAATCAAATGTTAAATCGTAGGCAGTTATAGGACGTAAGCACCTACCAGGCACAAATGTATTATTTATTCTTAAGGTTAACAACAAGAACTTTATTAGCATACAATAGTTTTGGAAGTCGCGTCACTGTTTTGGCTTTGCTTGAAAACGAAATTTATGTCTAACTAATCTAACAAAATGTATGTGTTCGTTTTAATGGTTTTTATACTTTTAAACATAGTGTGTGATGTTAATTACTTGACAAGAACAATTATTGCAGTTTTTAGCGGTCGATTTTATCAACGCACTTATTCTTTGAATGATACTTCTGAAATATATGGTAAGTTAGACTTTTTACTGAATTTCGTTTCTACGTAAAAGTTACCACGGAAACAAATTGCATCTGACAGTGCAATTTGTTTCAGTGGGCATAATGCTCTCATAAAGTCATAATGACGTTACACGCTAACCGTGAAAATGTTTAATTACATTCTACCATACTTAATAATAGCGTATTTAGCATTTTATAAAATGAAAAATTATTATTTTGAAATATTAGCTAATTACTGGCCATGATTATTTAGGTAATTGAACTCTTATGGGACAACCAGTTAAATAATATAATATAAAATATTTTACCAGTGTTATAGTAGTAATGAAAAATCACGACAGTTAAATTAATCGAGGAGATACAAATAATATTATGATTACGTCACTTTTGCACGTGTTTTTATCTTCATTAATATATAGCATGATATTGTCATCGTCCGTCATAAGTAATTGTTCCATTTTCTAGATTCTCACATTTTCAGATACCCTATATTTACTTACAAATCTATGCCTAATAGTCAAATATATAAGAGTCATTATTACTTAGGGTTTTTGACGGCATAATGATAACTTAAACCAATTTAAGTAAACCTATCCGTTGTCTACGCAACTTTATAAAGTGACCATTTACTATACTGTAAATTTTAGAATGTTACCTGAATATACTGCACGGCCGCTTTTTTGTAATGCCATCTAAACTCGTTCGGGTTATGTACGAATTGCGTTGGACGTCCGTATTTTAATTGTATTTCTTTAATTATTGAGTGTAAAGAAATTATATTTTACATGTGAATATTTGAATTAATGCACTAATTATTGGAATAGGTTTTATTACGCATTTTTATTGTGTGCAAATCTCGTGCAACAAGACTTCATATTAAACAGTGGTCCAGTCATTATAAATTATCTCATAGCTCATTAATTATTAAGGGTACATCAATGATACTTAGCAAGATGTAGTAGATGCTTACAAGGTATGTATAAACGTTTTAAACTAGACCCTAGTGCATAAGCACCTAAAAACCTTATTTTACGTTTACATTTATATCTTCAGAATAGTATGTTTTTTTTTTATCCGTTTTTACAAACAGTAAAAGCAAATTCAAAACAACCTATGAAAAAATCTACAGCCCTCTAGGAAAGCGTTTTATATGAAACCTAGCAAATCACCAAACGTTGTCGCAGCGGAAACTTGAATATCTTCGCAGTTTATTGACACACAAATTTCATTTTTTAAGTACACAATTACGTCATACACAAATATTAAAACCATTTTTTTTCTTCTACGTCCATAGGATAAAAAAAGTGCCGAAACAGTTTTTCGTAAATAACTCCCAATGCACAAATTTTTACTTACCATACACAATAACACGACGTCATACACTAAATATCTGTTAAACTTAAATAATAAAATTCGGCCTTTTTCGGCTGGGGCAACGCACACCCTTTTTTTTTTTCCGTGCGGAAATCCCCTCGGATACCACCTGTCGGTGGCATGTCGGACTCGAACCGACTAAAACCGCACGCCGTCTCGGGTACTAATAGCCGGGGAACCAGGTATACCCTAGAAAGGAAGTCCCTGGTGCCCCGACATACCTCGGGTCATCTACAGACGAGTAGACGCCCCCCCCCCGTGTGGGTGGGCAACGCACACCCTAATATATTAAGGTTGTATCTCTGTATTTTTACGAGTACCACTCAGAAATATAAAATGTCAGTGACTAATGTAGTATTTTCTCTGTTCAGGTGTTTGCACTTTTCAAGACTGTGACGTAACATTGAAGTTCATGAGAATAGCTAGATTGCTCAGAGACCTAGATTTTGCAAGGTATCATTTTTATGAGAGAACAGGCATATACCGCAGAAGTCAGGAGTTGAGTATTAAATCCTTACAAGGGTGTACTCTTACGTCAACAGATAATCCAGTCCCTTTGTTTGGGTTTTATAAAATCACTACCGAGGTAAATTAAATTAGACTAGAGAGATTTCATGTATCTAATTAAGATAATATTTTTTTGAAAGCTTGCCTATATTTTTACAGCTTGTTTATTGGGATAATCGGTCCTTATTTTTGGAACACAAAGTCATTACTTTGGGTGATGGAAAAATTCGCTCCATATTAGTATCTCGTCAGCATGCAATTGGACAAAATGGAGATTCGACTGAGGCACTTCTTGCTGGCTTGCCTGGATCAGATGTGAAGCCCGCTTGCCCGGAATACATTCAGTACTGGTTACGTAGTATGGAAATGTCCAGCTCCAAGTTAAAATTTACAAATTTGAACTGAGAAAGGCATTTTTTTTTGTATTTTTGTAATAGCTTATTTAAAACACGTATTCAGAAAAAGCAAAAAGTAAGACATGGTCAAAGGTTATTTTTCTTTCGGCTCTAGACAAGTTGTACGTACCTACACCCTCAAAATGATTTTAGGAGCAACCAACCTTCTTCTGATTACTCTGTGAAGATGTTCGGAAGTATTTGCAAAATAAATTGAGTGAAACCAAACCAATTCCTTTTTCTACCAACCTGTCGTTTCCTCATTTTTTAACCAGTTAACTTTATGTAGCAAGTAGGTCTTTGTGCGTAAGGGAGTTTAAAATAAAGGTTTTTTTTTAGTTAGTTTTGTTTGTCTGTTTTGTTGCCACAAGTTTTAATTTACTTTTATTCTATGTTTTAAAATATGTGACATTACTATTTAAACATAGCATACATAACATATTTTAGGACTCTTCTATAAATATAATAACAATTTTAATAAAAAATACTTTAAAAAATGTTAATTTAGGTACATGTTGAAATAGTTGAATTGAGAACCTTCCTCTTTTTAGAATAAAAATTTGATTTATATTCGAATATTTGTTTAGGTATTCGTTTTAAAATGTGCAGACATGGAACTACCATATAATTGCCTTTGCTATCAAGCTTGAAGAAGATGGGCCTCTGGCACCTGCACTCATTCGGTTAAAAGGTACGAAAGCATTGCTCCAAACCGCTTTTCTCGAGAGGCCGAGGTATCACTCCAGCTGAGTCTGCCCAAGTGCTAAGAACGCTAAGGTTGGCCAATCACGATGATAACACCATTCATAGAATCTTACAGATTCCTAACTTAAACCTATTGAGTTAAAATGTAGTTCAATGCTTCAACCAGTTGTATTATGTAACCAATAACATTAACCATAACAATTGTTCATCACGATTGCAACTATATTCACGCCACTATCAAGTGGGCAATGACTTCACGTCAATCGCGTTCAACTTGACCCTGGTGGACGTACCTTGCATCCCACACTGTCTTAAGTAAACTAGTAAGAGTTGACTACCACTGTCTCGTTCTTACAACAAAGTTAATTGTAAGTAAAAGAAGGACAGTGACCATACATCTATTGCTATCTTTGTTGTGTACGTACTTTACATTATAACTTGTATCATCGGACAGAAGTTAGAGATAGTTCCATTTTCACAATAGACCGTACGGTATTTTTCTCTTAATCAGATATTTGAAATACTTATAATTTTAAAACGATGTATTGTATCATAGTGACTATTATAGCACTAGCGTATATATTTTGGGATGTGAATTATTTCCTAAGAATAGCTTTCACCATAGGAATTGGCAGACTTTTCCAAAAGAAATTATCATTAAAGTATCATCAGAAAGTATCATTAACGCCGCACGCGTTAATGATACTACAACTATTTACGGTGAGTTTGCTGTTTTAATATGCGTATAATAATGAGTTACATTCTTATATATTACCTACATTTTTGAAGTGATTTTGAAAGAAACTAATAACGCATAAGTAACCGATAGACAAAAAAGAGATTTTACGGTTTATCGTAAATTTAATATAAATGTTGACCGAAACCAAAGTTTATTAAACTGAAGCTGTGCAATTCCGGTCGGGGGGGTCGAGTTTATAAGTATTATTTTCAAACTGTTTTTAATTAAGTGTTGGGTATTTGAAGATTATACTTAAATTACCTAACTTCATGATCGATGATAGTCGTTTCTGATGAGCAACAGAATTATTATACTCATTAGGTATGTGATGGCCAATAGCCAATAGGTAACTTTTATTGTTCTTCATATATCTTCCATTACTTCGCATCTTTTAACCTAATTGACCGGTAAAATTTAATGATAAACATTTGTTTTCAATTTTTCTAAATCATTCCATTGCTCACCCCGACTTCGTAACCAGAAGAAAGAATGTTGAACTGAGCTGCGTCACTTTTCTTTAGTTTCAGATATAGTCGGAACGTTGGATACCTTATGGTACAGACTTGATTATCCTAAGTACGACTTAGAATGCTTAACCTTGCCTAACAGCACATAGAAACAGGCGTTCTTCTGATTAAAAGTGTAGTCCTATTTTATGGCTATTATTTTAATATCCTCTTTAATATACTCTTCGTATTGCGTATCCGGACTTTCATAGAAAATTTCTGAATATTCTTTAAAAAACAAGATCTGCAAATACCTCGTTTTCAATTATTTTTCCGGTCCTCCTCAGTGTGCGGGAATAAAGAATAGAAGCGATTGCCTTATTGATTATGAACACGGGCTGTTTTGCTATTTATTGATTGATATTAAAAATAGAGAAAAATAAATGTTCATATAAAATTATGTCTGTATCCAGAGGTAAGGTCAGGAAATTATAAGTTTTAATAATCAATGTTCATTATTTATACTATACTGTGAACTTAATTTATACATAGATTAGTTTTTAATTAAACATTGAATGTCTTCATTTCGTTTGTTATTAGATAAAAACAAACAATATTTTGAAAACGAAACGAAGGAATAAAATAAAAAAAAAGTATTTTAATAGCTAAAATTACTAGAAGGTACTACGGTTTCGATTCTTGTACATTCATTAACCTAGATAGCTTGTACCTATTCTTTTTGGCCCCAGTTGCATCCATTATAAACAAAAAAACTTGTTACAAATACCTAATTAATGTTTTTGATGAGATTTATGCATCGTATTAACAAATATATCCATGGATTTAGATGTCTGGCTTTGAGTAAGGACAACAAAGGAATGTGCAAAATGAAATAAATCTGCTAGTAAAACAATAGAAATTCTAGCAACTTTGTCTCTAAAATAACCTTTTAATGAAATAAAAATATTTAGTGTCAGCGATAATCAGTAAGCTAGTACTAGTGCTTGTAATATCAATTCAAACTGTTTGGACTATTTTCTTTTAATAACATGATATTTCTCATATATATTTCAGGTTTCTGCACCACGCAAGATGTAGATATATTTTTAAGACACATGAACAACGCGCGGTATGTTAGAGAGCTTGATTTTGCAAGATTCCACTTTTATGATCGCACTGGAATATATGCCAACATCAAGACAGTAGATGGCCATGCACTACAAGGTGCTTCGAGTATTCGTTACAGAAGAACTATTCCTATATTTTCAGCGTATAAAGTTGAGACGAAGGTAATTAATTAAGTTAATTTCAGTCAAGTATCTTGAAAGTTAACACAGAAATGCACTTAGTCACATTTGATAAGAAAACTTAGGGGAAGGTGGCCTAAAACGGGTAAGCTAAGAACGAAGATAAAAAAAAAGTGTTAAATCATGTTAGGAATTAGCTGGATTTACTTTATAAGATAGGGTATTTATCGAACTTGAAAATAAAATACTATTTGAAAATATTTTGTATTAAATATTAATTTAATAAAAAAAATACAAATCCTTTCCAAAAACCCGTTTTGCCCGCATATGAGCCTAAAAAGGGTAACCTCCTTTGGGCAAAACGGGTAAGTCTAGGGTAAAACGGGTAAGTGTCATCATTGATCAGATAAACTATAATCATAATTATAAAAGGCAGGAAGCTAATAATTGAACCTTATTTAACATTTTGTCACTTAGCATATGACACATGTTTGCTCAAAATATGTCTTAAAAGGACCGTATACACACCGATCCAGGGCCTGCATGCGGTGTGTGGTATGTGGAGGAAGAGAGACAAAAATCACATTTATTTATGCATATTCTAGTGCCTCAACATATTTGTGGGATTCGTGGTTGTCCAGAACCAAGATTACTTTCTTCTCCAGTGTTGGACGGATAAGTTCAACAAAGTGTCGAAGCCATTCCAAAAAGGTAGATCCCGTTATCCAGCCGTTGTCTGTGCAAGTAGCATTGGTGCCAGGTGGAGAGCCATCCAATAATCTGTTAGTCATTCTCTTTCTTCCAAAAATGAGAAATGGGGGAACAAAAGATCCAGCTGCGTTGCAACAGCAGACAACTGTCGTTAGTTTCCCTATCTGAACACTAGATATTACGCCAACCTGCTTTTTCCCGGTTCTCGACAAAATTTTTGGAGGCTTATTACTTGTGGTTTGTATCCCCGTTTCATCAACATTATATTTCCGCGTTCCGTCTATGGCATGTTTCTCTATTTCTATTTCCAGTATGTCGTAGAATCTATCAACTTGCGGTTTATTGAACCCTCGGGCTCGTGCAATTGATGTTGGTTCTGGTTGTCTAAGCGAAGGGCAGGGTGCCGCTTTTTAAAACCTAAATACCAGTCGTTTCCTGCTCGGCCGTCTTTAAAAGGGTGCGATATGTTATTTCGTTCTGCATACTGGTAAACAAGCTCTAAAAAGTAGTTTTTAGTACAACCATAGAAAATATCATCGACCTGAAATACATATTCTAGTAATTCTCTTTCTTGAGCCTTATTGCTCAAACACCGGCTGATATCTTCCTAGCTTCTTCTCAGAACTTCCTTTTTTTATATGCCGTTGCAAAGTAGATAGGGTAAGGCCATACTTCTTTGCGGCGGCAGAGACCGAAGTAGTCTTCGCTTCTTCCATTGCTAGTCGCATAGTAGTTTCACTCCACGATGCACGTACGGTTTTACGCTTATATTTATAATACAAAACTGATTCCTGGCAAAACGGGTATGTACCCGTTTTGCCCTACCCGTTTTGCCCGAGAGCACATGTTTTTTGTAAATTAATAATAACCTCAAAATGAAAGGTAAATGGGGCAAACTTTTTATCTTAAATTAAAGTTAGATAGTGCTTGAATGAAAAGGTACTACTAATAATATGAGAATTATAAAGGTTTTCGACTAATTACGAGACACTTACCTTGAATTTTTTTAACAAAATCACTTTAAAACTTTCGTGGCACACACCTACGCCATTACGCGACTCCGGCGCCTGAGCGAAACTGATCGAAACTCGTCAATGTTCGGCAACTCTCGACACAAGCACACATTGACACTTATGCTTGATACAACAATATACGAGTGCTTACCCGTCTTGGGCGGCCCACCCGTTTTGGGCCACCTTCCCCTATAGGTTACGTATAGGTAAATATGCAGACTACTTTAAGTAACTTGCAACTTGGAACTTCTTTAACCAATTTATGTTACAAACACACTATCATCCAATATCTTTCCTAGACTCAGCTTATTATTGCATCTGTGTAAAAACTGAACCTTCGAAATAAGTGAAAATAAATATAAAACCATAAATTTTAAATTTTTGTTACAGCTTGTGTACTGGGAAGATAAAACTTTGTTCATCGAGCAAAAGTTTATCACATTAAGTGATGGCTTTGTACGCGCAATCGTCCTTTCACGGCAGAACCTTATTAATGTAGATGCACAGACCCTATTCATAGGCATTCCTGGTAATGATAAAAAACCAGAGTGCCCTGAAGAGATTAAACATTGGCTGCAAGCTATCGAAGTTTCCAGTGCACGACTAAGGAAAAAGGATTAAAAAAATATGTTAAACTGTATTAATGTTTCAAACTTGGTTTCTTTGTTATAGTAAGTTATAAAGGTTGTGGTTTCGTATGCTCTTGTTTTTTGTTGAGATAAATGTTAAAGTTCGTATGGTGACGGACTAAAAATACGGAGTGTCACCACCCCTATTCATCCCCATTCAAAGAAAAGGTAATCTTGTAACCCGTCTGTTCAGCCTAGTATAGTAGGCAAAACCTCTTTTCTAAAGGAGAGGCCTATGTCCAGCAGTGGATTGTTAAGAGCTGTTGATGATGATGATTGATAAATCCTATCTCTAGTTTCTTTGCCTATTGACACAAAATACTTACTAATTTAAAAACATTGTCGTGTGTATTAGGTGACTAAACTTGACGTCATTTTCTAATCAAAATTTAACAAAATTAATTTAACAACTTATACAGTATCTTGAAAGTTTCAAATAAGAACTTGTGTTAATTAATAGGGGTCGATTTTTAGATCTCGTCGACCCCCAAAATTAGTTTTCGTTTATATCGACCCCTGGGAAACCGATTTCGACCCCAAGAGGTTGACATCGACCACTTTGGGAATCCCTGTTCTAATTGGATGTTTATTGTAGTGTTTTAATTAAAACTACGGTGAACTTTTTTATTAACTGACAGCCAGATTAAAACCATATTGTATGTACCTTATGTATGATTGGTTTTTATGTGACTAGCAATGTTTATTGTATTCAACCCAACCCATTATTCAGTAGTCGTCTTTACAGTTGTTGTTGCAGTAATTGGTGATGTTTAGTTTCATGTAATGGTAAGTACCTACGGCACAGTGATAATATTTAATTATGTCAATCAAAAACATATGTAACTAGCCTATTATAATAATGATATGAAATGCATTTGAGGTCCAAATACATATCTATCCTGTTTGTTTTGTTTATTACAACTTACTAAACATGTGCCTAATAATGCCTCTTTTACTTATTCTGTTCCGTTAGTAGGAACAGAATAAGTAAAAGTGGCATTATAACACACACAACGAAATATATTAACACTGTTGTTTAGCAAACTCTGAATGTTACCGAACCCCGTATTTTTTTTTAAATGTTGAAAGTTTCTTATAAAACAGCTGCTAAAAAAATACGCGGGGTAACGATAGATGTATCATATTTCATCAGTGCAGCACTCCGGCCTCGTCACCGCACCGTGTAATGTTACTGTTTACACAACCTGCACAATATATAAACGAATTTAGGGATTTGTAATATGTCACAATCTCAATAAATGATATTTTAGCTCTTCTAAATTTACTATTAAGATTTGAATTCCAGTGATAAAAATATCGTGAACACTTGCAGTCGATACCCTATTTAGTTTAATATTCTGGTAAGATTAGCTCACTCCTAAGCATAGTACAACAGTTTAGAAGACTTAATTAACTTTTAGTATAAATGTTTAGTATAACTTTGAATTCTAATAAGGCCCTTAATGTTCAGAATTCGTACTAATGAGTCTACATGAAGTAGAGGCTAATTAAAGTATGCCAGTTACTTTTCTTAGCTTAGTAAATTTTACTATTTCTAAGTTGGATTTTAAGTGATTGCTTCTAAATATGATTAAACTGTTTCGTAAAAAATGGGTTTTGATTGAACCTTCATATTATATGTAGGTATACTTACTTTAAAGTGTGGGTAAACAGGCCGCCTTCCTAGACACCGACTGTGTAACTATATCCAGTCGGTGTCTAGTAAGCGAAGGCGGCGTCGGTTTTTTTTCGGGTGTTTCTTAATTAGCCGAGCGAGACGCCGAGGAAGATCCCGACCACACACGCTTTGTACTGCGACCAGGTAATCTTAATCTTCGCTCAAGGTTTTTCTTTTTTTCTAAAAAGGCAACTCTAACAATAGCATGTACCTATAACAAAAATATTAAGTTATATAACTATGTACATACATGTAGGACTGTAGGTATATAACTTGTACGCGAAAGAAACAGCGGTATAAAAAACTTGTCATGCATCTTAATGTGTTTATTAAGTTTATTTATTTAATTTTGGAAAACTTGCTGAATAGTAGAACAAAATCATGTTAACGCTATTTATCACCGTGCGCACTAGATAATTTCTAAAGTGATATCGTCGGTAAATTACAAAGACGTAGAAAAGATATTTGCAAAACCGCATTTTAATATTTTCTAAATTTTAACAAAAGGTAGAAATAATTAATAAATGTTTGTTTGTGATTCCTTTGCGTGAAATTTATAATAATGTGATAAAAAATTAACAATTTCTCTATTATATATATGATGTGTATAATAGAGATATTTGTTAATTTTAACTGTTATCATTTAAGCAAAAAAATAGATAGCAATTTAAAAAAATCAACAAAAATCCGCAGACGATAGAGAATCAACGCTAAATCATCGTCGACGGGCTATTTATACAATTAACTTTGGTGGAGTGAAGCTACACCTCTTTTTTACTATTCAGTTAATAACAGACACAATTTTAAATTCTCCAAAAGCCATTTGTTTTTTCCCGCCTGATTTGCTTACATGTCTTTTAGGAAGATGAGCTTAATGATTTTTTATTGTTTAGTTAAAATAAATAATTAACAAGCAAGAAAATCGTAAAAATAAAATATTCAACTTTTCGTTATTATTTAATTCCTATTTTCATGAATCGTAGGATCGATTTTAAAAAGCTGACATCACTTCGTGTTTTCAGTAAACACCAACTTATGGTACTAGTATTTGCTTTAAGAATGCTATTAGCTTGAAAACATTTTCATACTTTAGTACACTCAATTTAATTGTTGTTAGGTAAACTTATTTAACTAAATATGTTTGGACAAGGGCTAGTCTGGCCGTCGCGTCATATTAAGGATCAGCAACCGTTTTGAGGTAATAAATAATATTAGTTAGCAAAGAAAGTAAGAGCAAGGTTCTTTTTGTGTTTAATGTTTTTATGTATAACATCAAGCAATGATTGGAACACTAATTAATAATTATCCCTATCCTGGATGAAATCCTACCTGTAATGTGCCATATTCTTAATTACTCGATATCTGTAAACGCTTTTCCATCTGCATGGAAAACGGCTCAAATCATTCCTCTCCCCAAGAAAAGTAATCCATCCTCCTTCTCAGATTACCGTCCTATATCTATCCTTCCTTTTTTCTCCAAAGTTCTCGAGCGCCTTATTTACACTCAGTTAAGCTCATTTCTCTCAAGAAATTGTCTCCTTAATCCTTTCCAGTCAGGTTTCCGTCCAGGCCATAGCACTACCACAGCCCTAGCCCATATTACGGATGACATTAGGTCGGGCATGGAGGAAGGCAGGCTTACGGTCTTTGCTTTACTAGACTTCAGCAACGCCTTTAACACTGTGGATTTTGATGTGTTGTTGGGTATATTGTGCTCTCTTAACATATCTCCATCGGCAATTGACTGGTTTCGTAGTTACCTGTATGGTCGCCAGCAGCGTGCTTGTATCGAAAATGTGTACTCCTCTTGGCGCACAACATCTGCGGGCGTACCTCAGGGCGGCGTGTTATCACCGTTACTTTTTGCAGTTTTTATCAACTCAATCACAAATCAATTACTTTCTTCCTACCATCTTTATGCAGATGATCTCCAAATTTACTCACAAGGTACTCCTGATAATTTAACAGAAACAGTGGATACCATTAACAGGGACTTAGTTCGAATATGTAACTGGAGTACGGAGTACGGACTCAGTGTAAACCCTACGAAAACACAAGTCATTATAGTTGGAAGTCCCAGGCTGCACTGTAAAGTAAACCTTCAGCAGATACCACCTATATCCTGCAACGGTTCGGTTGTCCCATATAGTGAAAAAGTTAAAAACTTGGGGATCTATATGGATAGGTACCTATCCTGGGGTCCTCAGATTGGAGAAGTTAGTCGCAAACTATTTGCAGTGGCGGGATCTCTGCGAAGGCTACGCAACTTCCTTCCTACCAATACCAAAATTGCGCTCGCACAATCTCTTCTTCTTCCCATCCTTGACTATGGCGATGTCAGCTACCTGGATCTCACCGAAGACCAACTGAATAAACTTGAGCGACTCCAAAACCTCTGTATTAGATTCATATTTGGTTTACGCAAGTATGATCACATCTCAGAGTATCGTTCCAAACTCAAGTGGCTACCAATACGCCTTCGCCGGAATCTCCATATTCTTTCTCTTTTATACAGTGTTCTGTTTCATCCTCACACACCCTCTTATCTCAAAAAACGTTTTGAGTTCCTACACACCACACATTGCAGGGACCTGAGGTCATCGGAGAATTTAAAACTAAAAATGCCAAAACATTCACCCCCCTTTTTTGCAGATAAATCTTTCACTGTGCAAGCAGTAAGACTCTGGAACAACTTGCCTGAAACAATCCGACAAGCTAAAACTTTGCCTGTTTTTAAAAAAATATTAAAAGATTTTTATCTGTCATTATAAATACTGTTCTGATTCCCTATTTAATATATTATATATTCCAAATATGTATGGGTATATGTGTATGTATGTATGTGTATTTGTATATGTGTAATGTCCATAGATGTATATTTGTGTATGAATGTGTTTGTTTATGTTTGTAAATATTTTTAAATATTCACGTGATATTGTGTTACATGTATGTATACTAAGCTAAATTGTTAAGCAGCGTCCACACTATGCCGGGCGAGGCCGAGCGGGCTGACCCGGGCGGCCTAAGCCGGGTTGGTGTGGACGCCCCGGGCGGCTTAAAAAGCCGGCCCGAGCCGAGCCGATCCCAACCCGCAGAAAGTAGGTACAGATCAAAGGATGCCGGCCCGAGCCGAACGAAAATATGTAGTGGGGACGTGCCGAGCGGCACCGGGCGGCTTTAGTTGTCCAGTCTTGGTGTCGAATTGAAACTAAAGCAGCGTCCACACTATGCCGGAGTACGCCGGGCGAGGCAGGGCGGGCTGACCCGGGCGGCCTAAGCCGGGCGGGTTCGTTCGGGCCGGCACGACGTCCACACCGAAAACGAGGCCGCCCGGGTTATATCTACCTATTAGTTTCAATTCGACACCAAGACTGGACAACTAAAGCCGCCCGGTGCCGCTCGGCACGTCCCCACTACATATTTTCGTTCGGCTCGGGCCGGCATCCTTTGATCTGTACCTACTTTCTGCGGGTTGGGATCGGCTCGGCTCGGGCCGGCTTTTTAAGCCGCCCGGGGCGTCCACACCAACCCGGCTTAGGCCGCCCGGGTCAGCCCGCTCGGCCTCGCCCGGCATAGTGTGGACGCTGCTTAATAGGTAGATATAACCCGGGCGGCCTCGTTTTCGGTGTGGACGTCGTGCCGGCCCGAACGAACCCGCCCGGCTTAGGCCGCCCGGGTCAGCCCGCCCGGCCTCGCCCGGCATACTCCGGCATAGTGTGGACGCTGCTTTAAATACCTAAAATCCATGATAAGGTTGTCTGGAAGAGATCGCTGTGAGCGATAAGACCGCCGATTGTTACGTTTACCTATTTGTAACTCATCTTTTGTTTAGTTTTTTTTTTTTTCTATTAGTGTATACAAAAAGATATAATAAATAAATAAATAAATAATGACTTCTGTTTATTTATTTTTGTTCTGTTCAAGTATTTGTATCCATGTGGTGACGGATTAAAAATACGGAGTGTCGCCATCCCTATTCATCGCGTGGGTGTCGTAAGAGCCGACTAAGGGAGTAAGCTACGCACACGTAACAGCACTGCAAAGAGAATGAAAACTTGACACAAACCCTATAAAAACCCGTTTGGAAAGCGTGGTATACCTAGTAGGCCAAAACCTCCTGTCTAAGGAGAGGCTTATGTTCAGCAGTGGACTATTAAAAGCTGTTGATGATGATGATATGATTCGTGTGACGGCAATGTCTATTTGAATTTTTGTGTTATTCAGAATAAGATAGTTTGTTTTTCAGAATATTGATTATGGTCGAATTTAAACTAATGTTTCGGACATTAGATATCTATTATTTCGTAACTTAAAAGAAAAGTATCAAAACATTTTATTGTTTTGATACGTGCTCTAAAATCAAAGGTGGCGCTAACCGGGTGTGTCTTGTCGCACAACAATAACAATACATCCATTAGCTTTAGTGGTTTCTGTTTGCCACCATCAAATCATACAACAGTGATCTTTTTTTATTTTGTTTATGTGTAAATATGCCAGGAATACTGCTGGCTACTTTTTTACATACATCTTTTTAATTATAATTCTTCGTTACAACAACAGTATACAAACATCGAGTTAATGCATGTATAATCGTTTCATGATAGCTGCTAGCGATGTTAAACAAACTGGATGACAACAAATAGCGACCTTATTTTAATGTTTACTTTTAAATGGGAAACCTATGTCCGTTTAATTTATTTACAGTATAAAAGCATATCAACCACAGGGTTCTATATGAATAGACTCTTAAGTTTATTTTCCGTTTAGCGTTGCTCTTTTTCACTTTTAGTGTTAATTCTCTTTCTTTTCGTAATTCAGACTACGACTTATTTTTGTAAAGCATGCCGAAAGTGGCTTTTATGTTTGTTTTCAAGCTAATTTCCCCGCCCGAGGCCCCGCGCTGGTAGTTCATTGCGAGGCCTTTGTCTTTGTGGAATTAGTTTTTATTGTTCTTAACACTGGAAACCTGTCAAAATGATAGATGGAATAAAAAATGAAGAATCACTTACGTAAATCGAGCTCGAGTAGCGAGACGTTAGTTTCAGGAGCGAAATTCAAATAAACATTTTTCTATTTGGGATGTTGCGAAAGTGCGCGAGGTCCATGCATGAGCGAGGCCCTGGGCAGTTGCCCTGCTCGCAACCACAAAGGCCGCCCCTGAGTTTAAATTAACATATTTTTCAGTTACTAGATCAAAGATATCAAAGATAAAAAATATAAAATACATAAGAAACTCTATAAAAATTACTTTACTACTCTTAAAAAAAATACCGTAGTCTAGACAGCGTCTTACATAGAAAGCTAAAATATCAGTGAGGGTGTCTTCTATCTATGTTCCATAAAACTGAAATACTAAATTTCTTTCCACAGAATCAAATATTTCGGGGAGCAGTGTATAAACAACTTAATATTACTAAATAGTGCAGAAAGATCTACATAATCAGTGATGTAGAATTTGTAAAGACTTAAAATAGTTAATTTGTTTTCTGCAGTTCAAGAATGGTTTTCTAGACATTGCTTTACGGAATTCTAATCGAAGATACATGGTACTATTAATCGAGTAATGGTCATCAACGACAGTCACAGAACAGTAAAAACGAACGGAATTTCTTTTCAGTTAGCGGTATCAGTATGCTATTTCACAAGATGCAACTGTTGCCTTTAGAGTTACTGTTAGATATACTGATACAAAAATATTTATCTACATCTTCTTGTATTTCATTTGTATTGGAAACATCGTTAATATTTCACTCACCGGTGGGATTTATTTATATAACTCCGGATGAGAAAGTACTTGTGGAACAAATACTTGCAGTGTCAGAAATAGGATGTTCAGACTATGTGATATTAATGAAGGAGCCTGAAAAATTCATGAATGCATTTGAGAGAGTTATTCACTTGGGAAACGTTAGAAGAAGTGATAGAAAGTTAATATTTTTACCCCATGATGCAAATTTAAACGACGTAAACTTAGCATCGAAAGTGTTTTCTTTGAAAGGAAGTGCTTTTGTTGCGAATATGTTGATAGTTGCCTATTCCAAAAATAGTCAACAAGAGTGTTTAGTATTTGATTTAATCACTCATAAATTTGTTGGTACTGATAGTCAACTTAACGCCCCACTGTACTTAGATCGTTGGAATTCTTGTACTACAAAGTTTGAAAAGCAAGCGAATTTGTTTCCGAATGATATGACCAATTTGCAAGGTAAAACGTTGAAAGTTGCCTGTTTTACCTATAAACCATATGCATTATTAGACTTAGATACTGCTATCGAACCACTCGGCCGAGATGGTATTGAAGTTCGAATAGTTGATGAGTTTTGTAGGTAAGCATTTCACGATAAATACTCGTAATGTAAATATATGTAAAATGAGTATAAGATAGCTATCTTTTTTCTATAAATACAGGTGGATAAATTGCACGGTTGAAATAGTACAAGAAGAAATAGATCAATGGGGCGAAATTTATAAAAATGAAACTAATGGCATTGGTGTGATTGGTAGTGTTGTAGCAGATCGTGCTGATATGGGCATTCGTAAGTCATAATGAGTATGGATTTATACAAATTCTTTTTGATCTTGAAGGAACGAAGAATTGACGTAGATATTGATATTGAACAGCTGATTACTAATTTTTCAGCTGCACTTTATTCTTGGTACGAAGAATGGAGAGTAATGGACTTTTCAGTTTTTGGAGTAAGGACCGCAATAACGTGCGTTGCTCCAGCGCCTAGGTTAGTAACAACCCACAACGTGTTTTTTGTAATCTTTGTATTTTATTTGAAAATGCTTTAATCATTGATTCAGATTACTATCAAGTTGGGAGATGCCATTAATGCCTTTTACCTGGTATTTATGGGCTGCTGTAATCATCACTTTCTTTTACTCTTCGATCGGACTCCTAATAGCTGAAGGATTCTACCTCGACTCTCACCCGTTTTTGACTGTCTTTGGTATGATGATTGCGCAAGTACGTTTTACCACAATTTTATTATTATACCCAGGTATGCAATACTTATTTTGAATATGTGAGCTTTGTCTACGGTGTTCGACAAAGGAGGAATCATTCCGAACTAGCATGTTTTCTGAAATTATTTAAAAAAGTCTAATAACGCAGGTCTTTATTGTTTTACATGGCTTATTAATTGACTATCAGTGTACGATAATACCACAATATCACATTTGTGTCTACCTTAGCTTATAAGTATCGTTATGTTATAAGTGGTAACAATATGTGTAAACGAAAATATCTCATAAAAAATAACTTTATATATCATCAGGTTCATTACAAATATACTATATACTTACACTCACGCCTTTACCAGCAAAGGGGTAGACAAAAGCGAATTAAACGCTTACATTCTGTCAACTATAACTTAAGTCCCTCTTACGTAATAGGACGTAAGTCTATTGCTTTGCAACCGGTTGCTTTAGGAATTTATTTAGGAATAGAGGTTCAATATGAAAGGAAAAACACTTAAGAAAGAAAGGCATAATGAATTTGGAGGTGAAATATTTTCTTAGAAAATAGATTATGTTATATGCAGCTATAGATCAAGTACCTACCTAATAATGACAATAACTATTATACGAGTATACCATTATAAATATTTTTTCCTTTTTCTTTGTTTCTGCATGTTTTCTTTTTATTCATGTAACATGCAGAGTAAATAAATAAATAAAAATATATAAAAATATATTTATCTATATATAATAAAATTGTACTGGGTTACGAGGAATATACATAAAGTTAATCACTGTTATAAATAAACTTATTTTACAGTCCCAATTTGAATCCGGTGTATCATGGAAGGTACGAAGCGTGACCGGATGGCTGCTAATCGTTGGATTAATTCTTAGTTGCGCATATGGAGCTGGTCTTGCATCTACTTTTACTGTGCCCAGATATGAGCCTTCTATTGATACTGTGCAAGACATCGTAGATAGACGCCTGGAATGGGGAGCCACTCATGACGCTTGGATATTTTCACTTACTTTATCATCGGAAGTAAGTATAACTCAACAGAGGGGCTTAAAGGTATCAGATTTAAAAGTAATATTAAAAGATTCATTGATGAATACTAACTATTTCAAAGCTGCGAAAATTTATAATAGCTTCCACGTGATCACATTAAATTCCTGAATATTTTATGTAGAATATTGGAACATAGTAACGAAAAGAACTCGTGCAGCTTGCTCATTCGCCAGCAATCCTTATCAGTAAAATAATAGTTTCAATAGATGAGCGGTTGTTTCTAAATGCACAATTTTAATTACTTATTCTCGTAGTGTAATTAATCAAAATTCACTACAAAGACATGAAATGTAAGTTATATTGGCAAATCAGATGTATACCAATTTATAAGAAATAAGTAATGTTATGAAATTAAAATATATGCAATACCTATAAACAAGCACCAAAAAATTCCTCTGCATTGTCGCCTACCAGTAGCGTTCTACCAGTAGGTAACTATTAGACAAAGGACTATCAGATTAAGTACAAAGTTTCGTTTCTTACGGGATTATGATTTTATATTGTATATAAAAATTTATAATGAAAATGTACAGCTGAAAATGTTTCATGAAAGTTTCGGATATTTCAAACGAGTCTGTGTATATTTTAAAATATTTTTTTTATAGTTATTAGTACCAGTCCATCATTTTTCCACTTAAAAGAAATGAAGTCAACCTGATTAAATATTTATTTCAGCCTTTAGTTAAACAGCTAGTAAGTCAGTTTCGAACGTATTCATTTGATGAATTAAAAAGAAAAAGTTTAACTGGAAGCATGGCGTTCAGCATCGAGAAGTTACCAGCTGGTAATGTCTGTATCTTCAAACTGTAGTCTTTTAATTATAAATGCGAAATCAATATCAGTTACCAGCTTTAATCGTGGCTTTTAAATTCGGCACATATGGGCCTGGCTCGACTGGAGTCATACCAAAACCTCACAAAACACTGATGATAACCAATTGGTTGATTGCATTTTGCCGAGTAAATAAGTTTACCGGCGCCGCAAACCTAATTTTGGCATGGATACCACAGGGCCAGTAACGAACTTGTGATTCTTGACTCACAGCTGTCCATAGACAATAGGGACTTACCATCAGGTAACCAGTTTGTTCGTTTGTCCTTGTGCCATAAAAAAAAGAAAAATATATCTTAGAATTTTGCACACCTGTCATTGGTTCAGAAAACGACATATCAAGATATAATAATAATAACTTCACACATCTCACACACGGTCATCTAATTTCAATGGTGACCACACTGCTGATAAACATACTCATATATTACACCCAGAAACAGAACAAATAACCGTGCTCATCACACAATTATTTGTCTTGGGTGGGAATCTAACCACTAGGCCAACTATTAAGCCAAAGGCAGTGGGCCTTTGGTTTAGTAGTCAGGGTCACAAACCACTAGACCAACAGGCCAATTAAAATATATACCCAAGTTACATCCGGAACAAAATATCACTCGCGTGGGAAAGATTATCTTGTCACAAGAGCGAAATTACAGAAAAATTAGTAGTCATCATCATCAACAGCCCATAATAGTGCACTACTGGACATAGTCTTCTAAGAAAGGAGGTATTGGCCTACTATTCTACGCTGGCCACACGGGTTGTTATAGGGTTTGTGTAAAGTTTTCTTTCTCTCTGCAGTGCTGTCCTGTGCAGTCCTACGTATTTTGCTCTCTTAGTCGGCTTTTAGGACACCCACGGGATGATGACACTCTGTATTCTCAATCCGTTACCAAACTGATCAAAATAGGTTGAATAGTAGTGTCATTGTAGTGTACTCGTATGTAATAATTTTATATAGTTATTTACAGGTAACTTTGCTATCGGCGAATATTTATCTAAAGAAGCTGTGTTAGATATGATGTTAATGTTGGAAGACTTTTATTACGAACAGTGTGTAATAATGATGAGGAAGAGTTCACCTTACACGGAAAAGATCAGCCAATTGATTGGTAGACTCCATCAGTCAGGCTTACTGCTAGCTTGGGAAACACAGGTGCAGTAATTATTTTAAAACGGGAGCTCTTTAGACACAGAACAGAAGACTTATTTAGTTCATCATCATCCTGAGATTATTTGCCCAAACTAGTTTGGGGTCGGCTTTGACGTGACGTGACATGAAGCGACTGCAACCAGAACTTTACAAAATACTAGGCGATACCGAAGTTCTGTTGCTAGACTGTTGGTGTATGTACTTTTTAGGGTTCCCGCGTTTGTATAGCAACCGGGACTGAGGGCTCAACGTATTCTCCGTGGCACGGAAGGGTGTTTATGTGTTAAAAATGGACACCCATCCATAGACCGCACTGGCTAGAATTACTTAGTTTTGCAATGTGTGCAACCTAAAAAAAGATATTTAGTTTTATGAATTACTAGCTGACACGGCAAACGTTGTTTTGACATATACATTATTTCTAGGAAATATTGAAAAAAAAAATGTAGGGGTGGGCCCTTGTCATTTAGGAGTATGAAAATTGACGTTGGCCGATTTTCAGACCTACCCGATGTGCACACAAAATTTCATAAAAATAGGCCCAGCCGTTCCGGGGAGTATGGTAACTAACATTGTGACACGAGAATTTTATGTATAAGATAATGTAAGAACCACAGAGCATCATACTTGAGTGGCTCTTAAAGAAGCTGGTAACTTAAACCTGAAATCGTGTAATTACTGTTATTAGTCGTATTTACAAAAACTACCTAAACTCCTAAATATAAAAATCGTCTGTTTATTTATATTAGTGTAAAACAGAGCTGGGCACAAGACCGTTAATCTGTTAATTAACGAAGTTAACATTTCGATTAATTCATTAAATTTAAGTTAACTTTAAAAAGTGTTAACGAATTAAATCTTCTGAAATGTAACGTTTTAACGTTTCACAAAGTTAACTTTTTTATTACCTATTTTTGCTCAGCTATGGTTAAATGTATCTTCAGTGGCGAAATAGCTTAACAGTTACAACATCGTACCAGGCAGAGTCAAAGTTCAAATTGCAAGCACAAAGACTACAATATTTTACACGGTGTAAGGGACGTCGTAACGAATATTGAAATAGTGAATTCAGACCATAATTCTGAGTCTAAAATCATTGGCATTTTCTGCCGCAAAATTAAACATTTTATATAATCAGCTGTTTATTCCCCGTAGATATCGCACAAAAGTAATAACTATATTTGTATTACTTTCAAACAATCCACATGCACTAACACAGGTGGCCGGGGAGGAAGCCCCGCGCGCTTCGGTTGTTTGATTAATTACATTGCATTGCAGCCGGAGTTTTCTCGCAAGACCTAAATATAAACATATCACTAGCGTTAGGCCAACACAGCTCCATATTTCAATGTGAATGTGTGGCAATAACTTACGCCGCCACAACGGCCATGTCAAGGGGTATCAAGGACTACAACATCCGAATAATATCCGACAGCATGGCCGTCTTAAAGGCATTGGAGGGCAACACAATGACCTCTGGTGTTGTCTTCGAATGCCACCAAGCACTGGAACAGCTCGCTATATTCAATGGGGTACTCCTCCAATGGATTAAAGGGCACAGTAACTCACACGGGAACGATGCCGCAGATGAGTTGGCAAGGAGGGGCTCGGCAACCCCAACCTCTGGCCCAACCCCACTCCTGCCCATATCGTTTAACCAAATACGATGCTGGGTCAGGCAACGGACCTGTGAAGCACACAACCGGAGGTGGAAAAACTCACCCGGCTGCAGACAGTCCAAACTGGTGCTGAATCAAGTCACGCCACGACTCACCTGCAGACTGATCAGTCTTAGCAGACCGGAAATCAGAATGGTTGTGGTTGAACTATTACAGGACATCTAGCCCTGAACCGACAGCTATTCATAGTCAATGCGACGGACAGCCCCCTGTGCAGGGGATGTCTGGAAGCTGAAGAAACGGCCGCCCACGTAGTCCTGGAATGCGAGGGAGTGGCCACACAACGGGCAAATATCATTCCTGATATAAAGTCGCTCCTAGAAGCCTGTGAACGCCGCAGGAGGCTTCTGCGCTTCTGGAAGGAGCTTGGCTGGCTCACCTAGTCAACCAATCCCCAAAGCATAAAGGACCACTCTGAGTCTAAATGCGGAAACCGAGGCCCACAACCAATACCAATACCAATACATTGCAGTTTTTGACCGAATGCGGTATTTATTAAATATTTTGGTAAAATGTTCTGTTTACTCGTTGTGATATCATTTTTAACCAAAAACATAGAAAATTAAAAAAAAGAACATAACCGGCAGAAAATTCCAATGATTTCCGCATTTATAATATTAGTATGGATGTTTTTGACAGGATATAAGTATACTTTTATTACACATATTTTTCTTAGAAAAAATAATAACAAAACGAAATATGGATAAAAAGAACCAACAACTAAGAAAAGCTGAACATAAATAAAGTACCGTAAGCGTCAAAACTGTAAATATAAGATAATAAGTTTACAAAACCGTGACCATATAATTTAATATCTAGATTCTCAACGGTTCTTCATTATAAAAAAAAAAAAACTGTGTGGCGCTTAAACGGTTTGGATGAAAAATGGTCACATTTTGTTGTCGCAACAATACCTACCTCGGTTACAGGGCGGTCACTGAGACATTTTTCTAATATCATTCTCTTATTACAGGTAGCATTAAAACATCTCAATTACGAAGTTCAGCTGGAAGTAAGATTATCTCGGTCTAAAAACGATGGTGTCACGAAACCTTTAAACGCTAGTAACGTTGTGGTAAGCAGATTACATTAATAATATTTTTTGTTTCTTTCCATAATTAATTAGAGCTAGAAATAATGTATAAAATAATGGCTGTTATAGAGCTAAGCCGGTACAGGTATGCGTTCCCTAAGTTTGGTAGAAAAAACGTCGAGGAAGAAATTACCGAATTATAGAGTTAGGTTGAACTACTTTCGGCGAACTACGTCGAGTTTTGTCTGCATTCCTGCTGCAATGCCTCAAAGTGAAGATCTTCAACCAGTCTTCTACCTGTTATGATATGCGGCACCGTGACGTGGACTCCAATGGTGGGCTTGTCCACAAGCTCTAAGTCGCGTAGCGGACAAGCAACCGAGACATACTTGAAGTTTCTAAGAAGGACAAGTTTTGTAATGAGGTCTTCCGTTAAAAATCAAGTTTACCGACATAGCTCGCGGGTAAGGGACAAGCATGCTGCATCTGCATGCAGCATGCTTGTCCCTTACCCGCGAGCTAGCAATAACGCGGCTACGTCTCACGGAAGAACGGCTCACCTTACGTGAGAAAGACCGAATTGTAACTTGCACAATGAGAGTGTTGAACATGCCTCTTCTTACGCCCTGTCTCGCTTATCAGTATTTTTATACGCTGCCACGTATTAAAGTCTAGTTTCTAAAAACAGAATAATCATCTCCACCATCAACAGCTTTTAATAGTCCACTACATATCCAGCTGGACCTGTTATAGACCTCTCCTTAGGAAGGAGGTTTTGGCCTACTATACTACGCTGGCTAGACGGGTTTTTTTTCAAGTTTTCCTTTTCTTTTTGCAGTGTTGTTGTCCTGCGTAGTTTACTTCCTTAGTCCGCTCTTACGATACCCATGAATAGAGGTGGTGACACTTCGTATTCTTAATCCATCACCAAACAGTTTTAGAAATGTATATATCTAACTTCCTTGACTTTGAAGTGTAAAATTTAGTTACATTTCTAGTTTTTAGGAAAAATTTATAATTAGTATCAAATACCTGCACCCTTCGCCTTCAACCTGGATGATTGAGGCTAATAAATATTATTTGGAAATTAATGATAGGAAACTAAGAGAATATTGAAAAGAAAAACCATTAAATAAAAAATGAAGCCATTGAAATTTAAGGGAAATAGCTTGATGCACCTGGAACTTCTATAATTGTTAGCAACTCGAACTGGCGGTTGTCGGAAAGCCAATTTATAATTTTACCTTGTTTTCTTACAGGGTGTATTCATGATGTATCTGACAGGCGTTATTTTCTCTATTGCTACTTTCTTAACAGAACTTATGGTGCATCACCGTAGAACGAGGATTTAAGATAACTAGGTTACTCGTGAAAACTGTTCTTAAGTCTTCACTTTACTATGATATTAGTATCATCTAAATTGTAATAATCACTACAACTGAATAATAAAGCAACTGAAAATAATATAAATGTCATATTATATATGTATATTTATAAATGTCAGCCCTTGGAGCAATTTTCGGTATTACTGTGTAAATAAGGTGGGTTTTTTTGGAGCCAGTTTTCGCTTCTACGAATAGTTACACTGATAGATATTATTTTCGAAAAGTAATGCGCATTATTCTGCTACCTAGCTTCAAAGTATTAAAAGGACTATGCGTTTTATCTCTACTTTGAACCATCACCATGAAATTCCTTTTCGAAGAACGTTTCGTGAACCGTGTTGCAGAGAAACCTCTTTTTAACTATTTCGCTTTCCTTTTCTTTTTACTGTTGCTCTTCCTGTATTGTAAAGTAGATCTGATACAAATCTTTTCTTGCTATCTAGGTGTCCTATTAAAATGTTGGTACCTACTCTGGGTGTAATTTATTTCTGTTGTTTGAACCATCACATTACCTTGACATTTTATAGTATTTCACTGAAAATAGCGGTAGTCCTTATAATCCTTTTTCCTTCCTAATATCAAACTAAGATTTTTTTAAACTTTAATTGTATATGAGTCTCTCAAATGCCGTATACGATAGAATAGTATGGACTAAAATCAAGATAAGATATACATGTGAATTGTATTTGTATATAAATTATATATATATTACCCTATTTCGTTCCACTTTGTGGTCAATTATTATGATGATGCCAATAATACCTAACATTTACCCCATTCGTTGGAGATAGCAAACAAAGCTAATGACAGCAAATAACGGTCGTTTTATGCACAGTTCTTTTTGAATATAAAAGCGAGTATTGCAAGGTGATTATGTCCGTTTCAATTATTCAAGAGATGAATTTAATATCGAGAAAAGGGTTCTGTAGGAATAAGCTAATAAGTATAACAGATTTTGCTTCAAATGGAAAAGCACTTTAATATTGTTGTGGTAGTTTTTTAATTATAATGTCTGACAATGATTGACTTAAAAATAATGAAAAAGCACACATGACGATCAGGACTGCAACTGTCTGAGAAGAAAATACTTGCTATGATGGGTAAGAAATCATTAAGGCATTGGTCACGTGTTTGCTGATATACTGCAAGAACTGAGTGTCATTTGAGAGTCACAGATCTCAATAACACAAGAACTAAAAGAAAACGGCCTACAAAAATTGTCTCTCCGTGAATTAAATAATCTGAAAATTTTCCCACCTTTTGGTTATTGTGTGACTTATGAACGCAAGACCTGCATACACACCTGTACCCGGCGGGTACTAGTACCTCTTCAAAAAATTAAATAATATATACATAGTGACTAGTCAGTAGTCAGTAGTAGTAGTGGCATGTCGGACACGAACCGACTAAAACCGCACGCCTTCGCCGGGTACTAATAGCCGGGGAACCAGGTATACCCTAGAAAGGAAGGCCCTGGTGCCCCGACATACCTCGGGTCATCTACAGACGAGTAGACGACCCCTGCCCCGTACATAGTGACTCCTGTAAATATTTCTCACTTACCACTATACACTACATAGATACATTTCCTAACACAGATTAAGAAATACCAACACCTAACGTTTACAATTCTACCCCACCCTCTTTATTAATGTAATAAAGCTGAAGAGTATTTTTGTTTAAGCGTGCTAAACTCTGGAATTATAATACTAACTTTTTTAGTTACGTAGATTTTAACCCTCCCGGTTAAAATCTACGTAACATTACGCTCCGACCTTAAGGAGCGAACTAGTGATTAGTAAAATAGCGAAGAACGGCTGGTTTTCATAGGTATAGTTAGTTGTGTGCAGAAACAAGGTACCACACGGACTTGTCTTTCTCCTGAAAATTCTAGTGTAATCGTTAATTCTGGTTTCTTTTTTTTTATGAAAGAGCAGGGCAGGGGGCAAACGAGCAGACGAGTCACCTGATGGAAAGTGATTATTTTCGCCCACGAATGCCTGCCACTAGGAGTCACTAGCGCGTTGCCGGCTTTTTAGGAAGGAGTATGCTAAGTAAGTTATTACTTTTTTCGTCAAAGACACATTTTAAAAATATAAGTATCTACGGTATTTTTAATGACTATTATGTCCTTGTAGTGTATTGTGGTATAAGTACAAAGCTTGTACTTACTGAGTATGAATACCGGCGCTTTTCCACAGTTCCCTCAGAAAAAAAAGAGCTAGAACATCAGACACATTACATTAAAGGACTCGAAAAATAATAAAAAATAATTTAAAAATTAATAAAAACATATAGTACTTACCTCTGTTGACTCGGTGAATTAGTCAGCTAAACTAAACTGCCTAGAACTACATGGATTACCGTCAGCAGTGTGTATAGCTTGTGCCTCAAGTTTTTTTTATGGTTTTTTTGTTTGAAATTATCGTTATACAATCAATTAAACTAGCAGCAGGAATTAAGTGAAAGTGAAATTATGAAGAAATCCAAAGGTTAAACATTTTTGGAACGAAGTTCCTTATCGCGCGTTGTGAAAGGGGGCTAGACGGAAAAAATTCTTACGAAAATTGGTCATGACACTTTTAATATAAATTGACGTCTAACTGTGGATACCATACATTAAATTTGCTTTAACGTTCGCCAACGTCCATACCATGTTGAATACACCGGTTCTCGTCCGATCACCGAAGTTAAGCAACATCGGGCGTGGTTAGTACTTGGATGGGTGACCGCCTGGGAATACCACGTGATGTTGGCTTTTTGCTCTTTATTTTCGTGTCATCTTGTCAGACATTCAGCGCCATCTATCGAATAGATAGGAAATCATTTCGCAAGAAGATTTTACCAATGTATAAATTGTTTTAATTGTTTTTAATATGTAGGTAATAGCCGCTTTCATAGATGGCGTTGTAATTAAAATCGTGTCAAATCAGTTTTACTCGATCGTCACAACTTCGTTCCTATCGGGTGTCCCACGACACCACACGGTTTTTTTCATCCTGAAATTGATATTCTACATATTTAGTAGGACATTGGCATCACTTATGAAACGGGCTTTACATATCGCTTCAAGGAATCCTAAAAGAAGGTACTTAATACTAGTAATTGAGTAATCTTTATTGAAACCGAGTACTAATAAAGTACGAAACGCACGGTTCGGTTCATGTTATTATTTTACTTCTTGCCGGTAAAAATATGTGGCTTCCTAACCTACAGCTGTTGCCTTTAGAACTACTATTAGATGTACTTTTAAAGCAATATTTATCCACTACTTTTTGTATTTCCTTTGTAATCGATACTTCAGTAACATTCCACTCACCAGTGAGTTTTATGTACCTAAATCCAGATGAGGAAACACTTGTAAATCAAATACTACAAGTATCAGAAATGGGGTGTTCAGACTATGTTGTACTTATGAAAGAGCCTCAAAAATTCATTAGTGCGTTTGAGAGAGTTATTCACTTGGGAAATGTTAGGAGAAGCAATAGGAAGATAGTCTTTTTACCATATGATGCGAATTCAATCGACGCCAACTTAGCCTCGAAAACGTTTTCTTTGAAAGGAAGTGCTTTTGTTGCGAACATATTAATGGTTGCGTATTCTAACAAGAGTGATCAAGCATGTGTGCAATTTGACATGATTACTCATACCTTTGTTGGTACTGATGATCAAGTGCATACACCATTGTACTTAGATCGATGGAATACTTGTACTAAACAGTTCGAAAAACAAACGAATCTATTTCCACATGATATGAAGAATTTGCATGGCAAAACATTAAAAGTGGCTTCTTTCAACTATAAACCTTACGCTTTGGTAAACTTGGATACCGCTGTCGAACCCCTTGGGAGAGATGGCATTGAAATTAGGATAGTTAATGAATTTTGTAGGTAAGTACTTCATGTATTAAAATGCGAAGATATTGACATCATAAATGTATTAATTTATCGAAATACAGGTTGATAAACTGCACGATTGAAATAATACAAGAAGAAGTCGATCAATGGGGCGAAGTTTATGAAAATGAAACTGATGGAGTTGGTATCATTGGTAGTGTTGTGGCAGATCGCGCTGATATGGCATTAGGTATGTAAGGTATTGGGTAGAACTCAAAATGGGTTTATAGCAAAATGTATGTTTAACTAATCATTACATTTAATATTTCAGCTGGACTTTGCTCTTGGTATGAAGAATGGAGAGTACTAGACTTTTCGGCTTCAGTAGTAAGGACTGCAATAACTTGTATTGCTCCGGCACCTAGGTTAGCAGGATTTAATAAACCTATTCTTTTGAATTCATTTTTTATTCTTTAAACTAAAGATACGTGAATTTATGTTTAGATTACTGTCAAGTTGGGATATGCCTTTGATGCCTTTTACTTCGTATTTATGGGTTGCTGTGATCTTCACCTTTTTTTACTGCTCAATCGGGCTCGTCATAGCAGAAGGATTTAATCTAGATTCTCATCCCTTTTTAACTGTTTTTGGAATGATGATTGCGCAAGTACGGACTTACTGCTACTTTTAACACTTTTTTAGCACGATTTATTTCAAATAGTTTGGCTTAGCTTCTTTGTATTCAGTTGGCGCAGCTACTGAAAAGCATGTAGGCTTGGGGCTATTCATAACTGCCATGCTGATGCCACAAAGATAATAACTCCCATCTGATAGAATTTTTGAGTAGTACAGCACTAAGCTATTGGTTTCACTAGATGTGTGTGATTCTATTGGCGGTTGTTATATACATACATTAGGTTATTTAGGATGTACTTATAAAATTAATTTAGAAACAGTCAAACATTTATAGTTTTACTAAGATATAATTATTTGAAGACTGTTCTCCAACCTAGGATGCGCCTTTTCTATAGTAAGCATGCTGCTGATAAACATAATTTTATTTTATTGAATAGAAGTATACATATTATATATATATATATATATATATATATATATATATATATATATATTTTGTTTCTGGGTATATTAATAAATATAGCCAGAATGGTGTGTACCTAAATAGTTTTCTCGATTTTATCAGCTTATGTCAACTCTTTGGTTTGTCTTTTTTATGTTAATAGGCTGTATGTTAATATATTATACTATCCTTTCACATTAAATTGCCTATTTAAATTTGGTTTGTCTATTACAGTCTCTCTTTGAATCTGGTGTATCTTGGAAGGTACGGAGGGTTACCGGATGGCTTCTGATACTTGGATCAATTCTTAGTTGCGTGTATGGCGTTGGTCTTGCAGCCACATTTACTGTGCCCACATATGAACCGTCAATTGATACCATTCAAGACATTGTGGATAGACGTATGATATGGGGTGCTACCCATGACGCCTGGATATTCTCACTCACTTCATCTACAGAAGTAAGAGTTCTTTTTTTCAAATGCCAGTTTGGATCCAGTAAACATGGTTATGAGCCTACGAATGGCATAGAAAACAAATGAAAAATAAAGTACAGAGACTACAAAGATCTTCCATAAGAGTCTGGGTGTAGTTTGCCTGTAATTCCAATATTCGTAAAACTCTGGAGTACCTATACATTCATAATTATGTGTGTTCCTAGAACTAATATGATTAAATTTCGAATTTTAGCCTTTAGTTAAACAGCTTGTGAGTCAATTCAGAACCTATTCATTTGATGAATTAAAAGCATTAAGTTTTACAAGAAGTATAGCCTTTGGTATTGAGAAATTACCAGCCGGTAAGTAATGTGTTTAGTTAAAAATTTATGTAGCTTAAGTAGTAGAATACCCTGTTCTTTTAATATTAAATTAACTCTTAATGGTAAAGGGTTTGATATTATTTACAGGTAACTTTGCCATTCAAGAATATTTAACAAAAGAAGCTGTTTTAGATATGATGGTTATGTTGGAAGACTTTTATCACGAACAAGTTGTAATAATGATGCGAAAGAGTTCACCTTACACAGAAAAAATCAGCCAATTGGTCGGTAGACTTCATCAGTCTGGCTTACTTCTGGCTTGGGAGACACAAGTACGTTAATCATTTTAAGGCCATTTATGTTTTTACTATTGACGTTCTGCTTAATTTATGCCTGATGCTGTTCTTAAGCTGGGGGCATGGCGTTTGGGTTTGATATACTTCAACTCCTACGGAATGACATAGACGTCTGCCTAGCATACCGTAATGAAGGAACAGGCACGGCAAGTTGTAACATTGTTCACTTTCTGGTGATTTTTCGATCAATCACTTTATCCTATGAGATATGATAATCGGAGGTTACCACTAGAAAAAGTAAATTAAAACACTGACTATAATGGAATATAATGCTTTCTTATATCCCGTCTCATTTCACAGGTAGCATTAAAACATCTAAACTACAAAGTGCAGTTAGAAGTAAGGCTATCTCGATTAAAAAACGGAGGCGTTATGAAAGCCCTTAACGCTAGTAATGTTGTGGTAAGTAGATAGAACAAAAAATGTGCTATTTATTTCCCTCTACAGCTAGTGGGACGTAAACACTTGTACATCTAACGCCCATATGGCTTGCTGGCCATGAACTGCGCCCAGAGCGAGTAGAGTAGTCGCAGGTTACTAAGCTAACAATTTCGAAATTAACTTTAATAAAACTGCTGGAATTAGTCAAAATCTGAGTTTTGTTTATTAATGGTACGTAAAATTTATTTAACATGAAACTGACATTCAATTAACCTAAAAGTGTCTTACCTCGAGATCACCTCGAGAGTATACCCCCTTTCGATTGAGGCTGTGGTGTCACCCCCCCTGCTTGTGCCTAAGCATCAGTCTTCCACGTACAAATAAAAATAGTATATTACAAATTTTGATTTTTTTTCAGGGTATTTACATGATGTACCTGATAGGAGTTGTTCTTTCTACTTCTATTTTTATAGGAGAACATATATTGCATCACCGGAAGATAAGAAAAGAACGTAATTAATAATTAAAAGTACGGAAAGTACGTACGAAACCCGTTCTCAACTTGTAGTAGATTTTTCAACACTATGTTATAATAATCACAGGATAGAAATTAAAACACCTAGATTTTTTCTAGCACAATGTTTTGTGGTGCTTGTACCCGTAAAAATTACACTAAGCGAAGCTACCTCTTTGTAAATCTTTTTCTAACCCAATTGTGCTATTTTAGAAGAATTGAAACAGATATGAGGGTGTCTAAAAATATGCATCTCTACAATCAATTGAATATACCCTCAGAATTAACATGATCACGAAACGAATTAAAATAAATTCTTGTTATACTATTGTAAAGGATTTACTCACTCAACATTCTTACTCACTCTAAATAAAACATATTAAATAAAAAGGTACCAACTACAAGCATAGGTTTGAACTAGCCGACGCTCCTCATTTTATTTATCTTCTATTTTTGATTTAAATGACAAGTCCACCTCGAAAAATTACAAATTTGTCTTGTTAGTTCTCTTTTGGAAGGACGGTAGTGAGTCTTATATTTTTATTTAAGAAATTAGTCATGAAGGCCAATTCTCGATCTGAAAACTGACGTTGACTATAATGTGATTGTATCGTATTGTGACTAAAAATTGAATCCGTAATCTAATGCGGTAGTCTTAGTAAAACCATATGTGTAATGAATGCTAATAGATTATAGAGAGTCAACTCAGCTACTTAGAGGAGCAACTCTGGGGCGCGGTATCACTGAGAGCGGAGTCCCCCTCCTGGCCGCGACGTCAACGGTAGTACCGACTACCGGCCGGCTTCGCTTGCTCTCCGCCCGGTTCGCCCGTTCAAGAGCATCACTTACTTATATCAGTTGCAAGCGTTTGGTGCAGTTCAACACAAGATTACTCGCAATATTTTTATAACTCACATTAGTACTTTTATCTCTTTAGTTTCCTAATAAAATAAATTATAGTGAAAGAAAACTTATAAAACACGCTTTTGTAACTAGACGAAATAAAAAGTTGAAAATAGTTTTCTATAACTAAAAACTAATTTTATCGTAAAAATGCGTGGGCTGCTAGAACTCAATTGTTGTAAAAATATTTTATTTTATTGTTAAAATTTAAGTTTAATAACTTTAGTTTTATTAACTTTACTTTCTTAATTAACTTATAAAATATCTTAAAAAGCACTCCGCGCATTTGTACGATAGTATGGATTTTCTTTTTGAAGTTGTTAACAAATATTTTCTACTTACTTATACTTATATTGATTTTCGGTTGTCGGTTCTGAGGCTAATAACTAAACATTAAGTTTAGTTATTAGCACAATAAGGTTGAATAAATTATAATTTGATGTGTTAAGTTTTTGCTCTATTTAGTTGATTTCATCTTAATCGATTCCGATTTACCATCTTAGCACCGCTCTAAAAATGAGTCTGTGTGCCTTGTGTGGCGACTGGCGTCATAAAGTTAACTGTGTGAGTGAGGTATTGTAGCTGGCGGGAAAATCGATCGATACTTGTTTAGTTTAGTTGTATCTGCGGTGCGGTGTTAGTAGTACATATTTTAAAAATAATGAGCAGTCATTTTTACGGCAAGAAGTTTTTGTAAAAAGTTGCTATGGCCTATTATCTGTTTACGTGTCTAGCTTTTTTACTTACGACATCCGCTGAGTTTGTTTGGAAACATCACAATAATGAAGAATTGCCTGTGGTTCTAGAAGATGTGCATAGAAAATGTCCTAATATAACGCGGGTATATGCTTTAACTGAACCATCTGTTTGTGGTGTCCCTTTATATGTTATAGAATTTTCAGAAAAACCTGGTATTCATCAACCATGTAAGTAATTTAGACCTTTAATTAAATTAATTTGGACAGTACGTTTGGGAGATAAAATACTTAGTACTTACATTATTTTTTTAGATATACCTGAAGTAAAGTATGTGGGAAATATACACGGAAACGAAGTACTGGGACGTGAATTACTATTGGGGTTGGCTCATTATTTATGCGATCAGTTTATTAATAATAATCGTGAAATTCGGGCTTTAATTCACTCTACTCGGATCCATCTGTTACCTTCTATGAATCCTGATGGTTGGCAAGCATCTACAGACACAGTAAGTAGCTTTAAATATAAATATCGATTTATTCTTGATTTTTGATGATAAAGATTCAACCACTAATTTTAACATTTCTGACAGGGTGGACTAGATTATTTAATTGGCCGTACAAATAATCACTCAGTAGATTTGAACAGGAATTTCCCAGATTTGGATGCTATTACATTTGAATTTGAACGTCAAGGAATTAATCACAATAATCATTTGCTGAAGGATTTAACACGGCTTGCAGCACCGGTGAGGTTCCATTTATGACTAAGTAAATATATATTTTTTTTTATAAATTAGGAATGAACATTAAACGATGTGACAACATTTTAAAATAGTTGGAACCGGAAACACGAGCTGTTATGCGTTGGATCATGTCAGTACCATTTGCGTTGAGTGCTGCGATGCACGGAGGTGATCTTGTGGCAAACTATCCTTATGATGAAAGTCGAAGTGGAGCACCAGCCTCTGAATATTCAGCTAGTCCTGATGATGATACTTTCAGGTAAGGGAGTATATGATATTCTATTTATCGAAGATGTTTCTTTCTCTTTTTTTTTTTTACAAGAATTGTGTTTTTCTTTTGGAGAAGAGCGATTTTGTATTTGGGCCATTAAGAGTATAAGTATACAGACTATTTGGTGCTGTACCAATTTGTATAAAAACTGTATAACTGAACATTTAAGTGTTTCTAAGAAAGTATTAGTAGTAAGAGAAGATAAAGCTGTGTTACCATTTTCATAGGGAAATAGCCATGACATATGCTGAGAATCATGCTGATATGGCATCATCCCATCGTCGAGGTTGTCACACTACCAGTGCAGATGATTCTGAGACATACAATTTTGGTAAACAGGGAGGTGTAACAAATGGTGCTGCTTGGTACAGCCTTAAGGGAGGTAAGTTAGCCAAACAGAAATTATTAGAAAATATTTCTGTCTCTCAATAAACAGAAAATAATTATTTGTGTTTATCTCTTTTAAATTTTAGGTAAACTAGTTCTTAATTACTAATGATTATTCCAGGACAAAACAATCTGTGTAAATACATTGTTTTTAAATGTATTTTACAATAAAGTATTAATAATATACTCTAACATTTATTTTATTAATATTATTTTTTTTTTGTTGAAAATAATCTATTTTTAATACTTTATAATGTAATTTTTCTTACTTTTCACCCTAAAATCAGGTCTTGTATCCAAAATTGTATGGTACAGTATTTTTTTACTGTACATAATTACTATTTTAAAGAGCTTTAAAAACCATTACATAAGCTAATCGAAATTAGTGTACAGCTATGTACAATTTAGTTTAATTGTTAAAGCCTGCTAATCCATAATTGGATACACTTCAAGGTCTTCATTATACAACTGCTACTATGTACCTACGAGTCGAGTTTCCAAGTCCGAGCACCAATGAGAAATAATTTAGGATTCGAATTTTCATTTAGCAGAATTTCATATGTAATATTACAATGATCATTTTGTGATAGAATTCGACGTCCCCACAGTAACAAATAGTAGTTCCGCCTTGGGCGTATGTAAGCAATAACATTTGTCCTCAAAATCGCTAGTTTTGTATAACACGAATAGTTCAATTATAATTAAAAGAAGTAAAGTTACAAAACAGAGCCGAATTATAATTTAAAGGCAGCCTAGTTTACAGAACAATTTTTTATTTGCCCTTCCAAGTTACCGGTTACAACAAAGGAAGCTAGTGAAGCAGGAAGTTTTAGTAATGGATCACCTGACTTTATAGAGGTACCTACTCTCAGAGCTTACTGTAGCATTTACATTTTAACTGAAGTTGACCATGAAACTCGGATAGTTTAATGCTAATTTTAGCTGCATTGTTTACTCATTTAAGTCATAACACCTACCTGGGGCGCGGCTGTGTTTATTGAAAAACATTTTGTGTACGTATTATTGTACCTATTGTAACAATAGGCCGAATAAGCAGTTACGGAACACTCTAACATTTTGATTGCGCAGTGTCAACAATGCTTTAGTTGATAATCCGCTTAACCTGTTTTTATTGTATGGAGACCTTTTTAAGGCTAGTAATAGTAGGTACGTACATGGGCAGTCCTGGCACGTTGCCCGCCTTTTGATATCCTGGCGGATATGGCCGCGAGGGTCTATGACCAGACTCGCGCGATCCTCGATTAAGGAGGGAAGTGTTCTCCCCGGGATAGGGCCTGATTAGGCATGGTGTCAATTCGGGGAGGCCATGAAATAACATGGTCCGGGTCCTCCCCAGAGTAGGACACCTGAGGCCGGCCATCGGGGGGCGTTTTTAGTGGAATCACCATATACTCCTGGTTCCTGAGTCCCGGAAGAGCAGGAGATCCGAAAGGATTTTCCAACCCAACAAAAAAAAAGGTACGTACATGGGAGAGCCATACTTCGGCACAAATGAGATGGCTCGACCGGAGTTACGGCCTCACACAAAACCGGTGCTATAAGCCCCATGATTCTGGAAGGTGACCCGTTTGCTCGTTTGCCTTCCTATACTATAAAAAAGAGGCTGAGGCTCTTGGGTGTCGAATAAATGAAAGCTACGCAAGGTCTATGTCCGTTAGTCTTTTGCCAAGATAGATTGTGAGTAGTATGCACTTTTCAATTGTAATATTAGTTACATATGGTATATTAACGTGTATTTTTTCACCATTGCCCTTATCACTAATGAGTATCTGTATCGACACGATTGCAGGGCGTTTTATAGTTATTCCTAAAAAATCTGAAACGGCTCCAAACTAACTTTGTTTTTTGGTGTCATATATTTAAGTTGGCAAAAACACGCAATGTCTTAGCAACTATTATTTCATATGCATCCTTCTTTCTAGGTATGCAAGACTTTAACTATTTAGCTACAAACGCATTTGAGATAACTCTTGAACTTGGCTGTGAGAAATATCCCCCTCAACATGACCTGGAGAAGGAATGGGAAAGAAACCGTGACGCGTTGATAGCGTACTTGTGGAAGGGACATATTGGCATCAAGGGATTAGTGACCGACGATTCTGGATTTATTCAAAATGCAATAATTTCGGTCGTTAATATTACTGGGCCTGTGCCACGACCAATTCGTCACGACGTCACCACAGGTAAGATTTTACACTAAATCTGCTTCAGCTACACAACTGTTGAGAACCAAATTTTTTATAAATTACCTTTAGATGGTATTCAGGTCGGTCGGGAAGAGGTCCTCAGAACGTGCCTCCGGTATGGTTAGGAGGACAGATAGTTAACATGGTGGGGAGGTTCAAGTACCTTGGTCACATACTCACGTCAGACATGAGAGATGACGCCAATGCCAATGTACAGACTAAAGTGCACCTGTTCAGAACATACTGTCAGAATTTCTACACGTGTCAACTCTGGACTACATATACGAAGAGGTCTTTGGATGGCATTCGTGTTCAGTACAATAATATCTACAGGCACCTTATGGGGCTAGCACCTTTCTGTAGTGCCTCCACAATGTTTGTTGAGGCAAGACTGAACACGTTTAATGCCATTCAAAGAAGCCGAATCGCGGCGTTCATGGCCCGGTTTGGTACGTGTAGGAACACTATAATTAAGGAACTTGCTGACAGGGTCTGTAACAGTTCCATGTTTATAAAATGGTTACATGAGATACATAAATAATTGTAACCAAAGTAAAGAAACATGTATTGAAATTCAAATATAATAAACAACATTATATGGAAACTATTCTGAAATAAAGATTTATTATTATTATTATTATTATTTAGTGTTACGTTACACCTGACTGGTTAAGAAATATTAAATGCGTTATGTTTTACGACTTTATACCATATATTATTGATTGAATGATTGTGATTATCATGAAATAAAAAATAAATATAATATTGTTGTTGACATTAACGTGTTTTACCTCATAATAACTCGCATTCATACTCTTAGTTGATATAATTGGCGAGGACTACATGTCATTCTTTCTCTTTATAATAAGTACATAGTATGTCTAATTGAGGTTTTCATGGTAGGTGTTAATACATGAAGTTGTATATACGTTAATAATTGTGGTAATGAGCAGAATTCAATTTTTTTTATTAAAATCATTATTTTAACTTACAAATAAGTCATGTTAAATATTTATCTTTTTAATTAATATAACAGTCACTATAAGTTGAAAACTAAAATTGATACAGAATCACAGGGAGGTACATGATACTTTGTATAGATATAGAAGTAATAAAGAATAAACGCATATGTTCGGTGTAAGGAAATTAGTAGTTGTTTGTATTTAGGTTCAGTAAATTAAGACTGATTGGTGTAACTAAGTGCTTCCTGTTCTCCGTGACAACTTTGCTTATTTGATAAGGTTTGCGCTGAGGGGAATGTTCATCTATTAAGTTGACGTTTATTAAATTTTGCTTTGCTGCTACGTGGAGATTATACTCTAATGTAACAAAACGAAAGCAATAAAGTTTTGTTTTTAATTTTAAGTAAATTATTATAAAATAATGCAATTTATCAATAAGTATTTAATGTTTCTTTAATATTGTCTAATTTACATACTTGTTTGTGACCTTGTTTTAAAAACACGATAGCCAACATTCGCATAGTTTCAAACTTTTAATTAGATAATACTTTTGGATCTGAATTCGGATTTATATAGGCAAATTTTAAATATAAAATAGTGTAAAAGTAATGCTACTTTTAATTAATTAATTTTCGCCTTAATTTTCTTAATTTTCGCGCTTTAATTTTAACGCCTTAATTTTCTAGAATTATAAATTTTTAATTTATATTGTACAAAAGAATATACCTGGTATAGGAAAGTTTTAAAGCTAAGCCTGTAATCTGGCCTTAATTCTGCAAAATTAAAAAAAATTAAAGATCTTTCTTTTACGTTTAATACGCCATTGAGTCAGTCTGTGATTATGGCTAGTAGGCACAACTTGTTCAAAATGTTAGGAAGTTCAAAGGTATATTATGAATATTGTTGGTGTTATCGCCGAATTATTCATAACATAGGTATAATAGGACGCGAAGGTTTAAAATAGTTATGAATGATTGAAACCTCGCTAAAGGTGCCGCAGCCGCGTTTATCCGAGGTAATAAGAACCGTGATATAACACAGTACATAACATTAGTATCGCAATATTTATAAACTACGAGAACGGCCGAGTGAAATATAGTGTTAAATTGGCTTATGGGTGTAACCTGTAATAACCTATGACGTATTATAATTGGTACACACATATTATAATACGATTGATTTGTTTATATATCACTGGTTTTTATCAGAGATACTTTCTGATAAATACTCATTTCATATAAACATTCCCTACTGATGCTAATTACTCATAAAAATTGATAGGTATAGGTACTGGTATAGATAGAAGGTGGTCCGACGACCTGGTGAAGGTCGCGGGAAGCCGTTGGATGTGGACAGCACAGGACCGGTTATTGTGCCGCACCTCGGGAGAGGCCTATGTTCATCAGGGGACTGTATCTATCTACGGGACAAACTAGGTTTTACTAAATATTTACATAAATGTTGTCATACAGGATCATATGGAGACTATTACCGCTTGCTCACCCCGGGCCACTACGAAGTCACAGCCAGTCACCCCGGTTACTTCCCGGTATCACGGATAGTCACCGTTCCAAGGCGTCAAAATGTAGCTCATGTAGTCAACTTCAAACTTGAGGTAAGATTTAAGAATAATATGTGTACATGTCTGAGCTTAAGCCATAGCCGCAGAGCTACAAATGCTATTAGCCGAAGATAAGTGTTATACGGTGATGTTTCCCTACTCTATTCATAAATATATCAGTAAAGGCATTCATTTTATTCTATTCTCTGTTATTTAATAGATTGTTATTGCAACTGATAAATAAGCATTTAACCTTACCGTCAATAACTATTGAGTACTAACCGTGTTCTTTCTTGATTACGCAGTTATTTTTATTTTATTATTTTCGGCATACCAACAGCATCAAATACACTTTCTAGAAACTAAACTTAATAATGTCGTTGCTATTGACAGGCATTCGAAAAGATGTATATACTCGTATTTAAACTATGTATATTGTATTTAAACAGATAGCGTGACAAAAAAATTATTTATTGTACACTAAGGCATAATTCAGGATATTTATATGTAGTTACGCACGCAATGCGGTTTTATTGTTAATCAAATATATATTTTTTTATACGTGTGGAAACCCCGTGTGGGTTTACGGCGGGGTGGTGTGTCGGAATCGGACCGACTAAAACCACACGGTGTGCCACTGTGCGCCTGTAATAGGAGGGATCCAGGAACTGCTGTTTTTAAGACATTCGGACCCCTCCTAGCGCCTGCCCGCAACGACGCGGACACCACCTTTGGGTAAATTCTCTATTTAGGCGACGTCCGGCACACGCCGACGTCGCCTCCTCGCGGCTAGCCGTTATAGCGGCTGGAGGGGAAAACGGTCCGAATGAGGACCCGGCGCTGCGACGCCCAAACCGTTCAAATTTCCAGCGTGTGCTGGGCCGAGTCCTCACTGCAATCGCAGTGGTGGCAGGCGGGACTCGATTCCCTTCTAGCGAAGCAGGTACCTACTTCTCGAAGCAGCCGTGCCCGGAAAGGACCTGGTCAGTCGGAAAGCTGTCCTATGCTGTCGCCCTGCCTATTTGACGATAACCGGCTTCCACGGCGGCAAAGCCAGCACGTGGTACCTCCAGCCGGGACGACCAACAACCATTTTGTCTCGGCGAGCGGCCACACGCCACTCGCGTATCTAAATCATTAATTTTACTTAAACCTTAACTAGCAGTTAATTTACATATGTAGTAAACTTTCGTTTTCGCTTAAATTTATTAGTTATAAAAGACCGATTAACCGTATTTATAGAATTTAACCAATAAAGAACCATACTAGCAAGTTTTATAGTGAATCGCAGTAATACATAGATATTATGACATATAAATAAATATTTATTTTATCTGTCACTATCGTATTCCGTATGGTCGGTTTTAAAAGTGTTACTTATGGGCTGTGAGCGTCACTAAGGCTACACAATAGTTCTTAATTTGTACCAAAACCCAATCGTATAAGGGTTTTCATAATATATCTTAAATAACTTTATTGCCATACTTCGCATTGACGTCATATCTGCATTGATTGATAAAGGTCCTCCATAAAGCTATGACGTAAATCTATCCGTCTCTTTGCTATCAATCCCCTTTAATAACAAATGTCAAATTATGTTACATATCGCATTATGATAATACAATGAGCTCATGCCATTCAGGTGTAGCAAGTTTTCCACGTGATTAGGTTAGTCTAAATTTGTAAACAAGTTCGAGGTTCATACAGGCTTGATTGTCGTCGTTTCTGAAGTCTAATTGCGTTGAATTAATATATTTTAGTCTGTTTTAATAAACAGCTTGATTCATCTAAACGACTTTTGCAACAGTTATGGTAGTTATTGGAATTTATTTAGTGGATTATATTTAAAACAAAATGCTCAGGGTGCCTGCCATAAAACAAAAAAAAACATATGTCAAACCAAATCAACTATAGGTAGTTGGTTTTGTTTGACAAATGTCAAACAAAATCAACCTCAATCAATCCTCGAATCAAAATCAATAGTCGAAGCTCCTTCACAGTTATGTTGTGTTGTGTTCTTCACAGTTCAATTGACAAGCAAAAACCAAGTGAAGAATGACTAGTGTAACTAGACGAATAGAAATGCATCTAAAAAATAAAGATGTCTAATAGTATATTTTTTTTTAAATATTGTTAGTTAACTCTTTAGGAAACAATTAGATCTCACCACTTATTGCGGTAGAAAAAATAAATAAATTTAAAATAATTTATTTATTATTTAGTGCAATTCAATTCACTTCAATCATTTATTTACTTAACAAATAGATGTCTTACAATAAAATCCTTTATTTTTTATGAAATATCGATCTATCAAAATAAGTGGCCATTGTTTTTGTATCTAGGTCCTCCAAGAAAACCTCAGATCCAGTTCTAAACTATCTGAGTTTACGTGTAATAATTAATTCTAAATAAATATTACATGGGCTGAAAAGTCCCGGGCCTAACACATAGATGGCGCTAGTTTTATTGCAGTCACCTTTTTTTCAGTTAATACTGACCTTCAAAAGACAGCTGTTAGAATTTCATGATATTCTATTCATTAGTTTGTGAGTTATTGTGCTAAGAGTGACGCTACTTTTGTTATTTTCAAAACAATGGATCAAAAACAATTTCGTGTTTCAATTTTACACTGCTTCTTGATGGGAAAAAATACCGTTCAAGCGAAGCAATGGCTTGAAAAGTGTTACGGGGACTCAGCTCCATCAGAAACAACAATAAAACGTTGGTTGCTTTAACTTTCAAACGTGTTCGTAGAGACACCGATGATGCAGAACGCAGTGGACGTCCAAATGAGGCGGTAACACCAGAAAACATAAAAAAATCCACAAAATCGTTTTGAATGATCGAAAAGTGAAGTTGCGTGAGTTAGCTGACATCGTAAAGATATAAAAAGAACGTGTTGGCTTTACATTGCATGAGCATTTGACTATGAGAAAGCTCTGTTCAAAGTGGGTGCCGCGTTTACTCACTGTTGACCAAAAACGAGAACGTGTTGATGATTATGAACAGTGTTTGGCCATGTTTAAACGTAACAAACCGGAATTTTTGCGTCGATATGTGACAATGGATGAAACATGGATCCATCACTTCACTCCGGAATCAAAACGATCGTCATCTGAGTGGACAGCAACTGGTGAACCTCGTCCAAAGCGCCCGAAAGCACAACAATCGGCTGGAAAGGTTATGGCCTCGCTATTTTGGGATGTGCGTGGTGTAATATTCATCGACTATGTTGAGAAAGAAAATAAAATTAACAGTGAATATTATATAGCGTTATTGGAGCGTTTGAAGGCCGAAATTGCAAAAAAAACGACCGCATATGGCAAAGAAAAAAATTTTGTTTCATCAAGACAACGCACCGTGTCACAAGTTAATCAAAACAATGGCAAAACTACATGAATTGAACTTCGAATTGCTCCCACATCCACCGTATTCGCCAGATTTGGCTCCCAGCGACTATTGGCTGTAAATTTCGCACGAATGAAGAGGTTATCGCTGAAAATCAATCAAAAATAAATCGTTCTACAAAAGTGGTATTGAAATGTTAGAACGGCGCTGGAATGATTGCGTTGCTCTTGATGGAGATTACGTTGATGATTAAAGCTAATTTTGAACCAAAAAAACTGTGTTTTCTTTGTTAGGCCCGGGACTTTAGCTTTAACTTTAGGTTAGGCGAGTACGATTTTTACCTAGCTACCTACGATTGTGATTGTTTTTGTGAAAACCCTTGCACGTGTTTAGTCGGGACAGTCTTTTATTTAGTTAGCGGTCTATCAAAGGAGTATCACTCACTATTAGTACTCATTACAGATACTGTCATATCAAGATTTGTAAAAAATGTTTTTACTGAATTTGCTCATATTTCAATAACTTGTAATTCTGATGCGTCTGAACGCGAGGTCCTGATCGACCAAATCGGACGAGACCTGTCCCCGCCAGCAATCATTGCTGCCATGCTAGCGGGTGAGGAAGGTTGGGGCGCAGTGGTCTCTTTTTGTGAAGTTGTAATGCTCCAGAAAGAGACCGCTCAACGGGATCGGGAGAGGGCCGATCCCGAACGTAGAGGACGTCAGCGGCGATATCAGCCGTCGACGGGGCCGCAGGCTGCCAGAGCGTAGGGACCTCTGGTGGCAAATTGATTTCTGCTGTAAAGGACATGTTGGCGTGCCCCTAGAGTTAGTGATAGGTAGCCTAGGGCGTAAGCCTCTGGCTTCCCTAGGGATTGTACCTAGTTAGTTGCGGCGTCAACCGGGGAGGACCTGAAATCACAAGCTCCGGGTCCTCCCAAGAGTAGGGCGCCTGAGGCCGGCCGTCGGGTTGGACACACCATATACTCCTGGCTCCTACATTCCCTAGGAGCCGGAGATCCGCAGGGATTATCCACCCCGTCACCAAAAGAAATAAGTTTAATGATACAATTTTGGAATTGTAGATGCCTAAAATATTACTTACATTTTCACTTGTTAGTTAAATACTTGTCTATATTTGTCTATTAAATTTCGTCGTCTGGGGTGTGAACCAAAAATTTCATAAGAGTGCGAACCAATTCGTTTATTTAGTACTAGCTTTTGCCTGCGGCTCCGCCCATGTGTATGTCGGCTATCGCGGTAAACAGCCTGTGTTACTCGCTAATAATATAGGTTTTCATTGGTGAAATATTTTTTTAAATCGGTTTAGTGGTTTAGCACAACAAACGAACAAACAAACCCACTTTCACATTTATAATATAAGTAGGTATGGATTGTTTTCCATAACCTTAAAGAACTAATTACATATTAGCTTCATATTTATATAGCAATATAGAGTGCTAAATCAATTGAAGTTACAAATGAGTTGAACTAATTTTGAAGTAGTATGCAATTTCTTTTTGGATGTAGTTGAATATGTAGTAATATATTTATGGTAATTTTTTTATGATACAGAAGGCAAACGAGCAGACAGATCACCGGATGAAAAGTGACGAAAAGAAACGCTGCTCAAAGACGTCTGCAGCTCAGGAGCACAAGTGCGTTGCTGGCTTTTGAGGTGGGAGTACGTTCTTTTCATGAAAGTTTGTTTTGCGGCGGGGTGTTGTGTCGGAATTGAACCTCAGGATCGTGACCGAAGAGGTAATGCGATGGCGATTTCTGAGGCGTCGACCCTTGACGTAAAGTATTCCACAAGGGTATTTTCTTGAAACATGGGATACGACTGAGTGTAATTTGTTACGCCGATGATAGCCTTTCCGGGCACGGCAGTTTCTGGAAGTACCTGCACTCGGTTACTAGGTATGAATTGACGAATATGAACCTGATTGAGTCATCATAGGATCTCTTGCTGCCGGCCTTAATACGCGCCATGGCCGGTAGTTTAAATGTTTGTCGCATCCTTCTGCGAAAGTGTCATCATCATCAAGTGAAAGAGGGTCCGGGAGGAAGATTTTCACTCGGAAATAATTCATCACCTACGAAACGGGTGGCGTAGGCGCGTTTCCAAGGCCTCTCATGCCGCCCTGAGTGATGGTTATTAAAAAACTTAGTCAAAATTACTACCTAATTTAAATTGTAATGTTAAACCGCTATTGAAATATTTTAAAAATCCACTCCAGCCTACTCAGCCTGCTGGTAAATTCGCCACTAGAGGGGTATTTGTCGCGTTGAACGATGGCGGAAAGCTGTGGCTGTTATCAGAACGAACACTCCTCCAGAACACTCCCCATAATACAAGCGATTGAGAATACAGAGTGAAGTTACGTCTCTTCGCAACGTCAAGCCGATGGGAAATATTCTGACAGTACACAAGTCTGACAAGAAAGTAGGTACTGGGTTGCCCTGACCAGGAACAAAAACAGAATTCCTTATGCTCCGAACTTGCGTCTTATAAAATCGCAGACGGCGGACCGGATTGAAATATTGTCTCTACAAGTCAGCACACCAATTTTCTTCGAGAGCTAATGTAGCCTTATCCTATAAGCACGCGGTTAACTACACCTTGTTCGATATGCCTACGCTAAGATTCCGATGCTTGCTGTGGTAGTTAGGCAAGTGCTCTCAAACCGCGGTGACAAGACAAATACTTATATAAAATAATATTATGTAAAAGCAAAAGAAAATATTTCTGTAATATGGTAACATCCTTGAACAATGTTAGTGGTTGAGAAACAAAGGATTTTAATATATGCATTTATGTCGTAGGGAAATGTTTTATTAGAAAGAACGACCGTTGTGTTTAGTATCGGTATCCATCTTATTCTGTTGACATATCGTCCGATTACAGCAAATAGCGAGCTACAAACTTTAATGTAGTAATACAATTGTTTACAGCCCTTGAATACTAAAACTACTCACGATCATTAACCATAAACCATAAAGCCATTTATATGTTTTTTTCAGGAACGTACAGCATCCTCGATTGAAAATTTTATTTCAATTTTTTTATTGTTAAACGATAATGTTTTATTTATTTTAACAATAGTATCTAGGACGAGTTTAGAATGATAACCTCTACAAGTCACGAACTTTTAATGCCCACAGTTTTAATAGCAAAACCTAAATGACAATCTATTTGCGTCTTAAAATATGTTTCCACTTAAAAACTTCATAGACCACTTCAATGAGATATTGTTATTTAGACTGAAAACAATGTGTGCGTGTGACCTTAGTTATGGCATATTTCTATTGAAGTTTGTTTTGAATATATGATTTATGATTCGCAGCCCACGACGAGTTGGTTCGATGACGAAACTACATTAGGTATCTACCCTCACGGACTGCGCGAAGGTCAACCCCGGATTTACAAGCGATCTCTATACGAACGAGTAGCCAATTCCATGCTAGAACGTAAAGACACAGCCAAGCAATAATACATTACCCATAACTGTAATTAGAACCGTAGCAATTATTTGTCTTGTCAATAATCAAGTTTCCAACAAGGGGGTACAAGAATGACAATGATATTTTTGTCTGTGTTATTTTTTAAGTGAGCAAGCATATTTAATTTATAGAAAGTTTGTGTGCAGGACCGTATTTGCATAATAAAATTATGGATGCATAAATATTAACATGCTCGTGTATTTAGTACTTTTAACGCCCAGCTACTAAATCCACATGTATGTTTAAACTACATTACCTAATCATTATATTATCACAGACATTAATATTCTTAGTGGTTGATATGACCTGGTTGTCGACGGTGTACGTTAAATACGAATTGTCTAGTCCAATTTTATAGTTCTTTTTGAATTGTACCGTAAATTAGGAACAATTTAAAATATTAAAATAATCACATTATTTCCCATACTCACAAAATAATTGTAATACATACCTTATAATTATTAATATAGTCATATCAAAGTATGATAAATCAAGTTTAAATTACACATATATATGTTAAAACAAATTTTGAAATAGTATCCAATTTTTTTCTGTATGTTATTGAATATGTAATTATATAAAAATATACTTATAGTATCATAATGTTATGTTTAGGGACAGAAAATATGTATGCTGTAATATTGTTTCATCTAAGGATAATGTTAGTTCTTGAATAAAATATGTTCTGTGTGCAATATATTTTTTTTAGATTGTGGCATATCTTTCCCGTAAAATGAAGTTAGTCTCTAGAAAGTTAAAATATGTTTTTTTACACCTACCACTCAATCGATTACGACCTGACTTTAAGTAAGTTACAGAACGCCGCTAAAAGATTGATACAAACTAGATATTTTATCATACGGAAGCTACATAGCTAATTTGCCGTAGACTGGGTTTACGTGATACGTATATGACTCAATTATAAAGCTAAACTAACATAAGCTGGCTATTATATTAAAGAGAAGTTTATCTGAAGCCGAGGTGTAACGATATTGGTCGGCTTCGCCATACCATCGAAAAATATCTCAATCTCATAAGATCAATCGAGCACAACATTAATATATTTCAAGGTAACAAAAAGGTCTCTCGAGGGGTTTTCTATGGTATAGGTAAACGAGCAGACGGGTTGATGGTAAGTGACTACCGGCGCCTATGGAAACCTGCAACTCAAGAGTCTGTGTCTTGCCAACCTTTGAGTCAAGGGGGTATGGGCTCCGGTAACCTAACTTTTTCCGTGTGGTGACGGATCGAGAATACGAAGTGTTACCGCCCTTTTTCATCCCAAGGGTGTCGTAAGAGCCGACTAACGGAGCAAACTACGCATGACAACTTGAAACAAACCCTATACCAACCCGTCTGGCCAGCGTGGTATAGTTGGGCCCAAAACCTTCTTTCTAAGGAGAGCCCTATGTCGAGCAGTGGATTGTTAAAGGCTGTTGATCTGGTGATGATCCTCACTCACTCGATGATAGGCAACTAAGACAATGCTTAACACCGGTTTTCAGTGAGGCCGTGGTGATATCACTCACAATTTTGCTGAAGCAAGGCTCTCCCACGGCAGGATTTGCACATCCGCGTCACATGAACACGGGGCTCAGTGCCGGCACTTACATGCATAAAGAAACCACTTACATCTCCATTCTCTAGTGCTAAAGCTGCAGGATACCTGTTCATGTTATTGAACTTTTGAAGTCTTATCGTAATATAAAAACAAAAATCAATCTAGTGTTACAAGAATTTATTGGTTAATCTAACAAAACTTAATATTAACTAAGTTTTAAATTTTGTAAACATATAGGTAATTAAGAGGCTAAAATTATATACACACCTAAAAACAAGAAGTACATTTATACGCGCCTTTAATAATACTTCACTCATAAAGAATAACATTAAATTTAGCTAGTTTATAGGAATATTCTAAATTAATTCACAGTGTGATGTGGTATTTTTATATCTTATTCTATTTTTGATATTATAAACTGGTTTTTTATTAAAGTTATCTTCTAATGTGCTCTTTGAATCCTTTATGTTAGATCACATTAAGAGAATTCGACAGAAAAACAAACATTTTCAAAACAACGGGTTACACCAATAATGAGATATGGAGAAGATGGCATCCCTGACGAGGGATAGTTACAATTTTATTTTAAAGAAAAATCAAATCTCCAAAAGTTACACACATGAAACCGAATTGGTGATCTGGATTTTAATCCTGTAATATTACAATTTTGTATGCGTCTCTTTCACATGATGGTGATAAATACATTTATCACCATCCGCAGGAAATATGTTCAAAACTCTTAAATGCTTACCTAACAACACTCATAATGTACAAACACAACTTACATAATACATAGATTAGATTTACCTTATTATTATAAGCTTCATAGCTACAACATTTTAAATAATTGACATGTTTTTGGACAAATTCGTTGTATCAGGTATTTGTTCGAACGTAATATCACGCGGTAATAACACAAGCATTACGAAGTGTAATTATAGAGTAGCAAATATCTTTTTTTGGGTCGGATAAGAGTTACTTTTAGCCCTCTCATTTACTAGGCCTTGGACCGTTACATACACATTTCGTCTATTATAACATACTGTCTACATCTTACAAACCACATAAGGTACTCGCATATTAAATGGCACAAGTTAAATTCATTAGCTGAAGAGTAACACGCTTTTCTTCCTTAAGGTAACATGTCTAGTTTCCTATTGTATAGAGTTACGAAACGATTACCACGTGCCAAATGAAACAAGAAGTCTATCTGTAGATGAAAGTTACATTATAAGCATATTTGTTAAATTGCTCCATGCAATTTTGTTTACATAAAATAACAAATCGTTTTCAATTTGTTTTCTAGAATTCCAGTGGCTGTCAATGAAGGTAGGTGCTTATAAAAAGTTTTGGCCAGCCATATAATATCTATCTATATCTTTCTAAGTAAATGCTAATGTTTTAGTGAAAGTATGCAATGTTAAACTATTTCATAAGTAGGTAATCGTTTCATCATAAGTTATTAATTAAAAGCACCCTAGGTATGTATCTTAAGTTATAGTAGATATTCAATATTATTAAGATATGTATTAAAAATATAGGTATCTCAATATCATTTTTTTAAATTCGTTAATTGTAAAATAATTATCAGTTTTCTCACAATACCTACGTCTCATTTGAAAATTTAATAACTATAATTATAAGCTAATGTATGGACGTATGTTACTTATCTGGTATAAGAAATCTTTATTGTCTTCGTTCATGTCACAGCTTTGAGCTTCTGGAAACAGACAAGTAGTTATGATAAAATACATCTTACCATCTCAGTACTGTATTTAAATTAAGTATAACGTATTATTAATCTAGGGTTGGAAGAATCTGAGGTACAGAGGCAGAGACGTCACACAAATTACAATTGTAATAGTCACTCGCAGAATATAAAAAAATAGTTCCTTTATAGAAAGAACCCTCGCAAGAAAACTGTAAAGTATGAAACCTCCCTTTTAATAGTTAAATGGCATCAAGTAAATAAGCTTTCTAAGGAGAGGCCTATGTCCAAATGTCCTATGTGGACTATTAAAGACTTTGATGTAATGTGAAATAAACTTTAAAATGTGTAAATTAAATTTTACAAAATGGTAACACAGAGTTCGCATTGATGTCAGGAAATTATGATATGATTATTCGTTTTGACCAATGAAATGATAAATTGTTAGTTATTTATGACTGTTGCATGTTTAATCATATTAATAAGCTGTGTATTAAACATGAGAACAAAACAATTAATAAATCTTATGGATTCTAGTGGCAACGTGTAAGATACTGTTATCCATACTTTTATCATGTAACTTCGAGCCTTGACCGATTGATTAAAACAGATTACTAGGAAGTAAGGACTGCAATGACAAACAGTTCATAAGTATTTATCTGAATTTGTTTGTGAGGAATGTAGTCTATATTTAAATAACATCACTTCATGATATAATCAGAGGTATCTTTAAAATGCGTCGCATAACTTCTCATTTTATCATCTAGTAGCTTTAGCCGCATTTTCTTACACTTTAGTGTACATTATGTCTGTACCTCCTATTCTGTTGTCTTGACAGAGTGCAAAAATTCATTATGACTGTTCGAGTAAAGGCGTAAAAGCATAACAAACAAATAAATAAACTAACTCAATTTGGCATTTAGAATGTAAGTTGCATATTGGGTAATACCTGATCAATGTCTATTTCGGTGCATGCCGGAATGTCGACTGCCTGGCCTTGATTGCACTATCGCGTAGTGGTCACTATTGTCCGAGATTGACCTGTTATACAAATGTCAAGTTAATATCTCAGGTATTACGGTACGCAATTAAAGGTTAATAATATTATAACCTTTAATAAAGTATACATTTTTGAAAGTTGCTTATATATCAACTGAGGCGCGTCTATTTTGCCCTTAAGTCGACACATCATTTTTTTTCTTATGTAACTGTAGAAGAAAGTAAGTGGTTTCATTTTCTGAAAGTAAATTCTGGTTTGTCTTCTACATTCTTTTTTAAAGAAAGTTTATCATGTACCACAAGACATACGAAGTATTAAAGTATAACTAATACATTAAACTATCAAGAAGTAATATTATTACAAAGCACAAAGCAATATGCAAACCATATGATAATGAATAGTCAGGATTATGAATAATTCAATAAGAGAGTTTGATCTAATTTGATGCGTAAGAATTAGCGAATCTGTTGGATATACGAGTATTGTGATAGTAATGTGACGTATTGGATTCGTCTAGATTTGATTTGAAGTTCTAATAATAAGTAGTAAAATTTCTACTTCACAGGGGAGCGAATTAATTGCACCACTGGATACGAGTGGAACAAAATTTTGTGGCTGTTTCACATAAAGATGAAAAAAAATATGTATTTTTTATAGAATCACGTTTTGATCATCAATGTTTACGTACGTATTGACAGATTATTATTTATTCATCTGATTGTATCAGAATGTGAAAATTACATACTTATTATTAGAAATTCACTGACCATAGGTACCTATGCAAGTTTTTGACTGTTATTTTGCCTTTATAAAGTTTTTGTTATAAATTGTTTAAAAAACTTCAAAGCTGCCTCTAGCTTACTTTGGTTTTCTAATTTCGTATTTTTTTATATGTTTGTGGTAGAAACTGCATAGGTTACCGACAAAATATCTGGCAACACATCCTGTATTCTCGAATTGCATATCATATACTTAAGTTGTCTGCCAATGAACATAATTTTATAATATATTTTTCGGACATCTGACACACAACGCCATCTAGCTTCAAACTAAGCTGAGCTTGTACTATGAAAGCTAGATTGACTGACAGAGTACTTATATACTTTTTTTTGCTTATACATACATATTAATTAATATTGATGGAGGTAAAAACATACCTTGTAGAATGTATAGTGGAGGATGGATATCGGCTCCCATATTGACTTCCGTGCCAGCTTCGGTACGGATCGTAGTCTTCCACCACGGAGGGATCCTTCTCAATTACCTGTTATCATACAAGGATTATTTATTTTTATAGATGAATTTGAAGTTAGACATTAACATTAAAACTTGGTGCAAATATCAGTCACGAATAATCCCCCGGGCAATCACTAGGATCGACAAAATTATCTTAAAAGGGTGTCTACCATCTAAAAATTATTAAAATAAGGCTAAATTAAATTATTGATATACCAAGTATAGTTCCACCTACCATGCCCAGTTGTAAATTTAGACTTCAGAAACGAGAACAAACAACATAACTATTGTATATCATTAAAGTAAGTTGTTATGCAATGTGCTTGCTCTAATAAATACAAATTAAGCCTTCTTTCATCTATTATACATCCGTATATATGTTTCTTCTGCGTTCTTTTTTTAATGATGTAAGGTTAAATTAAACACTTTTCGTGTTATATTTAAAGACGCAAATCTTTTTCAATTAAGGCGATCACATTTTTGCCTTTGCGTGTCTAGGACAGTGAACTTAGTTCTTTCGGACTAAAGAAGATACCAATAACTTACATCAGTTCTTGCACATGAACAAGTCATAGCCGTACATAGGAAGCAGTTGATAAGCAGCATGACAATGAACATGACGCCGAGGGCGATGGCGAGATACAGCAGCCACAGCGGACGCACACTGCTGTCCGTACACGCCAATGCTGCTACTAAAACATGTAATTTATTTATTTATTCATAAATACGCTTGGAATAGTTGCTGTATGCTAAAATTGGTGATCGTATATTTTCCAAATCGTATTATAAAAATGTGCGGCATTCGAACCAAACTTTGTACCACTGTGAATCTACTCGTAATACTTCCATTTAGCTCAGTTTCCAACGGATTTATGAATATCATAGAAGTGAAGTTAAAAACTTTTGATAATACACGACTTACACAATTTTACCTGAAGGCAATCAAACATGCTATTTGCGAAATATTAGTGTTGTGTAGTGTGCCTCTATTAGCTTGGCCAGGTATCCCGAATTGCGGGGGATGACCCGTTTTGCAGGGGTCTGGTACCAAGTCCAGATTAATCCTTATTCGGGATAAACTGTTACTACATAAAAATATTTTTCAAGCAGGCAAGTAAAAATGTTATTTACCTGCAGCATCGTTTGGGTCAAGGACGAAGATGCCAGTGGAGGCAGTAACAGTACTCTCCTCGTCAGTTTTCTCCAAACTCGATTCTGTACTACAGTCTATTGCTGAACATGTTCCTGGAAATAGATGCTTACTATTAGAAACAAGCTAAATACCTAGTGGCTTATTTTTATGACGGCTGACCTAGATGGTAAATGACTACCGCCGCCGAACAAGTCTTGACATGACAGCCTTTGAGTCTCCCTTTTACTAAGGGAGGGGTTGGGCATCTGTAACCGCACTCACTCGGTGAAAAGCAATGAGTAAATTACTTAACAATGGTTTTCTGTGGTCGAAATTTGAGGCTTTAAATTTATCGTCAACTTTTTTATCGTAACGTATTCGAAACGAATTTAATTATAGTACAATATTTTGCACAATAATTATTCAAAAATCTTCACGTAGTATGCACACCCGGCCCATTATGTGCCGAATCATGGTTATCCTATGCGTAACCTGAAGTCTTAAAAGCTGTTTCAGTTTAGAGAGTTCCTGTGCCACATTAATTTGATCCATAAGACCTGTATAGATATTGCAGTGTGCGATGAAACTACTTATGGTTACTAAAAATAATATTTATTTAGTACGGAGATGATATTTAATGTGCTCTATAATTATTTTGTTTTAATACCTACTATTATTATTCTATAAGTGCTTAAAAGCGTAATGTTTTGATGTACTTATTATGATTTCTCTCTTCTTTTACTCATATAATACGCAATTTTATTAGTAGGTATTTGCATGGCAACTGTAACGTACGTACAGGTACAGTAAGTAAATATGTAACTACCCACTAAGTATATGAAATGCTGTTAACGCATAACAGCATTTCTAAACAAATATTTACCTCTACAAAGGGACACGTCGCACTGAAAGTTGACCTGCGAAGAGTCCGGAAACCGGAACATAGATGCTATCGCTAGCTCGGCTACCCCGCTCTCTGACTTCACCACCACCGATTGTTGTTTCACTGGACATCTATAACAATAATATCATACCCTTGCATAAAATGTGTTTGATTAAAAAACAATCCGTTTTTCTATAAGATTTGGTAAAATTCTACTTACCCCTTGCTGTCTAGAAGATCCACTGTATTATTTCGCATGTTGAACGCAAAACAGTTTTTTAATCGAATTCCATGTGTTCCTGTAAAAAATATTTAAAGGACAAAGTTTTAGATTAAAAAGCTCTTTTGCCTGGCACCGTGGGTAGGATTTCCATCTAGTGCTGATTGTTGAAATTATTAGAAAAGAAATGCTCTATTTCGACTTTTATCAGGGTATCAATCAAAACTGTTCGACTAAACATGATTATGTCAAAAATAAATTAAGGATTTGTCTTACCATCAGGTTTGCTGATCTCAGCTCGTAGCGTGTAAGGGAGACCAAACGCAGCATTCAGAACTTTTCTACCTTGTGAATCTAACATTCGCAGAGATACTAGTGAAGTTTCGTTTCTGGAATCACATACATAAATCTCTAAATTTATTGAAATTAGTACCTACTGCATTTAAAAAAATAGAGTACTCAAGGGGACTAGCTGTTGATCTTGGACGACTTTCATCACAAAAACAGAGTTGCATGGGTCGAATTAAGGAATTATTTGAGAAGGGCAGTTACGTTCCTCTTTGTCTCGATAAGAATAGGACCGGGTCACTAACTGCTGAGCATAAGTATAACATAGTATTATTCCGCAGATAACATATATCTTGCAGGATTCGTTTCGATTCATCAGGTTGTATTCATAACTAAACTAATTACACTATAATATTTGCACAATAGTTATTAAACAATGTGCACGTAATTCGATAATATTTTTAATTGTCATAAAGTATATTTTCAAAAGTTTTTTTAATTGAAAGATCTATTGAAATTGAAGGTTAAGCTGCAGAAAACTTACGTTTACCATTGGCACTATAACAGAGTAGGAATGCTTAAAAATAAGAACAGAATGGAAGCTTAATCGCTAAATCACACCATAAAAATGAAAGGATATCTATGATAAATGTTCAAAGTTAAGTTCGAGACCAAAGAGAAAAATAGGTAATAAATACCTACTGTTTTATTGCTATTTATTTTTCTACCTATTTAAAAGTGAAATACAATGAACATTTTATTTAAGTACATGGACTGTAATTACTTATCAATCAGAGCAGGCACGTATTGCATAGACCTATGTAAATATATGAATGCATAATATGTACCGTGCATTTCTGAAGCCTGCCTTGCCACAAGTAATGACATAAAACTTGTCGTCAGCCAGCTCCAAAGTTCTGTGAACACGAACCGCCAACGGCAATGACCGTTCATCTGTACGCTGAAAATGTGAAATGTAGATAGTGACTATTAGTTAAATGTTTAAGATTACTAGTGAACATTATACTGAATGTTTAGCCACTAGTAAAGCTTTCATGAGCTAAACCAGCTTTTAATAGTTTAAGGAAAATGTTCACTGTTACAACCTAAACGGGGTTTAACCATAATAATGAATGTTCTCTAAAGCACAAGAGGAAAAGGTGACTGAATCTGTGTGATTCAGACAAGTTAATAGATATTTGTGACATATCATTCGGTCCCTAAACATGTTATATATTTTCATTAAAAAAAACGGAAAAGTTTTTTAATATTGAGTTGTTAATATAGGCGGATGTATGATTACTGAGATACTCACATTATTCCAAAAGACGCCGCAGTACTGTGGTGATCCTTGTGCTGCTATCAAGTTGATGTCAAAGCTGAGTGATTCGGTGCCGTTACCCAAGGCCATACATGCCGGTGTTCTGTAATTTTGTAAAGTTTGGCATGATGTTATGTAACACATTGAGTTAACAACTGTACTTTACTGTTGTAATTTTTACTTTTTCGATAGTTTATTTTTGTTTTTTACTTACGTGCCGACTGAAGGAAATACAACACCAAATACATTAACTAGCACACTTAAATGTCGTTTGTTGACAGAATGTGCGATAGTATTAATGTCGCTATAAACATGTGTTCTTCACTTACAAGTAAAGGAGCTTATATTGTTTATAAATAAACCTATATTTGGTATAAAACACTGTAAATAATGATATTAGGTCCTTACATATGAAATTGGCGTTTTGTACGGGTGAAATATAGTCTTTTTTTTTTGTAAAATATATTTAATTAATCAAAGTATGCACCGTTGTTATCTATGCACTTTTGCCATCTCATAGGTAGTTCAGTGATCCCTTTACTAAAAAAACCATGGGGGCGAGAATCAATAAACTCTTTGAATTCGGTTTGGACTGCCGCATCGGAGTTGAATTTTTTTCCTTGTAAGAAGTTGTCCTAATTCCGGAAAAAATGGTAATCTGTTGGAGCAAAGTCCGGGGAGTACGGTGAATGTCGCAGACATTCCAATTTTAGTTCATCTAACTTAGTGGTTGTTTCTTGTGCAGTGTGTGGTCTTGCGTTGTCGTGAAACAGCAGTGGCCTAGAGCGATTGACCAATCTCGGTTGCTTAGCAGCTAGTTCTTCCTTCATGGGTTGCAGTTGCTGACAATAGGTACCTGCCATAATCGTTTGGCCAGATTTTAGCAAGCTGTAGTGAACGACACCGTCGCTAGTCCACCAAACACTCACAAGTAACTTTTTCTCAGTCAATTTTCGTTTAGGTCAGGATTTGGGTGGGTTTGGGATTCGATTTAAAAGCCCTTCATTTTTGTGTCGATTGAGCAAAGTAACACAGCAATCGACGCGTGTTTGCAAGTTCGATTCACTCAATTCATGAGGTACCCATCGTTCAAGTTTTTTTACTTTCCCGATTTGCTTCAAGTGATTAAATACAGTTTTATCACTTACCCTTAAGCCTGTAGCTATCTCTGAAGTGCTTTGTGATGGGTGCGCTTCCACAATAGCCTTTAATTCTTCATTTTCCACTTTGTTCTTCGACCGTCCACGGGGTTGGTTCTGAATGTCGACATTTCCAGAACGAAAACGTTGAAACCAAAAACGTACCGTACTTTCTTTTGCGACACCAGCGCCGTACACATCATTATTCCTTTGAGCTGTTTCTTCAGCGCTGGTGCCACGGTAGAACTCGCACTCGTAAATATACCGATATTTCATGTTTTCCATTGTGCGTTAATAAGCGACGCCAAAGAAAAAAGTAATGCGGAAAAAACAAATGAATGACTGTTTTCAAAACTCAAATGTACTAGCTAAATTAATTTATAAATTTGAATTTGGAATTCTTAACCAAAGAGGAGATATTTCAGATCAAAGTGGTCAGTACGACAAAACGCTAATTTCATATGTAAGGACATAATACTTTATGTATTGGTCAACTAAAGAGCGGGTTCTCCAATAGTGGTGATAACTATTTTATTCTTAATCGTTTGTTATGTTTTACCTTTTTAATTAGAACTTACGAGAACTTTGAGGAGTTCTTTTTTTAGCTTATTACTTAACAGAATTGTGCTCTGGCCTAGATTAGAATGTTAGTGTCAAGGTGAGACCGTGAAGCAAGTCAGTTTCCTTCTATTGTCTGGTGTCATGGTGTACTTGTAATGAAGATAATAAGTCACCTGAATTCTCTGGCATGTACCACACCGGTGAAGGGTTGATTGAACGACACGTTTATCGCCATTATTCCTGTCTTGCATGTTGCTGTGACCACAGGCGTGAACTCGCCTGTAGTTTCCGTGTTCTGTTAATAAATAAAATAATAAGATGAAATTTTAGCTATTGTATGTACAGTAAGTAATATAACTCAACCATAGTTATGTTAATAATAAATTAAATTAAAGAAAAAATATAATAATTTAGTTGCTCCTTCAATATGTTCTGTCTAAACCGAATTAAAAAAAAAGTCAGACTTAACAAAAAAATCTACTGTATTACTGTATTTGATGATATATTTTAAACAAAGCACCGTAACACAGTAATACGTCTTTAGAGATATATGTACAGAAGATTTGACAAAATACACACTTCAAATAAATCAGAAAACATAAATCACTAAACCGGATCGAAGCAAAACAACAAATATGTACCTTAGCCCGGATTTTCCGGCAATATGAACTTCTCCTATACCCTTACTTCCTTTCATGTCTTCCCTTCGTATCTGAATTTTCTTATGTGATGTACCTACTCCTAATATTCCCATTGTTAATTTTCTATCTTTCTGGTTGATGGCAATAGGTTTGCCTCTTGGTCGTATTACTTGTGTCATTGTCATTTTTATTAGTGGTACGTTTATCATTCGGTTTAATTTTTTTACCATCATAAGTTGAGATCGTTCACGTGAAAACATTTGTTACTAAACATTTTTTTAAATTAAAATATGAATGTACATACTAAACATACCAAGCTATTAAATTCAGAAATTATCATATAATAAAGCATTTATATAATACCTACAGAGAAAGTAATGCACTCTTTTTTGCCTTTTTGTTAAAATGATATGAATTAATATTATTACATCAGTTTCAGCTTTCTAAACTTTTAACTAAAGTCTAGACATATGGAAGAGACCTGAAAAGCATTTTTATTTTTTGTTCAAATTCAATATGCTTATTTTAAAGGATTGTTTAACAACAGAAGACAAATAATAATCAAAATCGGGAATTCAAAAACTAGTTTTACATTAGTCGCATATAATGTGTTGTGTAAGTCTAGTCGAGTAATCTGACATTTTGTATTTATTGGTCAAATAGAATAGCGCGCGTTTCCAAGACTTCCTGTTCCAAATTGCAATATTTTTTTACGAAATAAAATTTGCAAGAAAGTGTAACTACTGTGTTTTGTTATGTATTTTTTGATGTGTCACACATCAAAAAATACATAACAAAAAGACACACACAAAGTCAAATGTATCATCATCGTCATCAGCCTATCGCGCAGTGCACTGCTGGACATAGGCCTCTTCCATTGCACGCCACTTCGGTCGATTAAATATATAATTACTAATAATATTTGAGATCATCATTACATTTCCAAAGAAAAAGGGAAAATACTTCGTTGCTTCTCACAATATTTACAAACTTACGCGTACTCTTTTGAATTGCCAGATTCAAATATAAGTTAATTGTAGTACAATAATCAAAAATAATTTAACACCAGCAAATGATCATTAAATGAGCCCTAAATTAATTATAGCTTGTAAAAGCAGCTCATAAGGAACGCTGTACATTAACTTCCTGGCAGTCATCGTTACCACTAGTTTCCTTATACGGTGAGTGCACGCAACCATACTGTCTCATTGATTTATATGTTCACAATGTGTAATAAAAGGGTAAATTAAAATCAATAAATTTAATTGAAACCTAAAATTGTCTCATGTAAAAAAATATAATATCTCTTTTTTCGCAGATTCGTTTACGTTATTTCAAGGTGTTTTTCTCGTTTGTTTTCAAGGTTGTTATTTTTATTTAATACTTTGTGCACAAATTAAATTATACAGTGGCGGGCCTAATGCCTCAGGTATTATGAGAGAAGATTATTATCTTACAGTATACGCATACCTTAGGGTGGTGCAGAGATGAGTGACCAGGTGCACAAGATTTAAGTTGGAGAACGATAAGGACTAACTAGTTAGTAAGAAACGAGGGACATATACATACCACAATAATAATATATAAGGCATTATGATTGTGATGAATCTGCTAGTAGATTCAAAATATAAGCTAGAATTTTCATCTTGAAGGAATTATTATTATTATATATTTTTTTATAAAATGTGACACGAAAAATTATGTAGATATTTAAAGAAACTTTCTTCAATTGTTTGCTTCAAAATAAAAGAGAAATGTCAAGGTAATGTTTTTTTTGGAACTTTGTGACCCTCCCACTGTTTTATGATAAGCTCAAATCGTCTGTTTTTCTTAGATACACACTAATGTGCATGTACAATTACATGTACATTAGCGAGCGTGTAAGATTAAGGTAAGTTGAGTCAATAACAACTTACCTTAATCTTACACGCTCGAGTATTTTTGGACATCAATTTTTTTTTAAACTAATCTGATAGGCTGTCCTAGACGATCCCCCTGGGTCCGGATGTCCTAATAACAGCTGTTCCCGGATCTCTCCTATTACAGAGTGGCACACCGTGTGGTTTAAGTCGGTCCGATTCCGAGACACCATCCCGCCGTAAACTCCGGTCTGGTGACGGCCCGAGGGGGTTTCCACACGTAAAAAAAAAAAGAAGACGATCCCCTTTGTGTAGGGCTAAAGCAATCCCGAAATCCCTTCTAGGGTTTCCCTATTATAGGTATTCATCTGGTAAAAAGCAAAGGCGCGAAACCGTAATCAACGAACCAAAATACATGGAGCTTACACTAGCGTTTAAAAATGTCTATGTATATTTAGATTCTGAAATTAAATTAATGTAATTTGACGACCGAATGGCATAGTGGTTTTTGTAACGGACTGCTATTCCAAAGGTCGCGGGTTCGATTCCCGCTCAAGTCAAACATTTGTGTGCATGAACATTTAATGTTTGATTTGGTCTGGGTGTTTCTATGTATAATAAGTATGTGTTTACAAAAAAAAAAAGTATAATATGTATTTATATCAGTTGTCTAGTACCCATAGTACAAGCTCTGCTTAGTTTGGGACTAGATGGCGTTGTGTGAATGTGGTACAATATTATTATTATTATTAAAATATTACATGTGCAAATTGAAGTATGATTTGATCGTGACCTCAAAGCTAGAGGCCGTATATTACATTAGTCAACAAATAAACTAACAAACCGTTACGACACGGGCACCATAATGTAAAATCTCCATCAACAAATCACAAGTCTGTGTATCGTGGTGTACGGACAGACAGTGCTATGATCGGCGCGGTCCGCCCTGTACCACGAGTAAGACTGCGGCAATGTTAGATGGATTGAATATATGCTATATTGTCCACCAATTGTGTATATACAATGAGTGATAGATAATTCGTCTGTTCCACGTTGATAACTAATTGATTAATACACTCCGAGGATTTCATGCTTCTAGTTCAAAAACATTCATTGTTATTTTTATTTGACAATTTATTATATTATCAATTCGACCTACTCTTTGTTTCGTCAACAATTCACATAGACTTTTTAAACTATAGGGTTAAGCGTCTTGGGAAAGTATATATGTGAAGTAATATTATGTGAAGTATTTTGCCACAAATTTTAAGAAATTGCTATAAATAATTTGAGCCTACAATTGTCCAATCAGTCCATTATTTTTGTGTAACAAAAAGAAAAAATCTAATTCTACTCAGATATTATCGATATATGTTTACTACATCTACGAGGTAACTAACCGGAACAGAATTAAAGTGTTTAAAATACCTAGAAAGTCATACGGACACCAAGGAAAAAATATACAGTTCTCTTTCATACGCCTGCTTATTTAAAAATATTTAGATTTTTACCACAAAAAAATGGTGTAGTAATGGTGGTGTGAATTTTCATGCCTCTATACATACATATATTACCCATGATATATTATAGACGGAGGACAAGACACCCTATGAGAATTCCAAAAAAGCTTTATTACATACTAGAATTATGTAGTTCTATCAGATGTCTGAGAGAATGAAAGAAGTCGGTAACTTAGTCGCATGACGATTGAAGGTTCGACCATATAAACAGGCTGTAAAGAGTCGCGCCCATGGCGACGGCGACGGCTGTACACGATCCTATCCACACGACCCAGCTTGATAACTTCCTAGAATTATATGCATAGTTTACTAGGTTTCGAGTTAGAGTTCAAGACATACATTTATTTTAACAATTGTCGTATATGCAGACCTTGAAGTGCTTTGTAGCAGTCTTGTTGTTTGTAGTGTTGCATAACTAATAATGTATCGTCATCGAAATGTTTGTTTTCCTCGTAACCGACGTTTCAAATTGTAGATATTATATTATAGGACGAATAAAAAAGCTTTATTTCATAATAATTAAATTTTAAATTTAAACTAAACAGCACTTTAATATCTGTTAACAAGAAAAATAATGGAGAATTGTTTTTAATGATATTTTATTATCAGTCAATATTCCTCTAAGAAACAGTACTTTTGTTCTGGATGAAAGGTATTGTTTAATTTCCTGATGATCGGAAGAGTAAATAATGCTTTATGTTACAAAAGCAAAACATAAATGAATGAACAAAATAAAAACAAACTCAACTTTGCATTTATATATAAATATTAGTTCCGATCACAACACATCCAACGTTGAGTAAATGAGAATGCGTGTAATTCTAGCGTTATGTCGCATACTTGCTATTATTGTTGACTTGAAATGACGACATTAAACGTTTGTATACACATGAATCTGCGAGGTCTTTTACATATTTTAGGATTTACTGATGGACGTTGAAAACTCATGGTCATTGTATTTCGTTTAAACGTCTTTACAATTGCGTTGACGTTAAAATTGAGAACTATGAAATCTGTTATTTTTGATTTTCGTGCTTCAACAAATTCGATAAGCTCACTTGTATTATTTTGTTGTATATTCATAAATATGACGAAAACAAATAAATTACATACTTGATTACTTTAAGCATAAATTAAATGGAATTGGGAAAAATAAAATATTATTTTTATTCTTTATAAATCTTAATAGGTTTTGCAATGAATATGTTTTGAAATTATTTTTGTTGTTAATTTTGCTAGATTAATGGAGAGGAAGTATGGTAAATGTGTAATTTG